TCACAGCAATCCATCCAATAATGACGATGAGAGGTAGAACTTTGAATATTTGGATTATTCACAGTGAAAACTGTGTGTGATGAGACACTATCTATCTTTTTCTTTGAAACACAAGAACCTGAAAGTAGGACATGACTTTTACGCAGTTATAGATTATAATGTTGGAAAAGTATCCCAATAAAAATGCACAGAATGAAAATACCAAATACTTGAATGCAATGCTAATTTTTTTTAAAGGTGGCCAAATTAAAAAACATTAAATAATTATTCTCTTATTTGATAAAACAATGACGGATGATATACTAAATTAAAAATTAAAAAAAAAAAAAAGTAGAATTACGCAACAACTTGTTCATTGATATGGAAATTCCAAATACTGATATGCATCCACACAAATACACAAAATTATTTTCTTACCCCATTGTGCAGACTTCTTGGTTTTGTTAATGCATTGAAACCAATCAGTTTTGTTTGATATTTTACAGGAATCAATCATCAAAACATGATCTCCTGCTCTTAATCCCATGCTACCTTGCAATGGTGATTCCTACAAAAAGTTTTATGTTGAACCAAATAATTTTAAATCGTTATTTAAAAAAGTATTGAAAAGTGAGAGGCATACCTACTGGCATTTGGTGGGTGACGAGAACTCCATCAGGTTTAGACGTATAAAATGGGAATAGCAGTCCAGGTAAAAGCACTATTAGTCCACATGCTGCCACACAAATTACAAAATTATGCCATACTCCTATAATACATAAAAAAATTGCATTAGCAAAAATAGGCAATCTAACATATCAGCAAATTCTTCGAATATACTTTATAATACCTGCGCAATATACACGCAGTTGACAAAGGGGACTCTTCCTGCTCATATCATCTGAATTTAGATCAACAAATGCACCAGGATAGATCAAGAAAGCAAATATACCAAAGCCATTAATTTGAATACCTTCACTGCATAAAAAACAATAAAGGAGAAGTTGACTTTCATTGTAACATGCAGAACATAAAAAAATGCTTACGATGTCCAATAACTCACCGAGCAGCAGCAATGGCATGTCCGAATTCATGCAATATTCCGCTCAAAAAAATAGAAGACAACAAATACCATATATCATGTATTGGCATGTTTATGCCAGGAACAATAACCGAGAGAACCTTGAATGAAAAAAATAAATTTCATTACAAACTTTATTAATAACCATGGCTAGTTAAGCAGTTAATGGTTGCGTATATAGCTGAAACAATGCAACTTTTTTATCTCCTCAAACTGCAACATGTTGCTACAGGTAATACGACTTGCATCTGAGTGGGTTATATACAATACAATTAATATTAGAAAAGATAAGACATCAGAGCACAGAAAACAGTTTTAGCAGACATAATAGTAAATAATCATAAAAATAATAATCATGAATACCTGTTGATCTGGAACAGGTTTTTCTGGCTTAAAAAAAATCTGCAAAATTGTCACATAAAGAGTATGGCATAGCAAAATTGTGCCAACGAACATTGTCAATACAGCAAGAAAAACACCTGGAAAATATATTCATAAAACTTTCTTCTTATATCGCACTTTCTTTGAATAAAGAATTTTGATCGAAATAAACAGTTTTGGTTGAATCAAAATCAAAATAGATTAAACATAAAAAGATTCATTTACCTGCATCAAACCACAGTTTAAGTTTAGAGGTACACATTCTGCCAATTTTTATAAAAAAGCGATTCCATCCAGCAGTGAACCAGCGAATGTGAAATAATGATATTGAGACATTATAGTTGATTAAAAAAGAAGACACATGATGACCAAACGTTGAACTATTCTGCAATAAATTGAAGAAAAAGGTTTTACATATTGATATAACAATGAGAAGTCTTTTGAATTTGATTAGTTGTCTATCATATATTTAACGAACTTGCTACTGTTCCATTTCATACCAATTACTTACTTCAAGCAGCTTCTGAACCTCATATTTCAACAATTATATCAATATGCTTAAAATAAATTGATAACTTACCAATAGAAAGTTGTGAGCAAGATGAAATGTGGACCATACTCCTAGAAGAATTGCAACAAACGTTGATGGAGACATGATTTTAATCTGCAATTTTGTCACATTCAGACATAACAATGAGCCATTTAAGTCTACCTGTATATTTTGTCTATCAAACGATTTAAACTTTTTGCTACTCTTGACCTGCAGACCTAAATAAGTCATAAGATATCTTTTTATTCAATGACATCCAAAATTTCTAGATTTAGCAGTGGGTGAGGGTTTGGTATAGTTAAGCACCACAAGTACTTCTAGTGGGTAGGGTGTAGTAGACTATAACCATATTTGCATATGCGCAAACGAAATGTTCAAGAACGTACGATCCTCACAATCATTATGTACCACGGTCTGCGTACATATCCTAATACATGTGACTTGAGCTGCACGATTTTGCAGGTTGGTGATTTTGCGAGAAAACATTATGCGCGATTTTTCCCCCAAAAATCCCACTTTCTACGTACTGCACGCATCCATCCAAAGTGTGATATGGTGTGATCACGTGTAGTGTCCCAAAATGTTTATCCAAGAAACAGCTTTTGCCAAGTGTTCTAATCACTCACATTTCTATTGCTTATCTGCGAAACGTATATTTTCCCCAGTTTTTCTAGAGTTTGACTTATAAAGCTCACACATATAATATGGCTACTATGTGAATGAATGCTGAAAAATACATGGAATGCCAACTAAAACTACTATACGTCATGAGTAGTATGATTATTTGTATTTTATTTTCTATGCGATGGTGTTTTGAATTCCGGCATATTGCTTAATATTGATGAATAGAATATATCCATCTTACACCCATGTACCAGCATATCAATGGTGATACGAGAAAACTTTGATGACAAGAGATTTACCCGAGTTCGTAATCTTATTCATCTACCCGCCAGCAGATGTGTTGTGTTAGCGAAGCGCTCGCTGGCTACCGCTGTGTACATGTGTTGTGTGGGTGACAAGGTGCGATGTGGATGATGATGCAAGAATTGCAAGTAATCCGCTAAAATTGTTTTCAAGCTTTCCTTATTTCTGTGTCGTTTATGAATGGGATTTTGCTACGCGGCATAAGGTGTGAAACAAGGATAAACAAAGTTTAAAAAGCTGAAATTACGCTAAGAAGACAATCGGACAATATGAACCAAGACGCCAGTACGGGTAATCTGTCGACTATAACTCCACGTTCCCGGCATGTGAGGGACTTCATTGTTGATTTCCTGGCTGGATCCGCAGGGGGTACTGCTTGTGTATACTGCGGCCAGCCGCTAGACACTATAAAAGTAAAAATGCAAGCGTTTCCAGGCTTCTATAGAGGAGGATTGGACTGCTTCAAACAAATTCTAAAATCGGAAGGGCTCAACGGTTTATACAAAGGATCTGTGCCAGCTCTTGTTTGTAATGTTGCTGAAAATTCTGTTTTGTTTGTGGCTTTGGGGTTTTCTAAAAAATTTGTAGCTTCTGTTTCTAATACTGATTATAAAAAATTAAGCACGCTGCAAATGGCCTCTGCCGGTAGTATCGCTTCAATTTTTTCTGCTATGGTGGTTTGTCCCAATGAGCTAATAAAATGTAGAATGCAAGCACTGACAGAAATGGCTGCTTCTGGGAAAATTGTGAATAAATCTATGGGCCCGTGGGGTATAGTAAGACAAATTATGAGGGAAAGGGGTCCGAGTGGATTTATGACTGGTATTACGAGTACATGGGCTAGGGAGTTACCTGGTTACTTTGCATTTTTTTATGGGTATGAGTTAACAAGAGACCTTTTAACTCCGCCTGGTAAAACAAAAAATGACATTGGACCTTTGGGCTTAATGTTTGCTGGGGGAACAGCTGGTGTGTTTTTGTGGATTCTTGTTTATCCAATTGATGCTGTGAAATCACAAATACAAGTTTTATCACAGACAGGAAAACAGTATGGCTTTCTGAAAACATTTCGTGGTGTTGTGCGAACTAAAGGATTTTTTTCTTTATATTCTGGGTTGTTACCGTGTATCATACGAAGCTATCCAGCAAACGGAGCTTTGTTTCTTGCATATGAAACCACCCAGAAGCTTCTAGAAAACTTCTAGAGAGTAATAATTGAAACCTCTATAGAAATCTTAGATTTATAATTATGAATTGTAGATGAAACATCTTAGATGTAGTTTTTTTCATCTATAATTTCTAGCCTCCATCTTCTTATTTCATTTGCCAAAGGCAAAATTTCTTCCTGTTGAAGACAATATTCTGTTTTATCTAATTTGAATTGTATTAATTTGTGTTTTAAATAAACCACTGATTGTTCTTTACGAATCTGGGCTGATTCCTGAACTCAAAAGCATTGCCTGATTCTGAATCGTGTTTTTTGTATGCTTGTATTTTTATTATTTTTTTTGGTGGTTATGCTCGCCTTCCAGATATCTCTGCATGTTGTTTATTCGTCTACTTTTTGTGCTGTTTTGTTCTTATGTCAGAGTACCGAAATAAATGATTGATTGATACATTTAGAGTATCAATATTCTTATGTATTCTTGTGATGCTAAAAGTTGATTAGAAACCTTTACAAAAATTCATATAGTTGTATTACTATTACTCCACCTATATTTTTTCCAAACTTTAGATTTATTCCAAGAAATGTTACTAAAATTTTTACCTGTTATAGGTCACTTTCTCACTTTTTAATTTCTAGTCAATCATGACTTTAAAATGAATGCTAATATTGTAAGTTTCTTATGAACATTGTAAAGTTTTAACTGGGGAGGTCTCTAAAAACACTGTTTGCATATATGCCTCAGCTGAAATTTCTTTGCTTCATAATTCCTTCATTTTGTGATAAGATACATACATTCTATTACAGAATAGTTATTTTGCATTGCTAATGCTGGCTGAGACCCAACTCTGTAAATATATTTCCCAATAATCAAGTGCAAACCATATTTAAATTTGAATTCTAAAACTTTAGCTGAATTGCGAATAATTTTTGATCAGTGAAGCTGTGTGTTGTTTTTCCTAATTATCATTTTAATGTGATATGAATTATTGTTTTATTAGATTTCTTTCTTCTAATATATTTTTTTGGATATATTTTATTGAAAAATGTCAGAAGGAACTGCTGTGCAGGTATGCTTTCCCCTATTATGTAATATATGGTACTAACATAATATTGTGACTCTGAATAATTATATATCGTATGTTGATATTCATTAGTGTAGGATTTCCAAATAATCACAACAATTGCCATTTTTATTGACTTAACGGTCGGTAGTGTATAAATATTTGTCAAAGTGGAAATGGCTCCGGAATTAGTTTTTCTCTTTTGATACCTCCTAGTAAGTTTACTGACAACAGTAGAAAAATAAGTGAAAAGATGTAATTATATAAACAACTTGATTATTTTTTTTTTCAAATTTTATTGATGTGATATCCGCTTTAGTAAAAATTTAAATTTAAATGAATATTGATTGAAAATGATATCCAACAGCAGACAACTTAGAAATATCTACATTATTTGCATGTTTTGTTTTCAATTTTAGACTACTGAGCCAGCGGCTGATGGAGCAGCTCAAGGTGAAGAACAAAGGCCTCAATCTACGTTTCAAACTGTGTCTGGGATAATATTTCGTGTTGTGTTCATGTGGATGGTCATGTCATGGTTGAGAGGTGGAAATAAAACAAATACAGGAGATAATAAAACAGTTGCAACATTTGCTTCTCAGAACTTATTTAAGACTGGGGATGTATTGGTGAGATTCTTTTTATTGCCCATAAATATAAATTTCATGGTAGTAGTGCTTGTTCAATACAAAGTAGAGAAAGTCTACGGCGTTGACATCATATTTCATTCTGGTATGGGCTGAATGCTGATTGCCACAATATATTTCCAAGTAGTTGAGGTTGCGCTAACTCCCAATCCTTCCTCAATGCCTTAGCGCTAATGGATCCGTATGCGTATAATGCGAGGATGCTGTAGCAGGAATGAAAATACCATATTATGCAATTCAAGAGTCCTGCCGCACACTAACACAAATGTATTTCTGTAACGTTTCGGTTTTGTCAAAAAAAAACGCATGATTGTTCTTTTCTTGTCATTATTATAAACTGCTTGTCTGAGGAATTCTGATGGTCAGACGAAACGTTACAGAAATACATTTGTGTTAGTGTGCAGCAGGACTCTTGAATTGCATAATATATTTTCAAGTTCGGTAATTTAATTTGTGATATTCGTTAACATGCTGTTTGCCCTTTTGTATTATAGCAGAAGCTCGCTTTATCTTTAAATATTAAGTTTTCATTTAAATGACCATGATTCATTTGTGTAATTAGTCCGGTATCGGCCAAGCCAATATTCCTACAGATTTGAATATCATGGTGATGGTGATGGACAATGTCCTATTTGGCATGACCAATACCAAATTATAATTTGCTTCTTATAAGTTTTATAAATCTTTATTTGAAATAGACGATTGTCCTTCAACATTGGAACAACCATATTTTTTATAAATCTTATGTGTAAATTTCTCTGCATTTAAGGACATGTGGGTGTTTGTTAATGAAGAGGAACATTTCACAGACTTCACTAATATGAATACACTATATTGGCACAAAACAGATTTAACATATGGTGCGTGGTACGATGGACCGAACCAAGATGGCACTTTCACGTCTAATACAACCATTGTGTTGTCCGAGGTAAAATTGATTATATTGTCATCCGATATGCAGGAAGCTGATAATGCATGAAGAAAATTTCTGTTTGTTGTACTAGTATGAACTTATGGAAAAATATTAAATTACGTAATACGTTAAATTAACAGTTAATTGAAATTTTGAGGCTTTTTATGCAGTCCGATTGGAATAGTACAATACAGTACATAAAAGTGCATCAGACAATATAATGTCAAAAAAGATATCCCCTCTATTGTTCCTTCCATAATAAAAGCCATCCGCAAAATACTGAAACGTGTGTGTTCTGTTCGTATAATCTCTTTTCAATTCAAAATATGTATTACGAAGTTAAATAATACATTTTTGGACACTATGTATATAATGCTTAAAATCATCTGCATATTTATTACTAATAATTTATATTCTAGAAAGTTCAGAAGAATGGATCACTATTTATGCATGTTTACTTCACTCAGGAAGGCTTCGTACCGAATAAAAAATTGGAGGGGTCTTATTCTGAACAATACACTTTCGAAGCACACAAACGTAAGTTTTATAAAAGATGTCATAGTATATATGGGTCAGTAACATTTGCCATAAAACACCTGTATGCGCATTGCGCAACCAGCCAACCACTTACAGTCAATTTTGCATATATTCCTATTTTACATTGATTCCTATTCAGTGCTTTAAATGTGCCAGACGCACGAAATTTATGACTCGCAGTCACGATATCAATGCATTCTGAGGTATTATGAGAGAGTAAATATTTACTCAGTGTCAGCCAATTTCTTGGGAAAGTCTTTTTGTTACCTTACTTTGCTATGCTTTGTGACCTGCTGCACTGTGCACTGCACTGTGACTACCCTTTCCTCTGTATATGCAAAAAAGTGGATTGTAGGCAATTTTCAAAAAATTATTTTTAGAATTGAATAAATATAAAAAAAGAACAATAAAAAAGACACAGAATTTACTCACTGGGAAGACAGAGACAGATCCCACACTGTTAAAAAGAGCAGAAACACATGGAAATACTGAAATAATTTCTCATTGGCATCCAAATATCACAATCAATTTGGTTGCTGATCAAACAAATTGGGCTAAAGGAAGTGTACCTCACCCACTAGACAAACGTGAGCATTGGTTTTTACAAGTGTCTGGTAAAGTAATCAGACCAAAACATTCACATATTTAATTGTTATATGGATAATAAGAATAGGATTATAAAAAATATAACTCTGCATTTTTATTTAACAAGCATTCTTCCGAGGTAAAAGAGTTGAAATAATTTCTGATTCTGTTGAGTTAGAAGTCTTTGTTGATAAAATTAACAAATACCATATGAGAAACATTTTTAGAGCTCTTTGTTAAGCTTTGCGAAAAGTGTTGTTTCCTATATGTCTATAGCTACCCAATTTGAAGGCAATGCTAACTGTAGTTAGATTTGGTTTCTGTATGGTTTTGAAATATTTTCTCACAATCATTATTAGACTTAAACAAGTTAAAACTTAAAAAATGAAGGAATTTTTAGTATTTTTGTATATTGACTTATTGCAAAATCGTCATTCTTTTTCATGTTATGGCTCCTTTCTTTACTTTTGATGTCTTCGTTTTAGTGGTCAAGTTTGATGATGAACACAAGACCTATGAGCCAATCATACATCTGAATGATTATTGGAATCTTATAAGAGATTTCCAACCTATAAATGAAACTGTAAAAGAAGTCAATTTTCATATTACATATCAGGTATGTTTTTCTCTTTTTTCAGTAACGGTGAAATTCAGGTTATTACACATATATTTTTTTTTAGCCAATTTCTCTTTTCAAACTTCAAATGTATGCTTCTCAATCAATGCAAAATCAATGGTTCAATGTACTTGGTGAAGATTATAATGAAGAATCAGAACAGGATAAAGATTCTTTGAAGGTCTGTTTCATAAGATTGTCTTTAGGCATATTCAACCACTTTATTAGTCAAGATCTGTAAATCACACAGTTTGCATTTGTATTACAGAATTAACTCTAGTTTGGTATTGACCTTATATGTGTTACTATAATATATAGAATGTTGGTTCCGGATTGGCATATACAATTATTTTAATACGGCGCAGTAGCCTAGCAGTTAATGCATCAAGACCCAAATGAGTTGGCATCCCAATTTAGCATCTCTGGCTTAAACCCCATGCCTTTACCCCACTCTGGGTATAATAAATTGGGTAGGCAATGCTGAACTGGGCAAGATTCTGGTCCTTCCAAATAAAAGTAACACCTTCTATTAGGCATATATTGTGAGGTATCTGTGGCTGCGTGTTTAGGACCTTGTTCAAAGCAAAAGGCTTAGCGGCTTATGAAAAAAATGTGCTGTGTATCTAAGTAGGGTCTTCAACTATTATACACTTCAACTCATTCTTAGTACAATTTGGTTTCATTGGATGCAATGACATTTATTCTTTTAATACTTTAGGTTTCCCAGTTGTCTTTTTCACAATTTGATTCACCAGGCAGGAGTTTTTGAGTCAGGTTTACATCATCCCATTAGTACTAAACAGTTGGAAGAAGAAATTGATTGATTGATTTTGCTATTTGGTGTCAGTTTCCTATAATATTGTTATTTTACAGGAAGCTATGGTGGAAACAAATCCTTATCTACTTGGTCTTACTGTAATTGTATCAATTGTACACAGCATATTTGAATTTTTAGCTTTCAAAAATGGTAAGTGTTTTGTAATGTTAAGTTCTATTGACTGTAAGCTGACAAAAATAACAGCACACATTGCGCTCACAAGAGTCACAAATGTAGATGCAGAAAATAAGAAAATTCAAGTAATTTTAACTCAGCCATTGATGTCATAGTTTGTAATGTTGTTACTTCTTTTTCCATTTTGCTCCAAGCTCGGTTTTGCTTTAATTTGGAACTGTTATAGGTTTTATTATGTTAATAACAAACTATAACCTCTGCGTCTCAGTTTATGTACTTTTAGTTTGTTTGAGACATTGAGTCTTCCCAGTATTTGTAGCGAAACAATATATTTATTGTTTACCACCACATGCCAATTTCAGATATTCAGTTCTGGAAGAGTCGAAAAACACTCGAAGGTCTCTCTGTTCGTTCTGTTGTTTTCGGTGTTTTCCAGTCTGTCATTGTTCTTTTATACATTCTCGATAATGACACAAATTTTGTTATTCGAGTCAGCGTTTTTATTGGTTGTCTTATCGATGCCTGGAAGATTACTAAAGTCATGTCTGTGAAGGTAGGTATTCTATAATTCTTAGATGATTCCCGTATATTATAAATAAAGCAAAATGTTAAAATTCATTTTTGACAAGCACTCCAACAGATTAATAAGGCCATTGCTAACTGTATAAATGCCCAAAGGCAGTGTTCCAGAAGTAGAATCTCACAAGATTTTGAGTATTTTATGTGCTGGTATTTTATACTCGTTCTAATGAACATCGAATTTCCCATATTGTGCATAAACTATTTCTCAAATTTCAAAATTCAAATCTTATTATTACAAACAGTTATGTTTATGTTGTTGGCTTTAAGAATTATTGTACATCCAATAAACAAATAACCAAAAAATTTGAATTTTGTCAGTTTGACATGGAGGATAAACTGATTTTGGATTTCTTCCCAAATTTGAATCACGGACAAAGTCAACGTATGTTCCATCTGACACCAAGAAATACGATCAAGTGAGTATTATGTGCCGTGATAGAAGATGTAAGAATACGAATCATTTGTCTGTCAGTGTCCCACGTTAATTGTCCTTATTAACAATGAGTAGTTTTATATAGGGATATCCGCAGAGTTTAGCATAAATGCGATTTGAACTAATTTCTGTTTAAAAACTTTTCATCTCGGTCTAAGAATATCGATTTATCATAAGCTGTTCTGTTCTCTTCTTAGTGTTAAATTTTTTGCAATTGCTTCATGATGTTTGTTACCTCTTCCAGAGTGGAGAATAAATATTTGTCTTATAGATGTTAGACTGAAAGATAGATCCATTTTAGATTATTAGAAATTATAAATCATAGCAATGTAGAATGTTAATAAATTTGGATGATGACTTTGAATAGGATTGGCAACTGATGTTTCATTTTCATCGGTGTGCATGTATACATCAAAAGTTAGCAAGCTGTTTTCCAAATCAGAAAGATTGTATACATATAATTTTCTTCCCATTTGTCAAGATGTCTGCCGAATGCAGGAAGGATATTTCCTGTTTAAATGCATATATATTATCACTAATTACCACATTTTTCCCAAGTTCTACAATCTTCTCTTCGTACCATCAATCACATTTAGAACAGAAATGTAACCAAGTATTTTATTAGCACACAATTTTGAAAGCCATTGTTTTTCACATTATAAAATTCAACTAACTCGATTAAATTAATGAATATATATGGTAAACTAAACTTTTTAGCAAAATTAAAAAAACAAATTCTATTTTTTAATTGCTATCAATGCAAACAGTTGTGCTTGATTAAAGATTTATACAAGAAAAATAAATATTGCATCACTAAAACAATTTCATGAAATTATACATAAATATGTGTTTATTCAAAAATGATGATATTGGAACTATCAGAATTTCAGCTGCTTTTAAGTATTAAAATATTGGTAGTGTTTTTAAATTCCTATGAGATAATAATTTATTTCGATGCACCTTTGATATATCATTTTTCTGTTCATTTAAACATCTATCAATTTATATATAAATTATACTATTTTTCTTATTCAGCTTGCATTCAAATATCTGGGAATGTTACTTTTCCCACTTCTTGCTGCTTATGCGGTGTACTCCCTTATATATGAGGAACATAAAGGTGTATATTCATTCATCCTGGGAATGCTTTATGGATTTTTATTGACGTTTGGTAAGAATATATCACAATAACATATTTACTTTAAAAATTTTTACCAGTGAATATTGATGAATTGTTTGTTCTTGTCCACTATTTTTTGCATTAGGTTTTATTATGATGACACCACAATTGTTTATCAACTACAAACTAAAATCTGTTGCCCATCTGCCATGGAGGATGTTGACATACAAAGCTCTCAACACTTTCATTGATGACATTTTCGCATTTGTGATCAAGATGCCAACTATGTATCGAATCGGCTGTTTCAGAGATGGTAAGTTCATTTTACATTGTTGAGGACTGATTAAGTTGTACTATATACTAATTCACTCTCATAGTAATTTAAAACTAGGACTGTATTTTGCGACTACAAGGCGCACTCGATTGTACGCCTACCTAATGAATGGATCAGGTGGTGCTTTATGCTTTATTGCCCACAACCATTACTATTGTTTTTTAAATAAACTGCTGTTTTTTGTTTTCTTTGAATAAAATACAATAGCCATAAAAATGTTGAGTTTTTTTTTTGTTCAATGAGTTTTGTACAGTACCTGATACTCCTTAAAAACCTTTGCGTCTTATAGTCTGATGCACCTTATGTATGAACAAACAACTAACCTAAGCTATTTATTGACTGTGCGCTTTATGGTCTGTGTAATACGGTGGTATTTTTATTATTACGGGTTAGTTTGTTTATTATGTTTGAATTTGAATTACCGTAGTTTTAGTATTTGAAATGGTCTTCCTATGTTGTGAAAGATCAGCGACATTTCAACTCGTATTGAATTTTTTTTTTTCAGATATTGTGTTTTTTATCTATCTTTATCAACGCTACATTTATCGTGTCGATCCTAAGAGGGTTAATGAGTTTGGAACAACTGGAGAAGATCATGAACAAGTGTCTTCCGGAGAAGCTTCCAATTCTACTGCTGCTATTGCTAATGGTGATGCTCAGAGTGACAAAAAGAATGACTAGGTCATTCTCAGTTCAACAGTCATATGTACTTTTGTGTCAGTGTTTTGTATCAGAAGAGGATAAATTAATTAAATCTAATTTGTCAGTGATTGATTTGTCGTTTCACCATTACCCCGTTTCTGCATTCTTGTGAGTTTATGATAATATCTCATGATGTTATTTTGTTTGTGCAATGCAGTCGTTATTAGCATCGTCTCCAGTCCAATTAATGCTTCAATTCTCAAGTTTGTGTTTTGTCATGATGTGACACATTTTGTTTTATGCCATATTGAGAAATTTGTATTCTATGTCAAATCAAAAGTAAAAGGTTTCTGCTAACTTTATGACTTGTTGTCAGTGTTATTTTTGTCATGGCTTTAAAGATTATTTTTTGATTGAGGTGTGCACATATGTAATGAAGAAGTTGCGTTTGTTGATGAAGTATATGAGAAATTGTTTTGAGAGAAATTCCAGAAAGTTCAAAAACTGCTGAACATAGATTATTTAAAAATGACCATATCATCATCCTGGAATGTCTTGCAAGTCGCTAGACGCTTTGAAGATTCCATTTCCTGCTATTGACTAGGTCAAAGAAAATTTTGCGATATCGACTAGGTCTTATTTTAAGGGTAGTGCTTATATTGAAATCATTTTTAAAATTCACGTTAGGTCTTATTTTCGGGAACACACGGTATGGGTACAATGTTCGTAGGTCCGCGGATGTAAACCATTCATGATACAGTGCCAAAATCTGTTTGTACAAGAAAGAATTAACATGCAGATGGGAAAAAAGTAGAAAACGAAAAATTTGTGAGAGCAAAATTTACATCCAGCAAGTTGTTTACCACCCTTGTGCTCGGTTTGTATTGTTACGTCATAATGGTGTCTACTGCTGTGATATGTTTTTTACCTGCTCAAAAAAATCGAAATTATTACTAGTTATAACTTTGGGTTGTCCACTACTTGGTGGCAAATGAAAAAACACGACTATTCGTGGGCGAAAACTACAATTTATGCAAATCTTCTTGGCGGAAGCAAACGTCCGGAGGTAGATGTCCCCGTGTTAAAATTCTTGTGAATGCAAAAACCCTTAGTGAAAATGTCTGTAGTTTATTTTTAAACCCTACTGAATAATCTATTGATACAGGAGAAAGCAGAAAAATGTCAAACAATGCATATTCAAAAAGTTTTACGTCAGAAAAGTCCATGCTTCCGAAAACAGATAACTAACTAATCCCATACACGACATGTAATGGTAACCGAGAGGCCATGGTTCGCCATATGGTTAACCCGTCTTATCGACTTTCCTCTCCCCCGGGATAAATATGTAAATCCCATCCTAGAAAACCCGCGGGTGGAAATGCCCTCGGGTGAAGATGGTTGCAAATACATGTGGGTGCAAATGCGATTTATAAAATCTGGGCATGCAAATGTCCTACATGTACAATGTGCAAACTTATCGAGGTCCAGGCGTCATGGGTGCCAACGCAAAGATACAATGGACTTTTGCATACATTGTAAAATTTTGATCATTGAGTTTACAGCAGCAATTAAAAGCTTTGCATCGCCCTAGGATACTGCAATGAGCATGTATATATCCTCATTGGATACCTGCTGCTGCGGTAGCATTTTTGTTATTTATACCGCACGAAATGAAATTGTGATGAAATCGTTGGCTTATAGAATTGTGTTAATGAAGTGATTTCAAAATTCGTTTTGATAGGAATTGAAGAAGTTATCGCTCGAAATAACTGTATGTACGATATATCTGCTAAAAAATATTTTTTATTATCTGATAGCTACGTTCCGCACAGGAACTACACTTCATTCATAAACTCGGGAACGGCTGGTAATACAGTGATAGCTTTGCCAGATGACGTAGGCCAGCTTGGACTGGGGCATCTGAGTTCTACAGTAAACAGATTAGTCGTGCGTTGCTTACATATTCCGTCCAAGAATGTCGTTCATAAAGCTAATGGCTGAGTAAGGTGTAAGGTACCTGTGTCAGGAGTAAATTACGGTATTCAAATTCATAGCCATTGTAGTACAGTAGTAAGGTACCGGTACCTACTGACCTAAGTTACATCTGTACTGCAGTAGGCTACATGCGGTTTTAAGAAATGTTGGCTACCTGGATACGGCTTTACTGAGATAAATTCGGAATAATCTCAACTTTTCTGATATTGAAATTTCGCCAGTTTTTGTACAATGACAAACTTTTGGTTAGTGGAGTTCTGTACTTTGGGACAATCCTATGCCTGTATACTGGTACCGGTATACCATACAGCAATACGGGTCTCTTGTAGTTTCGTACCTAACGTACCGGTACCGTACTTCGAGTGGGCGTAGAATAACAATTTTTCGATATGTCAATCCTAACCCTCATCTGACTACGCCATCCACAAATTACGTCCCTACGACATCACAATTACGTCATAGAGCTTGCCAAATATATGTACGATCGCCCGGTTCGTGTAGTTTGAAGGGCTCTGTTACGTCACTGTGACTTCGTAGTGTCGAAATTTTTGGATGGCGTAGTCAGGTGGGGGTTAGAATTGACACATGAAAAATTTATTATGCTACGCCAACTAAAAGTATGTTAGGTACGAAACTACATGAGACCCTACCATAGCTTACTACTGATACTAAATACAGTAATATGACTGTATGGAAAAAAGTTCTTCCTCAATTTATTCAATAGAAAGTATTTTAATATTTGAATGTACTTATATGGAATTCTGCTTTTCTATTACAGTATTGTGTTACCAAACCAACAATCCACTTGTCCTAGTAGTACCTTAGTTATGAGTTCTGTTTGACCAATACATTACCCCTATTCAGTTATACTGTTATATGTAAACCAATTTCTGAATTTAAAATCTTTATCAACTATTATATATATATGTCTTTGCATAATTCTTATGACTGTATGAACGTTTGCTAATCTATCTCCCATATTTCTTATGGAGGGTTTTTAGTAATATCAGATAATCAGAATTTGAGATAGCATGAATGTTTCTATAAAGATTGGGCTAATTTCTGAATTTACAGATTTATGGCTAAAAGTAATTCATATTATGATATCTGTATACAGGTATATGTAAGTAATCGTAATCTCTAGTTAGGGGTATGTCTTATTGTATGGACTGTCTTTTTACATACATATCATTCAGTATTTGAAAATAAGGGTTCTTGTGGCTTGTGGGTTCTAATACTTGTTGAAATAATAATAATGTGAATGCTAGAAAATGGATAGTTCGACAATAGTCTCATCACAACTAGGATATTATCAGAGCATAACTCGTCAGCATTTGCATGCTGTAGTACTGTAATATTCTGACATTAGTTAGAATATGATTATTCTTGGATGCTAGGAAAAAAATTTGAAAATCTAGAACAGCTTTTGAATGACAATTCTGATAAATAAAACTCTTATATAGTTGTTTTGCTTTACGTACAGCAATAAATATTATTGTCAGATTTATAGTTGATACACATATTAAATATCCAATAGGTAGCTGTAGACCATTTATCCCTCTCACTCTGACTTGGATGTTAATTGTTTCATCACTGCTGGTTTGTAATCTAAAACCATCCAGATGTTGACTGATTTGTCCACTGTCACTGTAAAAGAAGGATGGCTACAAAAAAGAGGTATGTTTGGAATATTAGAAATTGGATTCTCATCTGTGTAACGTCTTACGACGGTATAAGTATCATTTATATACAAGTTGAAAAATGCATTTTAAAGTTTTATGTTTAATCTAACTACGTAGTCATTGTAATGTTTAACATTTAAATTGGCAAATTTTTAAAACTTCTCTAATATCTAAATCTAATATCTCCATCACATCAAATTCTATTTTTATGTTATGTCAAATGGGCACATATAACCTTGAGATTGTTGAAATAGAATATCTCGTTCAGACAAAACAGGAAATATTTTATACAAAACAAAACAATATACGGCTAGAGTTTTCTGTTTTTGAAAGTCATATCTGTGGTCAGTCTTTCATTCGAATCATCATTATCACTTGTTAATTTGTCAAACTTTGTCAAAATATATAATTTGGAATCGCATTGATTTGAAAAGACTGTCATTTTTGTGATCCATCCAAATCCATTAAACCAATCTTGTTTGAGTGCATATTGGTTTGCCATATTATGATTGTCTTCCTATTTCTTCAGTTAGTACAGAATCCATGAATTTTTTCAATTACTTATTTAAAAATAGAGAAAATTTGTCAACTTTAAGATTGTATCCATGAGTTTCAGTATTGTAGGACAATTTACACAAAAGTTATGTTCTATCTTGAATATGTTCCAAATTACCAAAGTTCTGCCATGTACGAGCTTCTGTGTCTTCACTTAAAACAAGTATCTTACTCTTGTTTTATATTTAAATATAGGTGAATATATCAGAAACTGGCGTCAAAGATATTTTGTATTGAAGACTGATGGATCTTTCCTTGGATACAAGGAAAAGCCAAGTGAAGATAATCACCAAGAACCTTTGAATAACTTTAGTGTATTGAGTAAGTTGAATATTTATGCTGTATTGTTTTATTTTGAGCAAGTTTTGGATGTTCACTGATTTTATCTGATCTATAACATATGTGTGGTTGTGTATGGTTTTATTTAACAAAGATTTGTTTTATATTTATTGACAGTTCTAGGGAAAATATTGTGAAATATTTCATTATGCCCTCATTACTTGCCTAAAAGATTTGTCTATCATATTTTTTCAGAATCACAACTTATGAAAAAAGATCAGCCTAAAGAAAACGTGTTTGTTGTAAGATGTTTACAATGGACAACTGTTATAGAGAGAACTTTTAATGCTGATTCAGCACAAGAAAGGTGAGTCATCATTACTGGTGAGGATTTATGTAATCAAATAATGCAATGCATTTACATACAATTACTATTGTGACTCGCATTAAAAGCTTTTTCAATTCAAGTTGAATCCGGCAGTTTCTATCCCACCTAGTACAGATGCAAATTTTTAAAACTATTGAAAGCTTCTTATGAAATAATGTGCCTGAACTGTTTCTGTTCAATCAAAATATAAAATAATCAATGTTGATAAAATTGCATTTTGTCAAATGTAAACAAGAGCGGTATGATTCTGCATGCTTTGAGTAAGACATTCATTGGAAAAAGACAGCGCTTGCCCATTTCCAATTAAAAATCTTCTCTAAATTAAAAACGAATGTATATGTATGCTTTCATATCTATTCTATATTATTACAATTTATCCAGGGAACAATGGATGCATGCCATTGAAAGTGTTAGCGATAAACTACAACAAACATCCGAGGGTCGAGGATCAGTGGATGAGAATGGCAAAAAGCCAGCTTCACTTAAAGTTGTAAGTTCATAGTATATGCTTAGCTAAACAACCTAATATGGATGTCAAAGTATTGAAAAATTATTGCTAATCATCAGTAATTAAGGAAGATAAATACAGGTAATAACTCAGGTTATGAAAATAAGTGGCTAATCTCGGATTTCAATTCTGCGTGCCTTCTATCAAGTCATTTCTTATTTTTGTGCTTAATTAATAATATTAATGCTTTGAAACCCATACCAAAAGATGGCCAATGGTTCCTAATGACAGAAGATCCCAAAAAGTCTATTAATGAAAAATTTAACATACGCGACTTTGTTTTTACTGCGGCAATACACCTCTTCAAGATTAAATTGATTATTATGGTCAAATACCTTGTGAGTTATGATAGGTATAAGAACTATTAGCTAGACCAGGGTTGGTGAGCCACTGACCAGCGGGGCACAAAGTGGCCCCTGATGTATTTTCAGTCACCCCGAAGTCCGCAATAACTAGTTTTTAAGTGATGAAAACTTTGATTTAATATCCATAACCCACCGTCTCAAATTACACAAAAAAACATAATTTTCGTCCCATTCATTACAAATGATTCGCCATTCCTTAGGCTAGAGTCATTTTTTGTGTGTATAAATTTATTTAATGACCGTCTCCACGCTACCTCATTCCAGACACTCACCGATTTTGAATTCTTGAAAGTACTTGGGAAAGGTACATTCGGAAAAGTGATTCTCGTGAAAGAAAAATCAACAGATCAGTTTCATGCTATGAAAATATTAAAGAAAGAAGTTATTGTAGCAAAGGTAATTTCGTTTTATACTAATTGACAATTTTGGTTATATTTTCAGTCGTCACTATATGATTTCCATATTTTGAAAATTAGATCTACCGGTAATTACCGGTACTCAGTTCTGAGGTTTGTTTTGACAATATGATAAAATATTTGTCTAATCTATGCTCAATTATAACATGTTTCAAGGGTATATTGTGGTATGTTTTTTGCGCTGGTGAAGTTTCGATCGAAATATATGAATTAAAATGACGTATTATATATCCTGGTAATTGAAAAAATAATTCTCAAAATAATAGGAGGTAGGGAACAGGAAAATGCTGTAAACAAGCTGTTTTTGATGATTTTGATACATTATCATGTAGCTTGATTCATTACCCCCCCCCCAATTTCGGGAATTGTGACATACGTTTTTTTGGCTCAGTTAACCATATTGTCAACCTATTCTTCATGTTTTCCATTTTTTCTTATTGTTTTTTTTCATCTGTATATTTCTATACTTTGTACTATGACTCTACATTTATTATCGTCCAAATAGGATTATTCTGACTCTTGATAGCTGTTTATTTAATTGTTAATATAAAAAGGTCAATTTCAGTGATTTTTGATGAAGTCAAATAAAGTTTTTATTTAATGGCAAGTCCTCTGTATATGTGGTTTTATTAGGAGAAATAAACTTTAAATATAAATGTTTTCACCATAACATGAAACGACCATTAAATGCATGTGAAGAACATGAGACCTTTAAAAAATACCTTAAAAAAAACGTATGTCGTTTGTAATGCATCCTTTCTTTGAAATAATAGGAAATTCAATTAGGGAATACTTTCATTCCCATCTAAGGAAAATGATTCAGTAACTACCAGACAAATAAATTTTATGCCCAGTTTTTTTTTCAAGAACTTCTTGTGTGGAATTCACCACCTGATAGATGCTGTTTTTCTGATCATAATATGGACATTATTAACTGCGTTAATTAGTATTTATGCAGGCACAATTCTACACTACAATAATTTGTAATCTCAATAGCTCCTGGCAATTTATTATTCGTCCATAAGTTTTCTCAGAGCTTAATCTCATTTATTTCTGAGTTGAGTGCAAGTGACCTTTTCTTAAGAAAATTTTTTTTTTTTTTAAAAAAGTATTTAATAAGGAAGAGGAATTTTTGATCTAACAACTATAATTCAGCAAGTTAGTTCATAAGCCCACTTTGTGTCCGAAAATTCTGTCAAAAATATTTTGTTCATGGCAAAAAAAATGGAAAGAAATTGTCTGCTTAGCTGATAGCCATTTACAACTGTATTGTGTGAATATTGTTTTTCTTGTATCACCAGTACCTTACTATGCTTGCGAAGGAGTTCATGATAATTTGACCTCTTGTTACTGTACAGTGCAGAATTTGACTCATCCTGTTTCTTAGTCATACGATTCTAATGCCTCAGTTGCACTGCTTTGATGATTTACTGTAATACAGTTAGTTATACCAAAATAGGCACAAATAGAGAAATGTCATTGCAGTAAGTGCTGGATTGTGATCAAAGTTTCAGTCTCTTGGCATCTGTGATTCATTGACAATTCAAAGAACTCCTTTTCTCACTTGAGTCTTGTCATGGAATCTTTGTCTTTATTGCATGGACTACCATATTACAAGCCATAGTCATTAAATGGGTCATGCATGTTAAATCCATGCTCTGTTTAAATTCATCGATTTAAAATTCTTCCATTTTCTTCTGCATTCAGGTGTCTTTTTATTTTGTGTTATTCAAACCCAATAAGCAAGCATAATCATAGATCTGGTCTGCTAGCTTGTGATAAATGTCTATAACAATCATGCCTCATACTTATTTCAAGTTATTCAAGTCATACAATCATTGGTTTCCCATGATCAAACATAGCCCTGAGCTATTTGTGACCTTGGTCAGTAGGGTTGTCCAGCGAATTTAGTTCAAAAACAATAAGATTCGTCTACAATTTATGTCAGAGAAATATACTGTTTTATTATAAAATATATCTATTTTAAATCGTGTTTCTAGTGTAAATTGATGATAAGCTGATAAACTTATTAGCCATATTTCAGATAATAGAATTCAAATAATTTCAGAAAAATTTTGTTATGGTATTCTGATTTTAATATCACTAGGTAAAATTGAAAACTTTATTGTCATAGATGTTTTTGACTGGCAGTGATAATTGGTTAGGTACATATTTACCAGAAGGTATTTTACTTTTCTCACTACTCCCACTCTGTCTAGGTCTATCACAGCTAAATCACCAATTTAGTGAACTATCAAATATCAAAAAATTTGGCAGATAATTGCAGTGTCCACTAAGTCTGAATTTCAGACCAGATTTAATGCTTGAATATTAAAATATTATAGTCAGGTCATTGATTCAGTCCTGCATTTCATCCATTTCAGTTAATTGTTTGACCTAACCGGTTCTTTTCACAGATTTGTTATTGAGAATCATGCCATGACCCCATATGGCATCCTAGTTAAGTTCGAGAAAAGGTAAATTTGTACAAATAGCCAGCAGCAATGAAATATGAACATGTCATCAGACTATTATATGTTTGACGAGGTTTCGTATTCACAACGTCACAAATTACCAAGTCTGTCTTACCATAGACATAGATACTGAAATTCACATTGGATGAGTCACTATGTCATATTCCAGAGCTGCTTTAATACTACAAGTCATTTCTATTGCTGGTTAAGTATCGGATAATCCTTCTTGTTGATGATAAATTCCTTGACTAACAGATATTGTGATGAAACATTGGTTTATGATATATGTAGAACTATGAATTCTGGAGATTAGGAATTAGTCTGATAAATTCGTTACTTGTGTGGCAAGTGGAGTCTGAAATGACTTTTACCACCATATTATTACTTTGTTTCGTCAACACCGGAATTTTCATTCTTTATTCAATTTTTTAAATCTTTTCTTGTAGACATGTTAAATGGCAAGGTGTTTTTGTGTTTGCGAATTTATTTTCAGTTCTTATAATTCCAATATGTGATGAATGAGACATTTGAGATATTGACAATCAGTATTTCAGGTTTGTTGTTGTGCCTTGATATTATCTTTTACTCCTGGACTAGTAATTGCTATGAATTTTCACCTGTGAGAGTTGCACACTAACCTTGAAGCCAAGGCAAACATTGTAAAAATTACACAGGCATGTACGTGGTGACCTAAAAACAGAACCAAGGTCAATCAGAACATATTCTAGAAAGAACATACTTTTTTTGTGCAGATCGTCCTAAATTACTGAAACTCATGTATACAATCATACACAAACATAATTTCAACTGTAATGAATAGATAATTTTTTTTCATTTTCGTAAAAGAAATTAAGAAATTCATGGGTTCTCTCTTTTGGATCACCCTGTATGAGTGCATATCCGAATAGGCCTATAACAGATAGTAGCAGGAATTTTTGATGATGTTGACTAATTATCTGATAGTGGAAATAATATGTTCATTAGTTTAGTAATATAAAAGTTTGTGTTGGACAATCGTGAGCTAATTGTCTGAATATAAAATTTCATAACATTGTATTGGAAACGTCACTGTTGATTGATTAAAATCAAGTTCAGCTGATTTATACCATACCGGTTTCTATATTGCAACCATATTTCTACAAATCGTACCTGATTTTGATCGCTGAGATAACCATAAGGTTGTTTATGTCATTTTATGATAGAGACGCTTTATTGCCTATCCTCTCTCTCAGGAATGAACAATTTAATGCTACTAGTCGAAATGTTAGGTATAGATGGGATAGGATTATCATATTTGCCCCAATGAGTGGAAAGTCAATAGCATGGCTTAATCATATTTCAAACTACTGCTTCTCAATGTTTTAATCACTTATTCGTTTCAGGTACATGGACTTAATAAGAAAGAAATCGTAACCGACCAGTCGACCATCATTTACTTTAACCACCCAACGAAATATTTTTCATGCCAACAGTTCGAAGGGGAAGTTCTAAAATTTAAATTGCCCCAATTACCAGTGTCAGTTGATATGAAATAAATTAATAAATAAGGTTATAAATGCAGTTTATAATGTTGTAGCAAATGATCTGTTATAGTATTACTGCCTGCATTGATCATAAATGCATTAGCGATGAATTAGTGACCTGGGTTTTGCCTCTAATATTAGATACATTAATCCATTCAAATAGAACATCCGCTTTCAAAGCTTACATTCTTACCTTTCTTCAGAACCTATTTAATAACTTGTAATAGACCCTATTACCTGTATTGAGATGAGAAGTGGCCTTTCATGATTCATGCGTCCCATAGCTTTGCTAAATACAACCTACGTGTTACTTCCTGACAGATTGTATATGTTTGACAAACGTAATAATTTGTCTTAAGGCTTTTGATTCACTATAAAATAGAGTAGAAAATGGATTAGGTTGATTGTCGAAGGCATATTCAATTTTTTTTCATTATTTGATAATTACCGTAGTAATGGAAATCGTGATTTTTATATGAAATTTCTTAGCGTTATTATGATTTTACTTCGAATTTTTTTTTGTAATCAAAATTTATTTCAATTCATCAGTATATTTAGATATGAACAGTGACTTTTACAGGTATCGTACACCTAGTATTCATTTCAATTTGAAATATTTATGTGTATTCAGTTTGGATTTGAATTTTTGACGTACCTTTCTAGTTTTGAATTACATATTCGTCATTATCTTTGACACAATGTCATTATCACACAGTCCTTTCACATTAAGCAATACATAAAAATTCTATACAATAGAAGTCTGGATTTTACAGCAACAGATTAAATGCATGAAATGCACTTATTTACTTTGATTCTTACATCATTGCATCTAATAAGAACATTAAAAATATTTTATTTCATTATTATTTCACAGGATGAAGTGGCTCACACACTAACAGAAAGCAGAGTTCTGCAGACTACAAGGCATCCATTTTTAACGGTAAATATTTCAGTTATTTTATTTGTTTTGATATTTTAAATTCTTTTTCAGATATATTGGTAAATTTTTAGAAAGTGAGCCACACATTTGTGCTCATTTGAACAAGTCAATGTAAAACTGATACATGCAATTACCACTAGGTTAAGAAAGTCCAAAATCTTCCACATGTAATATATCATACTACCACGGCTGTAGATGAGCTTGTGTCACAGACTCTTGGTTTCTATATGATAACCATATATTAATATATAAATAAATAAAATCATGCATTGATACGCAATATGCTACTATTCTCTAATATCAATCAGTTTAATGATTTTATTATATAAGCTTAGAAGATTCAGTGTATTTATGTTTCTCAATCATATGACCTATCAACTATTTCAAAATTTCGAATAAGATCATGTTTATTTATTACAATATGGGAAAGTCATGGATGGGTTTGATTCCCTAATATGCTTAATTTCATATCCCTTTCATCGCCAAAATATTTTCTTCATGTTATAGTTAAAATACAAGCTAATAGTTTCTCTCTATTTTTACAGCCATTATAAAATTAATTCTTATATTCTTGAAGTGCACTTGCAAGATGTATGAAGTACATTAATCCGTGATACATCAATGCTATTTTGTTAACTGTAGTACATTGGGTTGTTTGAGTGGGTGATTGTTGTCATTCCGTGTGTGTTCTGCACCGTTTCACCTGATAATCATTTGCCAGTTTCTGTCTAAACATAGTGACTCATTGCCGGCCTTCTGTTACCTTATGTTCAGTTGCGCTGGTCTTTGATTTATTCAATGCAGTCTGATATATGAATTATGTTATGTTACATACCAAGTGAGTATCTATTGTAACGAGGCGGCACATTCTTTGGTTGGAAGAAAGGCATATGATTTTACATTTGATGATTATGTTTGTTTGTATTACTCGATAACAAAAATATGCCTAATTAACCAACTATACTACTATACTATATCATATCATATATAAATTTTATATGATGAATCAAATAGTTAATTGGATTTGAAATTTGGTTATATCGTTATTTGATTTGATTTGAAGTATTTTTTGGAATATTTTTGTCTGAAAATTTAGCATATTGGAAAATAATAGTAATACATCACTAATTACAATTTTTGTGGTTTAACAATGATTTTGGCAATTTCCCTTTGCACTCAAACCAATTTAGAACATATCAGATACTTCATATTTTAAAATAAAATATCACAATATGTTTTGCTATTCCTGGTTTTACAGTAAAGTTGCAACATTCGGTATCTGGTAAATTATTAAATTTAGATTTACCTTGATGTTTTATTCCAATATGCTTTTTTGTATCAGTTTTTCTGGTGTGTTTTTCATTATTCTTTTTGGTACTGATATATAAATAATATATATTTCTTTATTTCAGTCTCTCAAATATTCATTCCAGACGAAAGATTACTTATGTTTTGTAATGGAATATGTAAATGGAGGAGAGGTAAATATCAGTTTGATTATTTTTGTATCTGATAACAAAGTGAATCAGTATTAGATATCGAAATATGTTTGTCAGTGTATATATTTTTGTTTTTTAATCTTGTACTTCTAGATATTTCATGAGAATGTGAAAAATAAAATTTTTTGGGCACAAACAAATGTCCCAAACCTACTACTTTCTCGCTGGATGAAGTTGAGTTTGTTTGTTTAGTTTGGTGTATTTGACAATAATTATGTTTTGTGTGGGGTAATGTTATATAGCTTTACAAAGTATAATGATCAATTTTTTAGACTTACTAGGCACCCTTTATGGTAGATAATGTTATATGAAAACCATGGCATGTTCTTAATGTGACACTATATCTATATATTATATTTTTCCAAATCGTTTATATTTTTAAGGGAAGTTTTTCTAAGAATTTTGACAAATACTTTTTGAAATTTTAATGAATTGGAATCAGCACAAATTCAAACTTCTCTCAAGCAGTAATTATAAAAAAAGGAAGTTTTATAACGTTATTATTTCCTACAGATTTTCTCATGGCAAAATATGTGCATATCTTTTACCATTAGTTATGGAGAAATTGCTTTTTGTTTATACAAGTATAAGAGTATTCCTGGAAAGCACTATTTCTACATAGCCTGTGTATTTATTCGAAGACTTATACAGGTTTAAAATTTTGATGTCTGGAGTATTTTATGCTTCGCATACTTTTCCAATTTCAATCTTTATCAACCCGATAAATGCTCAGTCATTGTTGCCCATTATGATGCAATTGTTGTTCAACAATAAACAATTAATTTTTTGTGAACTCAAATGAGTTCTTATTTGTCTAATAAACGTTTAAAAATTGATTTGCTACATGAATGAACTTTTCATAAGGGGATCTTTGATATTTTATTTGACGCAATAATAAATACAAGCCATGATCGGTGGATCATTATTATGCTAAGAATAGAATTCATTTGTTTGTCATTTATGCAATGCAGGGATGACCTCACAGTCTTACCTTATACTTTATGTGATAATTGGTTTACATAATTATAATGGTGATAGTTCTTACAGAATTAGAATTTGTATTATCTAATGTGGAATAGTTGAATAGCTTGAAATTCCATATGCGTTTGTGACTGTATGTGTTGATGACCATATTGTTGATTTCGAAAATCTGTTATCCATTACTTTAATAAACTCTTTTTAAATTTATTTTGAGGAAAAATTACAATACTGCTGTTGCTGTCAAACAATGCCCTGGCCCCTGATACATAATTCACTGCTATAAATCATTTTAGTTTTAGTATTTTTTGGTATTTTTGTGGTTACCTTTAATTTTTTCTCTGAGATGTTGAGTGAATTGACATGATCTTTCTACGAGTGATTTATTACTTTAGTAAAAACAAGCTATTTTTGTGCAAAATTTTTGGTTATATCATGTTTTGATTTGTCACAAACACATAGGCGACATGATCCACTGTTTTTCGGTGTGTCCAGGAAAATACTAGGTGTAGTTTTGAAACAAACATTCATTAATAGAACCTATTAATAACAATAAGAACTGAAAATATGTCATATGATTTACCTGTGCAAAACAAGCCTCGTTCAATACGAAACTGCTTTCTGAATACACTTGTTTTTCCCGCCATCCATCTACTCCTATTCAGACTATAAATAGCATATTGGATTGACAATTGTTTTATCTTTGGTCCATCATTGACCGAATAACAATTGGTATTGAATTAGTTAACCAGCGGACTTGCTTTATATGTGTAATCTGCTTGGCCGCTCACCATATTCATTTGGTATGTTTGTGAATGATTACACGTCAACGTCATTTTCTCTGTAATAGAAAAACAAGGTTGATAGCTTCTGAGAATTCCACTTCAGGTTTTAGCTCGTTTTCAAATCTTGTTTACTTACTCGGAGTCTTTTTCAAATAATATGATTGTCGTTATATGTCAGAACCGAGAAAAACAAGATGTCACTGTTGTATTGAAAATATGAAATATTTAAAATGTCAAAGTTCATTATTGATTTCCGAATTTATTTGCGTATTGTGTGACGATGTATGAACCTCAAGATACTAAAAATTGAATTCATTGATCAGTTATATTTATCATCTGTAAATCCCCTCTTTAGAGCTACTTCTTATTGGTGGTAGCAGATTTGTATATAAATATTCCAAAACGAAATTTTTCCATCTTATTATGTGCATTTAGAAGGCATGTTATCGAAAACTCATAAATAGATTACCTGTCTCATCGTGACAATGAGTCCAAATTGAGAAGTTTAATACATTGTAAAATGGTTATATTCAATATTACAAATTCTTGATCTTAGGATCAATTCGAAATATATAAAAATTTATTGCTCAGAGCTGTTGACACTCATGAATCAGATCAGAATTAAGCTTGATTTAGCATGTAATGACTGTATGAATAGAAAATAAGCTTAATTTGACATGTGATACTGAAAGTCTATGAATATACAATTATTTTTGCATGTTCCGTGTTGGAACAATTTAAAAATATATGGATGTTATATCATGTCCAAAATATTATTCCAAAATGTTTTTGGAATAATAAACTATTCTGTTTTAGCTCTCTTTTTTCATCATTTCTTCGACCATGTTACTTTAACTGGCACTGGCATGGCGTGGCAGTACAATCAAAGTTGCGTTTTAAGGTTTTGAGAAAATCCTGTTTTTGCAATGGTTCGGTTCTAACAGCCAAACCTAAAAATGGAGTAGCAGCACTAGTTAATTCTTCTATTATGTTTTTCAGATATTTTTTCACTTATCACGAGATCGTATATTTCCTGAAGACAGAGCGAGGTTCTACGGAGCAGAAATTGTATCAGCACTCGACTACTTGCACAAACAAAATGTTATTTATAGAGATTTAAAGGTGATGGCTGTGTGACAATTTAAATCAACATCGGCTTTTAGCTTATGATGCTTCCATATTCATCAATACTTTTATAATGTAGGATTGGTATATATATCCAGGGGGAGATAAAAGCCAATAAGACTGCCTAATCCTATGGCGTACCAAGACCTCCCATCCAAATGCCAGTCCATGTCTGGTATGGGATTAGTTAGCCAGGTATTTGTATAAGGTGCTTGGACTTGATGGTGGAGAAACCGTTACTGACCAGCTGTTGTGTGAACCACCCTACGGCAACAAGTACTTCAGCAATGCTCTCGCATATAATTGTCTCACTCACGGTTTGAACCCATGTACGGTAATAAGAGGAACGATGGCCTGATGTACATTCTATTTTTACTATGGTCAAAACTTCCAAACTTGCTATGTTTGTACCACTACTATTCCTACCATTTTATTCGTTACTAGATTCTAGTAGATTGCACAAGAAAACAACTTTTAAATTAACTCTGAATACATTTCAAACATTTCCCCTGGTACAGTCTCCAAATTCTACATTTTGAAATTGAATGTCTTCGAAAATGAAGACAATTTTTAGAAATGATATAGCCTGAGATGTTCAAAATATGACCTGAATATTTGGATACATTAGAAGTTGGTTATAAATATCAAATCAAATTCATAATTTTATGAATTATTTCGAATATTTTTGTTTTAAAATTTGCTACTCTAAGCAAGCATTCTTCTGTTGACTGTTTGCTGAGTCAGAGAAAAATTTTATTTTATTCATAACGCTGGGAAAAATAGAAAATCGAAAACATTGTTTTTTTGGCGCTCCAGATGTGTGTGTACCAATATGGAGGTAACTAATTTTGTTCGCCTACTTTACATCAAGTTGTGTAAAGGGATTGAAACCTATGTGCAGGGGGATATTCACTTGGCTAACACAGACAGAACTCTTTAATCAATAGAACTAGAATAAGGAAAATTGAAATAAAATTATGGCCTTACCTTAACCTGGTACACACACTACAGGAGTACCATATTTTTTCATATCGAACATGTTTTCATTTACAATATATTGGATATTCCATATTCGAAAATATTATTTTATAATGTATTCATAGTATCAACCATCCTTCTATGTAGCATGCATTTCATTTTAAATAACAGAACAATATTTACCATTTGGTTGTTTTCTATAACCTTTCTTCAATAACAATAATATTCCTCAGTATTTAATAATATAATTCAACTGAATCATATTTCACAGCTTGAAAATTTACTGCTGGACAGTGAAGGTCATATAAAAATAACTGATTTTGGTTTGTGTAAAGAAGAAATCTCGTACGGTGGAACAACTAAAACATTCTGTGGAACACCTGAATATCTTGCACCTGAGGTATTGAATGATTCAGTAAAGTTAATATTTGTATTAAAAATTATTATATCAATATTCATATAGATTATCAGCACTTTACCAGATGTTTAAATAACAATTTATTTAGCATGGCTGCTCCCCAACCGCCAAGCTATTAGATTTGTACTATATTCAATATACACATTCATTTGTTGCACTCGCACCTATGTTGTTTTGATATTTTTGCATACTTCATTCACAATCTTATTCTTTTCCCAGGTATTAGAAGACAACGATTATGGTAGATCTGTGGATTGGTGGGGCCTCGGTGTCGTAATGTACGAAATGATGTGTGGTCGATTACCATTCTATTCAAGAGATCATGAGGTGCTATTCGAACGTATATTAATGGAAGATATCAGTCTGCCGAGCATGCTTTCGGGTGACGGACGTTCCCTACTGTCAGGACTTTTATGCAAAGATCCTCGCCGCAGGTAAAGTTACAATTTAATTAGTGCACCTTCATTATTTGAATTGTTGACGTCTCAAATTGGCGTTATTTTACTAGAATGTAGTCGGAACAAAACTACCTAGTTTGATTCATACATTTCAAAGCACGTACGAGGCGTGACTTTTTACAAACCCAATTTAATTTTGTTGTCATGTTCTAGAATCTGATTAATAAAATATTGTTTCTTTTAGACTTGGAAGCAGTGCTGCTGATGCAACTGAAGTGATGGGACATACTTTCTTCTCTAGAATTAATTGGAAAGATCTTTATGACAGAAAGGTAATGTTCGATATTCCTTCTTTAATTTTGCACACATAAATTCGTATGTTTTCTCTGAACAAGGGTATGATGAAGCAGACAGTGCTAAGGAAGAATTTTCTAGTTATGCAAGAATTGGAATCTTCCCTGTTTGAGATTGCCTACCCAACTTGATTATACTCTGGGTGAACCCCAAACCTTACCCCTGTTATGCCAATATAGTTTGGTCTAATACTGTTTATCACTACCAAATCCCACACTTCTTATTCTCACTATATTTATTTACTTAAGCTTAATAAGGTTCTATCAATTTCCACTTATCGCAAAGCACCTCACTTCAAATCAGTTGCTTGTAAAATAGTTTTTTGTAGAAAAGCTGCTTTTAAAAGTCTGTGAGCATCAAACAATTACTTCAATGGAGTAGCGGGTTAGTGTAATGAAATACTCATAGTAAACAATGCTTTCAGCATTAAGTTCATTTCTGTGTGCAGTCTTAGTATGTAAGAGTGGAGAATTTTTTCAATATTCCAACAAATAGTTTATGTTTAAATATGGTGCAATCCATAACAAATATCATAAATCAATCTATCTTTTTATTTTGTCGATAGATTCCACCACCATTCAAACCACAAGTACAAAGTGCTACCGATACCAGATATTTTGATGAAGAATTTACTGCACAACCTGTCGAATTAACACCTCCTGACCAATGTAAGATCCTTTAATATAGATTATTCTGTTAGCTGTGTATTTTTATCCATAGATGTCACTTGTCGGTAAAACCAATCTTAGAGTGAATTCAATAACACAAACTTAATGTTTGTCAATTCAATTTGTTAGCGTATTTCTATTCATACTTTTATTAAAAAATGTTATACAACACAACACTCTTTTGCTCCTATTTGAGCAACCACTGATGATATGTAAGGATCTACTCTTATTTAACCTTTAACCCTGAATGAGATGGGTACATGGGATTTGAACCAGATATATGTAATCTGCTATGCCACCACAGCTAGGTTCAACGCCTAATCGCTAGGTCATCGCACCGCCAATATATTATTATATAAAGTTATTCTCAAATTTTTTCTCTATTACTAAAGAGGAATAACCTTATTTATATCCTGATATATTTTTCTTCAGCTGCATCCATCGATGACATGAACAAGCCACATTTCCAGGCGTTTTCTTATACATCCAGTGGTGCTGCTAATTTCAAGGCATAGATGCTGTGAATTTGCAATGCACGAAGGAGATTCCACTGCTATCAGTACATACAAACACAAGTTACTGTAAGCTCTCAAAAGCTCGCATGCTACTTTCATCTTGAAAAACAAGGAAATCAGAAATTGTCGCACGCACATAAAAACTCAGTCGCTATTGCTACTTTTTCTGAGCTGTGAGCTGCCCTATTTTGCACTGCATTTTCCAATTTCTAAAAGTGTATGTTTAAACAAGAAATAATTTATCATGCAGTTGGGAGAATTGCCCAATAAATGGCTCTTTACGTCACTTGAAATTTTAGTGATTTTTATGTTCCTTGAACTTACTCCCGCATCTTTTTAATTGAAATTATGATTCATTTAAAGATTGCGCAGCTGGATAAATCGTAATAAACTGCATTTCATTTTCACCTCACTATGTGTACCAAGTACCAAAAAATTGTTTGTGCTAATTCCTTATTTTACAAAGCATATATGGGCAAAATATAATATAACATGTCCTAATATGGTGAAGGATGTTAAGGCAAGTTTATTTTTTTTATCCAGTAAAGCTGGTTATCGAGCAGTGGCCCTAGCAACACTCAGAGTAGTTCCTGTTGCCGATAGACTGTAACTCATTAACGGCAATTTCTAATGCTTTATTCGCATCTGAAAATATTTTAACTCATTTTCGTTTGGATATTTTGCAATTTCAATGCACAATAACATTGTTTCAATGTTTACAGAGTGAGAATCACATCTTACCTACTGCATTTTATCAAATGATGGAGACTAGAATGTTGTTCCTTTTTTTCAAATGCATAGCATTACCTCCACAGTAAGTCATTCCCCACTGTATATCCCCTACAAAATTTTAGTCATATGTTGAGCTTTCTTTCCAGTGCAAAAATTCCATGTTCTAATATTTGTGGTGTCACCAATACTTCATTTTGAATTTCAGTATTGTGATGTATAATTTGCATTTTATGGTTATGTACGAAATGAAGGAATTGCACTGGCAATTTACGTATTCAGTCATCTTGTGAAACATTAGTGTTTTCAAAGCAGTTGTCTTCCACATAAGTAGTAAGATCATGTTCAATGATAATGTTTCAAGTTATATTAAGTCACCTTCATTTTCAATCAAAGGTTTTGAAATTGGATTGAAAATTCAAATACATTGCATCAAAATTTAGTAAATATTAATATGATTTTAATGAATTTTCAGAATATATTCAATGAATTGAAATGTATGTATATGGGACACTATTCAGAGTGGCACAATTTAAAACATTCTTTAACTTTCGTATTCTACCATATTTTCAAAATGTTCCTAAAAAAGTTTAGTTCAAATGAATTGTGATATTTGATGAAAATAACAATGTGATTCTGCTGAATATGGAAGTTCTTCACCCTTTTTAATTTAGACTCTAAACAAATGCTGATTTTCAGAGTGTATTGTGTATACATTGGCTTGTCGAATACACCTTGTTAAAGGTGTATTCCTGCATCCGGATTTTCCGCTACGCTATTGTTGATATATGAGCTTTTTTTCATGCCTTTTACTTGATGCGTTTTGCTGTTTATGCGCTTTTTATACATGAATCACTGCAATTATCTATTATGCTATCGTGCTAATTTTCAAAGTGTATTGTAGCCCTTTCTATGAGCTAAGGAATGGATGGATATATGTTATTGTATGCTCGTGCTTTGTTCATTTTTGAAATTCTCTATGATTTCAGTTACCATTTTTAAAAGTCATGCCTGCTTCCATAGTATACAGTTTCAGATTCGGTGGCTTTTTTTTATTGTTTTCATTTACTGTACTCTGATTTTCAACTTGCCTTGATGATTTGCCTGTTTCGAAGGCACTTTTGCCTATCATTCAGTCACATAATATCAGTAGGTGATATTCTACATAACTTCCTCTCGTTGGAAAACATCAATCTTCCTTTGTGGAAGTCAACATGCTTTGCCTGCCCAGATAAGGTCTGCTCTATTTTTTAATCAAACATTTGAAGAAAAATGTTAATTCTGCTTTGCAATAAACTATTTTGTTGAATTCTAAACATAGTTTTGATTTTTGTTTTCTCATCTCATTTTATGATAATGAGTATCAATAAATATGACCAGCTTTTGACTGAAAATGGCCAGTGTTCAAAATGTCTTTTTGGGCAATTTATACATTGTTTTTCGATTTTTTACTTCAAGGAGGGCCTTTTTCATTAAATGGTTACTCGATCTTGCCCTGAAAAAATTATCTTCACAATTCCTGAAGAATTGGCCTCTCGTTAAGTAGGCAAACCTGATGTTATTTTGCATGCCCTTTGTCTATGATAAAATTGAGTTTCTAACTCTTTGAAAACCCAATATCGTATTTTTGAAATCTACCCAAATTATTTTTTATCATTTATATGATTTATAGACTACTTTTTTGCTGTCGTGTATTCTAGCTACATATTCATATTATTATTAATCGACCATCAATGATAATAATAACAATATTAATAATAATATATGAAGAAATGAATTTGTGTCGTGGTTTACTAAGAATAAAATTGGGTGTAGAGAGCAGTGGTAACATTTCGAGAAAGATTATCAAAACGTTCTAAGGGTTTACAAATTTCGTTTCAAGTGGAATGCTATTATCAAATCATGTCATACTGATTGTAAAATTCTTGAGTGGGGCTTCGACTGTATTTGCTGACATTTGAATAGCAATCTACAAGTGTAAAATTCCAGGGCAAGAACAAGCAAACTTTTAATCAGCAATGCGCCGCGCCATCAACACCACGAAAACCTGGAAGAATAAAGTGTAGTGCCTTCATGAACATTTTTATAAAATATCTAAGCATTTATATTGATCTTTCAAGTTAGGAACATTCGATCATACAGGGAGTACTAATCAGTGGTAGGGCTACAATAGCGAGTGTGTTACCATGACCAGATAGTAAAATTGTGAATATTTTGAACGTTTCGTAAAATGCGCCGAGGTTTCATAACCGATTTACTGCCATCAAGGCAGACAGACCCTAATACCACAGTGTGAAATTTGGATTGGGATACTCGTATTTATGCACAGGAGAAGAAACGGTTTATAACACGTGATATAAGCAGTGATGTATCTATTCTAGAGGGTGTGACAGCCATGACTCTGCCATGGGCGCCGCTTGACAGGCGCGAAAAAATAGCGAAAAGTTTTAGCTGTAAAATATATCAATAATTTCAAATTGGAAATAATTGAAACTCGTATTTTTACTCACAATAATAACGTACAGGTATCTCAATTCAACAACAGTCTTTCAAAATTGTCAGTCAACGATTAAGGGGGCGCATTTTTAAACTTTGCCATGGGCACCATTTTACGTAGATGACCCCCTGGATATAAGGGTGTCACCAGGTGGGTGCTGAACCCAATTTGGCAATTATTGACCATTGAAACTGCAAAAGGCATATTTACCTCGTACAAAACTACTTACGAACAGTAAACGGCGTAGCGATGTGGCCCATCGCGCTAAGCGTTAGGAATACCCTCGCTACCGCACCGCTGATTACCCTGCGTGGGTTCGCAGGTTCAAAACACATGTGGGGATGGTTATGTGCGAGAGAATTGCTGGGCACCTTGCCACTTTAGGAAGGTTCGCGCACCGCTGGTCGCCATCAAGTTCATGCTTCCGAAAACAAATAACTAACTAATCCCATACCCGACATGGAATGGTAACCGGACGAGAGGCCGTGGTTTGCCATATGGCTGAGCCACCTTATCGACTTTCCTCTCCCCCGGAATAAATATGTTAATCCTATCCTAAACGAAAAATAACGTCAGAACGACCAGTGTGCTTGGTGTCATCTGTGAGCGGCATCATTGTAAGTATCGATTTGTCAGAAATATCGATTGCTAAACGTCGAATATGGCCATCGAAAATATGATGTCTTTGAAAGAGTTAAAAATAAGAATGGTGTCATATTTTGGAATGAGTTTGTTGTCATACGTTCTATTTTGCTTATTATCAAGTGAAGGTCTCCCATACCCCAACGTCGAATCATAGATAAGGTATTTTAACTTGAAGTAAATCCGTATGTATACCCATTCTTTAAATTGTTTCACACGATTTGGTTGATTAATTGCTCAATTTGTCTACTAAATTATTTCCGTTTTCGTATCGAAATTTTGGCACCTACAGGACAATGAATGTACTTTACGGCATTGTCCATGTCGTGTGTAAAATACGGAGAATCCGCAAGTTTTGACCAAATGAAAGCAGAGACAAATTTCGAATTGCCAATGTTTTTTATTTTGAAATGGAATCTAACGTAATGGATTTAATGAATAAACCTACCTCAAATTTAAATTTCATTTCGTTAGAATTCATTTGGCCATAGCAATAGATTGTAGTTTGTGAAAGTGACCTAAATTTCCGGGTATTGAGGTGTATGACAGGGAACATCTTGGGCCCTGAAGGACCTGGTCTACTTGTTCTTTATTTTATAGTGAAAACTGCAATAGATTACTGCAATTAGAAAACTGCAATTAGATTATTATACAACAGAACGAACGTGCATTTCAGCTTAGAGTTGAAGAAAATAGGTAATTTTTTTCTAATGAAAACGTAATAACATATATAATAATAATTTAAAAAGGTTCAACTGTAATAGTGATTTTCTCAATCATATATATTATTGGACACTAACTGAAACTCGCGCTTGGCAAAACCAGATTATATTGTACGCAAAGTGGCCTAATTTATTTTACAGAAATATCAATTATATATATTAAATACCAAATAAATATTGCCCCGACCATAACCACCAATCCATAGCATTTGGATTTTATATCCAAAATGTTACTGTCTGGCGAAAATAGTATAGCAAGAATAAATGGTCGTGTCTGTTCACGTATTAAAATAGAAGTAGGCAATTAGTAAAACGATATATTTCTGCGTGTCTGTTGCATATGTGAGATATTGATAATCTATTGACTGGTGGTTTTTGTTATAAGCTGATGGACTTTGCGCACGTTGGAAAATTAGTAGCGTACAGTTGTGAATTGTAGTTGACCAGAACATTTTATATGAGTTAAAAACGCAGAAATAAGGATATTGTGAATTAAAAAGATCGAAAATGGATTTACAGGGAACGATACGTTATGAACCGATATTGATTTATCAAGTTCCATTTTGCCCGCCTTTCTGGACTACCGAAACCAACTTTACTGGGCCTATTCCCTCATCAAAAACGCTATGGAGTCATCTTCCTCAATCGTGTCAGATGTCGAACGCAATCGCAGCAGGGGTGGCGTCTTTTATAGCAGTTTTCTGTGTTTTTATCCACGTTGCTACGCTCGTGGCTTATTCCAGTTTACAACACAATATTATTGAACGTGAATTGAGGTCTACGGACGACAAAAAGAACGGAATTCGTAGGAGAACTGATTTCAGTGCCATCAAAGAAGCAGCAGATTACGCGTTCGCCATGAAGGTACATACCTAACAAATTCCTGTTCAAAATATTATTTTGTTTTGGTCAAGTAAAAAATTAGGAATTAAGAAAATTTATAAGAGTGGGATATTCAGAGCTTGAAGGGGTTTCGGAATATCAAATAAACGCGTCTGAGGTATGTAAATATGGGTGAAATTTCTGTGATGGTAGGACTATCGGGAGAAACTATTACTTTGTTTATTATCTGCAGTACATGGACATATTATATCTCTGTGAATACGCGTCCCGTCTTGATTCTAATTCTGTATTTTTAGACACGTTTTTTTGGTATTACGAAACCCTAACTTTCCAACGCTTGTCATGTTCGTTGTGAATTAGATTAATCATGGTTTTTTATGAAATTAAATTGGATAGAATTTCAACAACAAATTGTTACTATCAACACGGCTACCAGGCTCTGGCGATGATAATACTAACATGCAAAACAATGACTAGTTTACTGGTATTTATTAATATAATATGACTACTTATGGGAACACTCTTATGTGACCTAATAAACACCTTTATATGATATATACGTTATGCAATTCCTTGACATTTGGCTATGATGTTGCTGATATTGCTATAGTAATACCAAATTTTTTGATTAATAAAGTACATTAATTTGCCTGAAGAGTGTATCTAGGGTGACGTAGACTAAAATATCTTTTATTTCATTATTCACTATTTTTATTCTACAACTCAAATTCTTTCCAATAAAGAAATACAGTATATATACAAATGCCTCGTTGGCTTATATGCATTTCTTGCAAACTTCTTCTTGTTAAAAGTCATTCTTTCCTATATTTTATACAAACTTTTTTGTCTTACAGACTCAAGCACGTCTTCGGAAGACGTTTGCTGTTTCCGGATTACTATCAGGTGGATTATTACTTCCGATTGTCGTAGCATCCACTGCTGCTGCTTACTCACGACCATTTCCGCATTCAGTTTTTCACGAGACTTTGGATTCCCTGCGCAGTTACAGTGTCACTATATCTGTGTTGTTTCATTTAACCCTAACATCGTCGTTGTGTACACTCTTGTTGATGGTTGTCGAAAGACTGCGTGAAACCCTCCGAATGTGTCCCGATCACTTTTTTAAATCTCCGGCACAAGATACCTCGTCTTTGAAGAAGAAACATGCAAACGACATGACAGATTCTGCCGTTTCGTCCCGGAAGAACACTGGATCGAGTCGAAGGAGTGAGAAATGGAAAAGAAACTCGGACATATTCAACTTCAACGAAAAACTCAAAATCGAGGAGACAGTTTTGTACGCTTTTAAACAATCGTACACTGCAATCGACCTGGTCATGACCCTCTTTGTTCCTGCCCTCACAGGCATAGTGACAACCCTAGCAGTTGCAGTTTTTGAGGCACACTTTGAGCTGTTCGGATTAGTTGTTAATGGTTCGCCCCAATCTGATAGAATGCCCTCAATTAATGGCCTCATATCTTATAAATACGGTTCTTATCCGGACTCTGTTTATACATATTCTGCCACAATCGGAATTATACTTGTTGCGATAATATTTGCAAACTTTGTCTCTGTTCTACGATGCTATACACTCATGAGCATTGCCAGATACCTTCCTGGATTTCATCACACCCGAGATTTATTTAAATTCAACGAACAGAAAAAGAATGGAAACAGTCGCAATAACAGACCTAGAGCCTTTTCTAGGATTATTTCTCCGGATTCAGTTCGTCTAGCAAGAAAAAAAAGTTGGAGCAAGGGGCAAAATCGCCAAGACCCTGACGGTCTTTCGATTGATTCAAAGGATGAAACATTTTTAGAGGATTCGTTATCGAGTTTACCTCTACCTCCTCTCCCAGATCCTTCAAGGCATTCTGTAATGAGCATGGATAATTTATCACTTCCACCACCGCCACGACCAGAATCCATGGCAGATATACCAGAACGGAGTTTGGATATTGCTTTCCCATCCCTTCCTTCAATAGCACGCAGAGAAGAACGAATTGAGATCGAAGAACCCCCTGCGAAAGATCTGGCAACAGTGAAAGCTGAAGCCTTCTTTGGCAACGTAAGGCAGTCAAAGGTTGTTACAACTACATTTTTGTTGTTCATTTTGCTATCTTTGCCATTACTTGTATTATTTGCTTCGGGTGTATTTTATCCTCACGATAGTCGTTTGTTTAGCGTTATGGGAGGACCGATAAACTACACTAACATCACATCGAAAATGGCAGATCCAATTAGAGCTGTTCCTCAAATTAAGGAGGAAATAGAGTCCAGCGTGTACGTCGAACCAACGCCGCCGGATAATCATAAGTATACTGAGCCAGTTCTCATAACTGCAGTTGTGGACAATGGTAGAGACGAGAAAGCCTTCAAGCAAATGCAAAATTCTGCAACTCAGAAAAACTGGGTTACCACATTAGCTGCCGTTTTTTTGATACTATTTGCTTTATCCAACGTTGCACCGTTTTTCGCATATTGCGCGGCATCAAGAAAGTTTCGATGTGAAGTGAAAAGATTTTTTTGTTTCTGTTTATGCTTCCGATGGAATCGCTACGGAAAACACAACAAGAAACTCAGCGACGAGGACATAGTACGCTCACGAACTAATCGAACATTGACCACCAACAACTCTATGCGGGTATCGTCTCGTGGTCCACGGGATAGGTCAAGTTTACCTCGGGATAGTATGCGACATTCTTTCAAATATTATAATCGGGGGTATAATCGACCTCCTTTAAGAAGAGAAAAGACTTTTGCTGCTCCACGAAATGTGTCATGGGAGATGCCAGATTTTGGCACCGCCAGGCTGTAAACGTTTTCAAATAACAGGATTGAAGTTATTTTAAAAGACCAATGGCTGACATACAATCGGTGTCTGACTGAAAAGGAAAGATTATGATGAGTGATATATTTACAGTTGGCTGTAAACTATTTGATACGTTCCCGTCCCGGATGTGCCATGCTAAGACTGACTTGCGCCGGTAGGCCAGTTGCACATAAGCGTTTACGTTATTACGATCGACATAAGAAATGCAGATGAAACATTTTGGGTATATTTATTTTGGAAATTCGACCACCTTATATATTTTATATATAGATAATTATTTATATATATATATTGTAATGTTACTTCGGTAGGTCTATACACGAATGTTCTCTGTAATTTGGAACATTTCTATTTAAGCCTACTTCCTGAGATTTGTATTCTAAGTAATGTTTTTATCGTTTTAGTAATTAAATATCAGTATTTAGCTTGCAAGCTTATTTTGTATTGTATTTAGTCATGTTTTCACATGAAATTAACTGATACTTGGTCATTATTTGTGATGAGAAAGACTGATTATATATTTGAATGCATAATGAATGAAAACCCATGCTTGTGAACTGTGCATAATAACTTCACCTTAATCAAAAAAAGAGTTGTTGTCTGAAATTTTTCCAGATTTTTTGCTTACACTTTGTATATTGTATATTAACAGAAAATATTGATATAAATATGTGAAGCTCAAAAATTTTGATAGTAATAAGATATAGAAAAATGATGAAATATGTTTCAATATAATATATATATATACTTTCTTGATGCAATCATATATTTTAGTATTTCACGATTTCATTAAGTCGAAAAAGACAAAAAGTAAGTGCACGATTTTATCTGGTCGTCGTGAAATAGTACTTAAACGATAGCAGAAAGGCACTTTTAGTTTCTAATCAATTCATTTACTGTTCTTGGAAATGTATTTTAAAGAAGGTTATTGATGCCGCTGTACACAATTATATGTCATGAGCAAAACTACACTCGTTTTCTTAATGGTACATATTTAGCGTAGATCATGGCACTTGGTATGGAAAACTGACGAACAACAGATCAATATGATAATTGACCTGCAAACTGGACATGGATTCAATATTGTACTGGTACAAAATTTTAATGACGTAATTGTTTTAAATATAAATAAATTGGTGAAAGATCGAAACATCTTGGCTGTTTTGTATTATTTCATACAGTAGTTGAAATTCATTTTCATTCAAGTAAAAGTATAAGTAGACTTCAAAATAAATTCACTAAGAATAGTCCATTAGCATGCACGTGATCTTTTATGCGCTACCCGCGTAATTAAGCCAGGACTGCTACATCAGGGCATTGGACACCAGTTTATCTTATTTGATAAAACATTGAAAACTGAGTATGCGCCATATATGCGCTTCATTGTAAAAATGAAGGACTTATCCCTCGCTTATTCGTGTTAAAGCTTAATTTTCTAATTATTTTCTCTTAATTTTCTTCTTATCCATAACGAGACAAATGTCAAAACAAGGCTATAGGAAATAATTTCCGAAATCGAAAAACGTGATTGTTTGTGAATTGGAATGCAGACTCATAATTTAATAAACAATACTTTGCAACAGACAATTTGTTTATTATGTTGTTGGATCGGAAAAACTGAAAATTGACATTTAAAATTCAGTCGATTTTGTCTAATTTCGAACTGACACTCACGAATAATAAGCTAATAATGTCATTTTATCCCTAAGAAAAGAAAACGATAACTGTAGCTGTCCATTAGCATATAACAAATGTGTCTTCTCTATGATTGCTATGAAATGTTCACAACAAGGATAGTCTGTTGTCGTCCTGGTTTGTATAAATAGCTAATATGACGTTTTGAATGTTCGGACATTGTCAGAAGGTAAAAATAGTCTTCAAGTCATCGATGTCCTTTATTCGCCAACGGAAGATTTTATGAAACGTCCAAAATAAGGATGAGGCATCATTGAGTGCAAATCCGACAGGATTTCAGTTTTATGGCATATATTTTAACGTTTTAGCAATACAATGTTTTTTTTTGGAGATGATCGCGAGACATTTAAAGTTAGCATGCAATAATATTAAATGTGCTTCGAACGCATCTTTCTGCATTCTTTTCAATATCGCGTCGTTATTGGATAATAAACGGACTATTATAGACACAGCAAACGTAAAGGAAATTCAGAAAGTATACAGTACGTCTACCACCGCTAACAAATTTAGTTCAATACGTAATTCCAAGTATAAATTTGCTTAAGTAATTATGTTGAAATGACGAAAATAGCTAAAGAGCTAAGAATATTGCAAAAATAGCCTCCATGAATTCTTAATACCATGATAGGTAGAGAATAACATTCAATCAGTCACGGATCACGTTAGGGCAGTACTTCTGGTGAACGTCGTCTATTGCCACGTCATATTAATACTGATATTGACAGGAGAGTGTCATGTAGCCGAATCATTTTAATTGGAATGATCTGGCATTCAAACGTGACTGATTGATAAATGACTTGAACGAAAAAGTTTATTTGATGTGTTACGTCATAACTAAATATTGTTAGGCGTAAAATAGGGACAAATGCAAATGTGAATTTCCCAAATTTCATCTGGCGGCGCACGATGTACATTTTTGAATATCAATAGTGGTTGGATTTCGAAAACTTCGGGGTTTGTTCCAGAGGCCAACTGATGACCCCATGAATTTGCAAATAACATTTGAAAAAAGGCGGAAAATAACTCGAATAATCAAATTCCCACAGATTACAATCTATGTTTATGTATAAAATAAGCAGAGTTTATAAATGGAAGTACAATTGCTCATTGACATTTTTATATTTGATAACAATTATTTCAATAGTCGTGGATCGTGTTATTCCGAGTTTAATTATACTGCAAAAAACGACTTTGCGAAGATGTTTTTTAAAAGTATGTCTGGCTATTGCATTCAATTTTCTCCCAAGAAATATGGAAACGCGATTATGCTCGCGATAACCCAATTCTCATAACGCCTGCGCATCAACTCTCTCTATGGTGCTGATAAAAATTAAAATCACTCGATAAACGAGTAAATCAGTCATAACCATTACCTCGACGACGCCATTATGTTAGGATTCCGTGATCCCTTTGGTTGCCAAAAAACTAGGAAAGTACAACATTTTAAATGTTTCACGTTCCTGGATCATGGAGATGATTATTTTATGTCTTGCTGTACACTTGCGCAATTGTATATTTTCAACTTTCGTCTGATCAACATTGAGAACCAAAGTATCCTAATCTCATTTCATAAAATATAAGTTTTTTTATGGAAGTCACATTCGGAACCGGAACTGTTGGTAAAAGAAGAGTGGAAAGTAGTCGATCAAATTTCCTCGAATCATCGAAACTGACTGCGGTTGGTTGAAATATGCTGGGAAGCCTTGCCTTGGTAAAACTAAACGCGTGAGCATATTAGTTAGCGTCGGCAAGTATTCTGAATTACATAACGAACCATAAAGCTCAAAATGAATTTTGTCATTAAAGACAAAAGATTTTATTTAAGTAGCACACGACGATTAGAAAGGTCAAATATATCTACAAATGCCAGCGTAGTAACAAACACCAGCGCTTCAGAAGTATGTGTACCCATAATGTAGGTAACTTATGGCCTAACTCTAATCGATGTTCAATACAGTCCATATTCATGATTTTAACGTTTCCAGAGTCCGTTACCATAGTTCAACTGTTTTCAATTGAAATTATTGTCTTTTCATAATGTTTTTGATTATTTCGGCTTGTCAGCAATTTGCTACTTCAATCGTTGTTCCAGGCAATTTGAATCTCCCCGACGTTCGTAAGTTGGCCGAATTTGATTTTCGCACGTTTTGTATAGACGGTTTCTCGGCAATTGTTGAAAGCTTTCGCTTGGTCAGCTTTTTTTGTTGATTCCGTCAAATTGTTGCTTGTCCTGGTTGTTGTCCGTTGATCTGGTCCGTTTCAGAAGGTTAAATCACGTCGGGGTCACCATTTATAGCATAAATGATTGTTAGATGAATGTAATGTTACCGTATATTGCTAATTTGTAGATTGTCTCTGACTTGTAAGTCACCCGTTCACCCTTCAGCTTCAACGCCCACGTGAATGAAGATGCGTTAAAAATCTCTATATGTTTTTATTCGTAAATTTCCACAACACACAGAATATAAATCTTATAACATTTATCCAGACTAGCTTAGAATGGTTTACATCGTCTTCTCTTTTTTTATCGAAAGATATCGGAGTCGTATTTATACGCCGATCATAAATCTAATTAAATGCTGTAAACGTGAGCTCGTGATTCACGTTATAAACAGGAACTCCTATTATCTCAATAAGGGTAATTAGGTACATCGTACGGATGGGAACTTAGAGATAATTATTTCAATCAGTGCCAAAGGTCTTGAGAATATAAATTTTAATTTGATAATGACTGGGTGGAACATGTTATGTTTCTTAAACTGGTGTAATTTGATTCCTACGAAAGTCTTTGTTCGAATTTTGGGAAAAATTAACTTTGTTTTCATATTTTTAACATGAAATGGGGTACATTTGGGGGTTAGTTGCTATACACATACTTCGGGAGTACCCAAACACCTATAGCTCTGGAATCTATCTGTCTCTTGCTAATTTGAAAGTAAAACGATGTTTGAAGACTGGAATACGTACTGTATTCGACGAAAAGTATAAAACAACTCATCTAGACTGTAAAATAATTGAGAATATAATACATGGTCGATTTGGTCATAACTGGAATGCATAAATGATATTTCCGTTGTTAAAAGGGCGCGAATGGCCCAAAATCGAAATAACCAAGATCCCGTGCTATTTTTTATAACATTAGATTATGATGGAATTCTTTACTTGAAATACTTGGTTAATAGAAGCAATTGGAATGCAACATTTGTGTTATGATCTGTGCATCAAGCTATGATAGAAGTATGGATGTGATTCATGTGAGTTTCTAGGCTGATTTTTCCAGTAGTTCGTTGCGTGAGGTGGTACCCAAGTGTTCCACTGTGTTTGAGAAGTCTCTGAATTGAAAATTGTTCGCGTCGGATTATAAATGTATGGGTGATATGGCTCGTGAAATTTTAAAGCCGTGTTTTCGGCCCGGTGAATATTGGTTGAGGAATTTTCCGTAGGAAACACGAGAGAAATGTGTTCAGAATGTACTGGATATTGCAAATTATGCGCAGTTGACGTCTGAGGGTTATAAAGACCGACCGAATTGACGTTACTTCCAACCTCTTTTTCCGTTGATTTTCTTGGAGTCGGTTTGACAACAACCTGCTTTATGAATTCCGATTTACCCAAGGGATTCCTACTAATGTCTTCCTTCGTTTTTACCATCGGATTATTTTCATATTGTTGGTATATTTGTTGATATTTTTCGTCGCTCTCTTCTGATACGATTGACTTCGGGCTACTAGATAAATCACTTTGTGGAGGCGAAGGCGGAAGCCAATTTGATAATGGTTGTTTTTTAAGGGTGAATACTTTATCATTAATTTGAGAGTCCAGCTTTGGGACTTTGTCTGCATTTAAACCTTCCTCCATCAACGTTGGACTTTTGCGTTTGTTGGTTACTGTGGTTGTTATAGTATTATAGTTATTCTCCAAATAATAAGGTGGATTATTCCAAATATCTGTAATCCTGTATTCTGGTGAAAGACGAGAGTGCATTTCAGCGGCATAAGCCAGAGCTTCAAGGCCCCCGAATTCACTATTGCAGAAATTAGCACCCGCGGCGTTAGATGGGAATAAGTTCGATTCATTCTGCCTTGTTATAGGTTTATCGTTCTTATAATCTCTTTCACATCGATTGGCATTACTTAAAATGAGGTCATTGCAGTCGAGTGACTTTCCGTGCTTCCCAGCTGCGTGATTCTTAAGATAAGCTCGACAACGAAACTGTTTCCCGCATAATGAACACTCGTATAACATTTGGCTCTTTTTAGATCCTTTGTTCATGTTTGAAATATCTTTCGAAACTTGAAGATTTGCAGCTGATGGAGCTCCCATTTTCGTTGAAGTTTTGCTATTTCCAATATTTTGCTTCGAAGTACATTCAATATTATCATCCTCATCACGACATTTTTCGTTTTCAACTTTCGGTTCTGCGCGAAAAGAAACGTAAATTCAAGCAACTAAAATAACGGCAAAGCATGATTTTTCTGATATACATTGCTTTTATTTTACTATGTAATAAAAATACGAATAAGATAAGTAGAGCACCTATAATTTCCATGCCAGTAGCATTTCAAAAATGCAAATTTTATGAGGCGTTTTATCCAGCATTTTCTGAAGTTGTTATAATTCTGTTACACTTGCTGTAATACTGCCATAAATTTAGGATATATATTCCATTCACAATTCATGTATATTATTTCACTTACTTTTTGGTTTGTGCCATCTTCGATGTGAAGCTAAATTCGCGGGACAGCTGAATGATTTTTCGCATTCTGGACAATCATATTGAACATTTTCAATCCGGACACATTTATGATTGGCTAGTTGCAATGGTTCAGTAAAAGAATTTTGGCAAAGCTTGCATGTGAATTTTGCGTTCATTGATGATTTTCTTTGCTCTTTTGCTGGTATTATTATAGGTTGACTATTTTGGTAACCTTGTGAAAGAGATTTTGTAGGAGCGAGAATGTTGTTGGAGCCATCCACAGGCAGAATACGCAAACCTAGAAATAAAATATAGTTTTCCAGTTAATATTTGCGACTTGTTAAGTTCAGTAGAGAAGAACCGTGAAATATTGCTTTATTGTTAACATTTGAATAGAATACATTTACAATACATTGAATAGAATACAGAATTCATTTGTGCGATGCATAGCACAGCGAAATATGATGCAACGTAGGTTTTGAGTTACATATATGTTCAAAAATTCTCAAAGCGCAAATTTCCCAACATATTCTATTGTATACAGAGGAGATACGTAGAATCCATTGTTAGGCCAATTGTGCACAAAATTCCAATCCATACCTAAAACTGGACTTCGATTTTCTTCGTCGTCAAACAATCTTCTTCTAGAAAGTTTTGATTTCTTGCCTTTATTTGACGTGGCAACATGACTTTTAAACCCAGTATTTTCCCCAATATTATACTCCATAATCTATGCAAAGTTGCTCTTTATTTCTCCAACCATATACAGCGATGTGTGACTAAATCAAAAAGATTCGCAACTGAGCAGAGAGAGCGACCCGCTTTACACTGTGAAAATAATAAATGAATTGATCTCTCACTTCAACGAAGGATTTAAAACTCAGGGTAATGTGAGAGAATAGAGGAAATGAGAGATAGGAAGGATTAATCCCGTTGAATGATAATACGTCATCTGAGAAATTCGAAGGGAGAGAAAAAATATTCCTGCACTTACTAACGGAGTTTATTTCGCGAACTCTTTTGAATGCAAGTTCAGGAAAAAATCAAAGCATGATGTGCCCTGGCTTGGCCAATTATTCGAAGGTGGTTGAAATATGGCACGGTGACGAACAAACGTTGCTTTGGAAATAATAAACGTACATTTTTAATTGCATATTTGACTAACGGTAAATCGTTTTAGATATTAAATTACAAAACAAAACATCGTAAAATCTAAAATAAAATATAAGAGTATTGCAACGAGGCGAAGTAACGGTAGTAGCAGGTGCCACGTGCCGCAAACCGAGTCCTTGAATTGCGTCGTTGACTGATTTTTCGTTTAAAATATTTCTACTTGTTTGTTTACAAAGAAATACCGACACAACGTACGCCATCTGGTGCGAAAATGCCGCTGAGAATTAACCCTCTACGCACAAATAACGCGGCAGGTACTCGAGAGTATGAAGCGGTATTTCACGAGAAAACAAAACTAGGATGGTTTAATTCCCGTAGGGGTTTGTAAAACGCCATAGGAATTTTGTATTATCGGTATGCGTATTTGTGACTTTAATTTAATCTTTATAAGGGTATGGCGTTTTTAAAACAGCACCTTTCAAGATAAAATTGTAAATAATGATGGTATATTTCGTTTTGCTTTTGCCTTATATACTAAAATGCTCAAGAATGATGTGCCCATCTTTCAATTGTTATCAGGCCTTATATTACCTTGTAATTCAACATTTTCATCCCGAAAACCGTTGAATTTTGGTCGGAAAACTTCAGAAAGTGGCCAGTCGATTGTATAATACGTATGACTCTAGCTCGGATATGAATTACTCTGGAAATCGCGCACTCAAAAAACTCGCCGTATTTGTCAAAACTTGGCTAATAACAAGGCCTGTGATTTAGCTGATTTGTATTGATTGTTTAAATAAATAAATTGAATAACAAGACGTGTACAAATCGTAAATTTTGTGACTTCTGATGCAGAAATCCCAATCTGACAAATCATCCATGAAATCAAATCCGACCTTGGGATTTTAGTCGCTAAAACGTTAGTGTAGCGAATAATAATAAAGCAAGGAATTATATTAAATCCCTACAGCCAATATATGACTCATCTATAAGGAATTGAATTTCAATAACACGTTTTTTGAAATCTATTCAATTTTAATTCCAGTTTGATCAGACAATATGGGAATTCGGAATTTTTTTTTTTCGAACCATATCTAGTTTGTCAGAATTCGGTTTGTGGAATCACAACTCAGCCATTATGTTTTATTACAATCTTTAGAGTGGTCGCATTGCAGATGCTAAGTTATTTTGACGATTTCCTTCCAGCGAGAACCAAAAACCCTGCGAAAACGACATCTGCCACGCGACGGCAATTTTACAAATTGTGGGTAAACAATAACCCTTTTTGCCGCAGGGCGCTTAACCCTTAAAGAAACACGTATGTGAAGTTATAAGGATAATCAAAGCAATTCAGAAGTCCTCCGGAACCATGGGTTAATATGCACAAAAAGTGTTCCGATTTTAGACGAAGTTCTTCAGATAGGAATTTAAACATTAAGAAAAAAAAAAACGGCAGATGCTCAACAGGACACTCTATACAGCTAATCTTTCATTGTTATGTCGCTGTCGATTTGATATCAAGGCCGATCCGTAGCTAAATTGGAAAGCGTGATTTAATTTTGTGTACGCAAGACACTTTAATTTGAAAACCTTATGTCAAAATTACGTTAAAATGCTCTAGACCTTCAATGTAAGAGTTAGCTATTTGGTCCGTAATTTCAAAGTTCTTCCAGTCGAGTTTTTGCCTTCTATTTCAAGTATATTGATAATTGGAATCCGCAGATCAACCCAGATTACTTGACAAGGAAATCCCCCTTTAGTGCTAAAGTGATTTCTCCGAGATGTGGGCCATTTCCTTATGAGAGAATAGTAACGGTCCCATCTGCGGATATCAATTATCGACGTACATTATGTACTAATTAATCAATTAAGAGAAGTTGAAATTACAACAGCTTAATGCGCTGGAATAATTAATAAATCTGACTAAATAAATAACGAGTATGGATTTTTTTGTTAGCGACCGACTTTGTAATTGCGTAGTTTTGACCTCGCCCAGAACGAAAATTCCGTTGTTCCATAAATCTGTACAACAAAAAGGGGGATAAGTGAAAAATGCTGTATTTATATATATACATTTGACTTTTTGCACTGGCACTATCCTTAGTGAATTCAAGCTCGCCTCATCCGGTAGATGACTAGATTTTATCAAAAAGGAACTTGCCCAATTTGTGATCGCACACTAAAACATGTACCTGATCGGCCCTGCGATATCAAAATCAAGATACCTTGAATGAGTTGTAAAGTTTAGACAACCAGTGTCAATAGAGTTCTCAGCCTGGTGGTATACTTAAATGCGTTATAATATATTTTCATGGCGTCAGAAGCAATTTTGTGGACCTTCCACGATAAACGGATTGAATGTCTTGATTTTTAACTTCTTGTGGTGAAATATTGCAATGTGTTAGCGTCTGGTTGTGGCAAACAGGCTCAAAACGTGGGTGTAATATATTTTTAAAGCTGAAAATTCTTGGATTTTTCATGGCCGTTCGCGAAAAAAACTTAAGTTCAGTGCGCAAAGGTTGCCGGCCACTATCTAATTGAATAAAAGCGGATAATTACACGTAACAATTGTTAGTTCTATCGTCAAACGGGGCAAATTATACATCAACTGATGGCCGTTGTGTCAGGGACTAAAATCATTCGAAAATCACTTATACGTTAGCATAGATCTTCATAGCGATTCGTGCACAGGTGCTGCTTAGCTGAGAGCAATGTCCGTCGTGCTACAGTCGTCAAAATCCATTATAACACACGATTCGCAAATAATCACCTATCCAAATTTACTTGAGAGATAGCTGTTATACTTTACTGACGTGACTAAATAAAGGCAAATCAAAAACCAAACACAGATGTTTATAATTCGCTTCATTTTTATTTTATATTTATTTATTTTAAATCTTTTCCAATAAGAAAAAAAAGGAACAAAGAGAAAATACATATAAATTTATACTGTCAAACAAGAAAACACGATAGGGCCATGTATGGACCACCGTACTTGGTGTATTATATTATAATACCAAACATGATCGTTCATGATTGACTGGACACATTTTATACCTTATCTTTTTCGATTTTAAACGGATTATATTGACTGATAAAAAGTTTGATAAATTGATTAATAACTTTTTTAATAATCTACAAAATTTCTGGTAAATATGACGTCATCATTACTTCCAACATCATAGGATCAAGTATGGGAGGGGTGTGGTCAATTTTGTGCCGAGAGATACCTTAAATGTTAGATAGAAAATTAGAACATACAATTCCTCACTAGACATAAACAAAAGAACACAATGGAAAGTTGGATAATGTGCAAGTTCTAAGATAAAAAGATAGATTATTTCACAAAGCACACCAGATGTCCAATAATTAGAAAATCTGCCTCATGATCTACCATGTAGGAAAATCGTAATGTGGAGGCTTCCGATGCCGCTAAGTTGGACTGTTTATGTTACTTTTATATGACGTAATAATACGCATTTCGTCCCGAACAACGAATTGCACAGCATGTTTTCAAATTGATATTTTTTTGATTATTCTATTAAATTCAAATATTGCTAATTGTACTAATTCAATGAGCCAAACGGTAAGGAAATTTGAGAGGAAAGTCGGTTAAACGGCCTTCTTATCCAGCAATTTTTGGTAGAGTATGATAATAGACAACCATTTCAATATCTGAAACAAGGAAATATTTTGACATCCTTGTATCCATCCATGGTAGTCTTCCGAACCAGCGGACAAAATTGATCGAGTTTTAACAAGCAAATTGCACCTTTTAATTTTTCAACAGAAAATAAAAAACGATATGTGCAAGATTGCTTCTGATATTGATTTAGGTTATAATGGGTGAGTGTAGGACGCTGAAAATCATCGATAGGCTTAACATAGTGATTTTTAGCATAGTGCGCACCAAATGAAAATAGGAAACAGATAAAGCGAATAGCAAAACAGATCAAATCAAATAGCAAATCGTTGTATATTGCATAGTACAGTATTTGATTTTTCCATATGGAGAATTGTCAAAAAAGTTACGAGTTGAAACTTATATTGGATTAAGACGACAGCATTGGAATCTGGTTATCAATATAGGAAAGTTACATGGGAGGGAGGAGTCATTCACCAGGTAGTCTTATTTTATTGCTACTCCATTTTTTTTGAGAGAAACAAAAACGAATCAGCATTAACATTTGAAGATATCAGCTGCAGATGACAATACAAGAGCCCGATGGACTGGCTGGGCCTTGGATTCCTGGTTAAATAGGACTCGGTACAAGTCCGCCATATTTGAAGAAGAAAAATAATAAACTCTCGATACTTTTTACGACTAGATCGCATGATCCTGGTAAGTAACTTGGAAAAATGGTTTTGTTGGTGACGCTGGACTGGACAAGGAACGGTTGATTACATCCCTCTGGACAGATTTTGTTGTCGTTGGTGGTGGCGGAACAAGTATGATTCCACTGTTTGTTGCGGACGAGGTTTTAACACTACTTGCAGAATGGCGCTTGAAAAAGGAGTTTTGTGTACTTTGTTGATTTGAAGATCTGAAAATGAAAAAAAAGTCGACATTACAGTGGCTGCTCATTTAGGGCCTTGTTTGGAGAAAAATCAATAACAACAAATTTTTTACTAACTTTTATGATCTACCAAATTCATTTTCTATAAATTTACATTAATTTGTGTAAATATATCTATTAAACATGACCAGTTTTTAAAAGAAATTTACTATTCTACATTGGAAATACTATTTCAGAATGTATTCAGCTTTAGCTAACCATGCTCGACTTTTCTAAAATGCGGTTCATCATGTCACCTGCAGATTCAGACTGAAACACCTAAATAAAACGTGTCGATGGGGGACTGGAACAGATACTGACATTGACATGTGCAGTAGACGTGAAATCTTATTCGATCTTACGATAAAGAGTACAAAAATACTTCCACAAATGACTATTTCAAAAAGATTTCTTGCCTCATATGTGTTAAAAATTCGACGTGTAGGTAGCATATAAAATCATACTTACTTTGACAAGGTGGGATGAAGTTTAGAAACAGGAATGTGTATTTTAGTTGAAGCATCAATAGAGGTTGGATACACTGGTGTTTGTTGTTGGTTTTGTGAAAAACTGAGTGCCGATATGGAAGTTGGATGAGACGAAGCACTGGGTTTCGGACGAGGTGTTGAAATCAATAGATGAGACGCTGAAGATTTATGAACAGGTGGAGTAGGTGACGGATTGGAAACTGCTCTGTTGGAAGATACTTGATGTCCAGGTGTGTATCGTGCGCCTGTAACATAAGATTGGATTTTCATATTTATCTGAGAGAGGAAGGATGATAAAACGGCTTAATCATATGATAAACCACATCCTCTTGTCCAGTTACCAGTCCATGTCAATAATAGCCGATTATTTGTTTCAGAAGCAATGATGGTTGAGGAAGCTGTAACCAACTAGCGTGTTACATGCACCACCCAATAACGGTGAGAAGTCCGGTAATCCTCTCGCTCTCGCACATAATTATCCCTTACAGGATTCAAACCCTTGAACCCACGCAAAAATAAAATATATATAACGGACTGATAATCATATTCGATTACAGGGTTTCTGAAGAAGTTTGAAGAAGACTCTTAGTCTTTATTTGAATGATTTCATTTTGGGATTGAAATCATAATTTACGTCCAATAATTCAAAAAAATTAGCATATTCATGATTTTATTGCAAAATAAATATATTTAGGATATGCCACCTAAAACTATTTGCAATTCTTGACTATTAAAATTTTCATCTCTAATTCCGAAAGCAATAGCTGCAAAATTTTACTTCGCAGCCACAGTAATAAATGTCCAAAATATTGATATTCTACCTTTTCCGCCATCGAATTCTTCTATATTGGGAACTTCTTTTATAGGCGGAATATTAGTTGAAACGTTAGATTGCACTGATGTATCGGAATCCGTGCTGACATGTCGTCTTCTGTTTGACGTAACTTCATGTATCACACTCGACTGAATTCCACTGTTATTATTGTTGCTATTAGCAACAGAGAACGGTTGTTGAGCAGCAAGCGGTAGTACTTTACCAACAATTGGGCTAGGTTGGGAAACGAATGTCGGTGGCATAGGAGTACTTTGCGCTTGTGGCATTTCAGAAGCAGGTAAGGGTGGAGAGGGCTTAGGTGCTGGCCTTTTGGGTACAAGCTTAGCTGCTGGAGATAAATTTCTTGCAGTTCCAGGTGAAAATAATTGGGCCGCATAATCTTCAAAAGTTGTGTCGTCTCGGAATTGATCGATGATTTGACGAAGATATTTCGCTCGTTCTTCATAGCTAGATGCAATCCCGTTAAGAAAACTAAATCCTATCAAATGATGAAATATAAAGCATGGTGGTGACCTGGTCAGACTAACCTATGATGGCATCGCCAGTTGAAATATCATGCCCAACCGGGCCACCACCTTACACAGGATGTAATAAATTGGGTAGGCAATGGAAAAAGAAAGATTCCGATCCTTCCAGAATGAAAGTAGTCCCTCACACTCATACATATTTCGTACATATTCCGACTACTTGTGCAGGGCCCTTTTTTGGAGAGGAAAAGGTATAAATACATTGTATAAAATTCGATAATATTTTATTATCACAATTCTCTAGTTTTTGAAGAGTAAGTAAGAACAATTTAGGAGTTAGAAAAGATCATACAATTTCATTTCATAACAGTATTAGCGTAAAGACTAAAGACCAAAATTAAAAGAAACTTATCGGTAAATTTTTTTATCTGCTATGATTTGGTGAAGTATAACTATTTTTTCATCTTCTGGAAATGTCATATCCAGAGACAACTTTAAAGAACTTGAATTTAAAAAAGGGAGAAATTGGGAATTTTGATAAAAAAACAAGTAAATGAGTTTATTTTTCAAAGGATACAATGGCTGGTACAAAGATATTTGTGAACGCTTAGCTCTTCCTGCATTTATGGCTGTTTCTCTGACTAGAACAGGTAAAACACGTGCATTGACAATAGCACCATCAAATAGTGGTCCAAAGTATGGTACCTGAGAAATTGACGATAAAAATACGTAAATTTAAATTTTGTCACATGCAAATTAAAATTTTTGTAGAATTTTTCGTACATTCATAACTCAATAGAGTGATTTTGTAATTTATGATGATTCATGCCATATAATATTTGTCTTATAATACGTCCATATCCATATCTACTCATAGTAAACTAGTTTCTTTTAGAGTAGAAAATATGATAAAACGAATTAATCTAAGAATGGCCAAGCTAAGACCTGCAGAAGGCCCACCAAAGCATTTTGGGCTCCTCTTGGAGGAAGTTGTGAAAATTTACATACTAATACTTCATACAAGTATGAATTGTTAAAATAATTTAAGTTTTTTTTTTCATCTTCGGTTAAACAATATCAACAATGTTAAATTTTAACTAAAGGCTTTAACAAAAGTCGTTTCTGAATACAGCCCTTCGCAAAAAATTTCTCAGAATGCGGCCCTCAAAAAAAAACTCTCCCCCCCACGTTGAATTAATTACACGTCATCCATTACCTGTAGGTGTTGGATATGGAAATTTGCCAAAAAGTAAACCATTCCAGGTACATGAAATTGGATATTTCAGGTAAATTAATTGGTCGTATACACTTAATAGATCATAAATTATTAGCAAAATGGATTATACAAATATCCTCAATGTCCTACCTCATCCTTTTTCTTGATTTGTATTCGATATAACATATGTTTCATTGGATAAATAATGATGAGAACATCTCCAAATTCAGTTGGTATAATCCCTCTCCTGTAATCTCTGCTGTGTTCAGACCATACAATGTGAACTTCATCATTACCAAGATGTTTCAACTGCAGATAATAGAAAACCGAATTAAATAGGACTAGATAGGATTTTCATATCCCTGAGAAAGAAAAATTGGTAAGACAGCTTTATGATATACCACGGCCTCTCGTTCGTTTAAGAGTCTACTTAATGGCAGAGAAAGCCGTAACCAACCAGCAGTTGCGTAAACCACGCCACGGCGGTGGAGAGTCCAGCAAACCTCTCGCACATGATTATGCGCTGCGAGATTCAAACTCATGCAGGGTAATCAGATGTGGGACGGCAAGTGTATTCCTGATGCTTGGCATGATGCGCCACCCGCTGTGGTTTTGGATTGCGACATAAAGCAATGGATAAACTTCTTACATGGATAACTATTCTCACAATCAAAATTTCAGTAAACCGATAACAATGATAAGATAGAAAACTAACAAAGTTTTTATTTGAGAAATCTGTAACTTTCTAAGGAAACCAGTACATTAAAACTCACCTTAATATTTCTTGAATCATCATTCGTTGAAGGAAATCTTGTGGAAACGTGAAAAACAACTTCTAGTGTTGATGTTGCATAATAAGGTGAAGTTGATCCAGTGCTTCCATCAGCATGTAGTTTGCCACGAAATCCACAATGAGTTTTCAAGTCAACCTGGAAGCGAAGATAGCATTTGTAGATTTGAAACATACAGGATACCAGTATAAAGCAAATATGAAAATTGTTACTATCATAAAACTGAGTAAGTTTGAAATTGTAAACAGCTTGGTAATGTTGAGCTGGTAAAAAGTCTGGCACCTTCAAAATAATAGCTTCTCGCATACCTGTGGCTGTTATATTGACTTAGAGTGAAGGCTTGAATATGCTGGATAAATAATCAGCAAAAACAATACATAGAATACATAAATTACATCTATTGATTGCTGTTTATGACAAGGTAAAATAGTGATAAAATTTGGCATCCATTAAGGTAGGTATATAACTGTCAAATGTATATTGATACTAATTCTATAATCAATTCATTATACAAAATATCTATATATCTATCTATCAGTTTTGAGGGTCAGTTATGCAACACTAATTATCTTTCATTGATAGCTGAAATAGACTTGTCTGAAGAAGTCTGAACTTAGACGAAATGTTACAGAAATACAGTTGTGTTAGTAAGCATTAGTGTTGAGACCATTGAATCAATAGGTATGTACCGGTATGTGACAAATTTTGTTATGAAATCTGGGATTTACAATTTACATACAGTAGGCAATTAGGTCCACCCGTAGTATTCGTACCAAAATGGCACACAACCTGCTAACCTCAACCTGGCACACACACTATGTTCAGGTTGTGCGCCATCTTGTTACGAGTACTACGGGAGCACCGGCAATCATACTGAATGCGATTCCAAATATAAAAAATAATATCCAAGTATCGGATTTACAGCCTAATAAAATACTTTCAAATATCAGAGGTTAAATTTAAAGCAACAAAAACAAAATTTAAGACCTCAATCTACGTATTTGTATACAAATCGAGTATCAGAAATATTGTGGCAATTCGGCAGCATCAATAACACATTGGGAAATATTTAACAGCATAGATATTGGAAAAATAAGCATCTACAATCTGGCATTGTTTATAATTCAAATTTACAAAACAATTCGAAATATAACAAAATCAACAAAAAATCATGAAGGGTCACGTTTTCGAACAATGCAATCAATTATTTTCAATAAAAATGTATGTTTACCTCAAAATACAAACATGGTGGGCTGCTATAAATCTAAATTATATTTACCATCAATGTTTACTTGTAATATATTTCCAAGTGGAGGAATTTATAAACAAGCAAAGGAATATATTTAAGTTTCGATTTGGCAGTGAGAACAAAAAAAATTAAAGATTCGGGCATTTCCACATTATCACATGTGAACTATATTATATACAGGGCTGGATTAATCATTAAGCAATATAAGCACGTGCTTGAAGCACCAAGAGTAAGGGGACACCAAAATTTATTTTTCTAGATAGATCAATGGTGCCCCAGTGTTAAATGACGAACCCTATAACGGCACAGTTAAAATAAATTTGTGCATATTTTTTGTATCCTTTTTGTAACTCCTCTATAAATTTTTGTAGGCATGAGAACTATTTTAGACCCTTCTCTTAACTAACTCCAGAAAATTATTCTATACTAAACTATTGCGAAAATGTTTAGGTATATTTTGTGAGTGTTAAACATCATTTTTATTCTATATGACCACTTGGCCTTTGACAGGTTGGCCTAGTCTGTCGCAGCGTTTGCGGGAATAATTTTTTTGGTTGTTGCAACTGAAGTTAAGCTCCTCTGAAGACATAATAGGCCTGATTACATGTCCGTTGGAACCGGTCTAGCACATATTCACGCTTTAGTGGTTCGCCTGCGATTCAAATCCGTGCTACCGGTCCAGAACATCAGACCACCTATTTAGGAGGTCTGGAAGTGAGCTGCACTGGTCTTGCTCAGTTGCTTCGCCGTGCTACTCGAGAAATCGTGAATCGCCGTGATCGAAGGGGTACGGAAGTTGTTTTCTATTTCATCTCTGGTAATTAAGTTGCTTTTTTCAGCAAATAAAAATTTAGCTAGATAGTGCAAGTTTAATTTAAATCCATTCCGCATCTTTTGTGTCGCTGTTGAACACAAATTTGAAATACCGGTACTGGTGGGATCCCGGTGTGGACTATTGGCATGACGGGTTGTTGTTTGGAAACAGAGAATTAATTCCTAATGTCCAAAGATTTATTGATATAAACTGAGCGCACTTCGACTACTGTTGATAAACTTCAGTTTGCATTGAGAATTTTGATTGAGCTATACCCCGGTACCGGTACCCGTACAGTACATAGGCCTACCGGCACAAATTCAAAGCTTCAGTGTCGGTAACGTTGCAGTAGTAGGGCGATATTAAATATTGAAAGTGCTTCTGTTTACATATGGTGAGGTCACTTCACACAAAGTGTTTGATTGATAAAATGCAACTGTTTTAATTTGGCTTCCAGTAGACTACTGATAACTGTAGGCCTACCGTAATTTTTTGAATGGGTCGTGTGGTGTAAGGTGCCAGTACTCTGCAACGTTGAACGCTGAATAGTCGGCCAAAATGATCTAACTCGTCTATCTTTTATGCCCCCAATTAATTTGTCGTTGTGTTTATAGATTATGGGCAAATTTCAACGGGAAAGCAACAAATTTTGATACTTTAATTAACATTTGTATTGAATTTATTGAAAATAAAATATATATATGCAGTGTTTGCAAATCATGACTTCTTTGCTTTAGTCATAAAACCCTAGTCTCATCTTGTTGGTTTGGACCGGTATGTTAGTCGTTGGTTTAGACATGTAATCGAGGGCAATAAGTGGTCTCCGAGACTTCTTTGACTTTTCTAAACCGAACCGGTTCGCTGGGCTGATTTTGATGGACATGTAATCAGGCCTAAGGATTATCAAGTTATTTGATTTAGAACTAGTTTTTGAAAACTGACAAGTGACACGTAAAACAACGAAAACAAAGCAACGTTTACAACAATATTGGATAACTGTCTTAGAAGTTATTACCTTGCTGGTTAGTCATTGTTATGGAAATAAACAATAAAATCAATTCTTGTGAAAACAACCATATTGAAACTTACTTGTTCAATTTCAAATAACATGAAACACTGGTTTTGTTATTATTATTAGTTTTTTAAATATTGGGCACCAAGTCCCAAGTGCTGAGGGGCTCTGAAAGGCATGATCCAGGCTTTGTATATATATATATATATATATATGTATATATAACAAGATAAAATTGAACTGACCCATTGATAATGACATGTAAGATGTTACTCTTATTTGGGACAATACTGCAACTGCTAAGCCATGAACTAATTCATTTGAAATATCACGAAAGATGTAGAAAAACACAAATTTATCTTACCTCCCAGCCAAGTCCACAGACAAAATTCTCAAAATCTTTACTGCCAGCAGTGTTTGAAAGAACTGATAATTTGTCCTCTTGACCAGGAGCAATGTATAACACTGCAACCTTGTGTGTTTCTCGACTATAAAGAAAAGTACAATCAATACACAATGTTATTATTCATTATCAGGCATTTAAACAATGATATTATAATAATCTCATTTCTTCTGTAAAAATAACAGCTTTTTGGCAAATTGGGCTACAGCATTGTAGTTAACCGTAAAATGCATACTTCAAGAAAAGTGCTTAATATTCCACATTTTGTCATGATCTACGTTTTTTTTTCGACATGTCAATTAAATCAGAATAGATCATATCTATTTACAACGAAACAACCAAATTATTGTGATTGATGGCTTTTGCTGTGTTCATTTCATAGAGACAGAATAACCAAACATGACTGTATTTACCGTATATGCTCGTTTTACCGCCCGATCTTAATTAAGGGCCCGTTTGAATAGCCGCCCGTGTGAACGGAACATAAAAATAAATAAGGGCCGGTGCTTGAATACCCACCCGATGTAAAAGCTGATTTTTCAGTGGTAGACAACAATAGGAAATAAGAAGCGCTTTTGTCACAACGCTGTTGAATTTTAAGCGCTGGTAGATAATACTCACGCCTCAAGCGTCCAATGACATAACAGATAGCATTGATTACGTAACACCGTGGTTTTCAAACTGGGCGCCGCGACGCCCAAGTGCGTCGTTTCACTATGGATAGGACGTCGCAATTTACTTTAAAAATAACAAGTGCCCGTGCTTGAATAAGGGCCGGTTTGAATAAGGGCCCGGTTAGTGTGTTTGGAAAAAAAAATATGGGCCCGGGCTACAAAACGAGCAAATACGGTAGATAAAAACAATCATGCTTCAGGAAAAGTGAACTGGGTAAATATTCCCATAAATGGACAATAGGCCATGGTACACACATGATGAAGCCCTCTCGTTCTAATAGACACTTGTACACGTCTTTGCTCCGAACAAGGCCCTGTACAAGCAGCAACTAATATATAACGATATGTAGTGAGCTACTTTTATTCGGAATGGCCCCAGTTCCTTATACCAAGGGTGATGTGGGGGCATGGTATTTGAACCCAAGAAGTGTAATCTGTAATGAAAACGAAGTTAAGTCTAACGCTTCAACCGTTAGGCCATCAGGCCGCCCAAATTCTTGATGACATTTTTCTCTACTGGAATAATAAACATGAAGCCGTATCGGGTAACATGCACTAAAATCTTGTTATTACACAACTTACCAATGCCTTGAATCTAGATTTTTGAGTTCACGTAGAAGTCTTTCATTCTTTTTTAATAAAGTGACTCGTCTTCGGTTTTCTTTTGATAAGAATGCAGTTTGAGATATGAGAAGACGAGATTGATGAAACGATGGTTGAGGAGGCGAGTATGTAAGAGGGCGCACGGATCGACTTTGACAACTAAAAGAATATAATATCACTTGAAAAGAATTTTTTTTTTAATAGCGCATATTCATGGCCAAGTTCATACAACAGAAACAAATATCCTCACACCAGAATTGGAATGGAAAGCAGTCAAGGAAAGAGATATACATTAGGATAGGATTATCATATTTGTCCCGGGGAAGAGGAAAGCCGATAAGACGAATTATCGTGCTAACCACGGCCTTGCGTTCGGTTACCAGTCCATGTCGTCGGGTATGGGATTGGTTGCCAGTTATTTGTTATCGAAAGCATGGACTTGATGGTGGAGGAAGCTGTAAACGACTAGCGGTTACGTGAACCAACCAACGGCGACGAGGAGTCCAGCAATCCACTCACACATAACTATCCCCACATGGGATTCAAACTTGCGAACTCACCCAGGGTAATCAGAGGTGCGGAGGCGAGTGTATTTCTAACACTCAGCGCGGTGCGCCACACCGCCGAGCACATCATTAAGCCATCTATCGGTATTCGTTCTCCGAAGAATACAAATGAATAAGAATCCAGTGGTATTGTTTCAGAAATTGTTCGACACGTTCCAGTAATTACTAAAATCATTTAGAAAAATAATTTATTTCAATTTCAAACCTGGTGTGATGAGCGTTGCTAGAATAATAAGTGCTTTGTGATTTGTGTTGTTTAAGAATATATTCAAGAGCTTTTCCTTGCAGTTTTGTGTCATCAAGAACCCTCGAAGGAGAAGCAGGAATGTTTAAAGGACGACCAGGAAATTCCTGACATTCAGGACTGGAGTATCCAACATATTGCACTAACTGAAAATGAGAGAAAAATTCATCAAGCTGTGTACAAAGCAATGCTAAACTGTAAATCAGTTTTCAGAAATAGATTTATTTTTCCTGACTGGTATATGCTCTGATTAGGTACTAAACAATTAAGACTTCAAAATGCAATATTTTTCTGTAAGGAGAATGATGGTAAGTGTTGGTAAGGTTTATCAGAATAATCACTGGAAAATGTCTTACAGCCTTGTGTCGAAGCAAGCTGTAACTACAAAACATCAATGTAAATCAGTGTAAAGAGTCATTATTGGACTTCAACTAGATTATGATGAAAAACAGATTTTTATTATTCAGATACTACCGTAATAACAACAGAATAAAATTATAAGAGTATTACACAGTTGCAGTCAGTAGTGTATTCGTTGTTGACAAAAACCAGAAATTTGTACTCAAAAAAGCCATGAACAACTGAACAAGTTTGTAAAAATACAAGTGTGCACAATATGCCCTATTCCTCATCAAGAATAGTCTTTCTGAAGCGAGTCTTATAGACAGATGGCACTAGATGGGATATTATTGCGTAAAAAATACTGCGTAAAAATGCATCTTTGTAAAGCAGATGAAATTAAGTGTTTGTGGGCGAATTAAATATATTCACGACTGAACGTGACAAAATGATCATTGTATCATGTTCTGAAAATCCTTTGATTTCCCTGATATTTCCACTTCCCTCCAGGCGTGATTATTTTAAATTTATGAATCAATTTTCCATAGAAAGTGTGGTTTGTGGACATAAGATAAGCAATAAATATCCCACAGATCCTTCTACTTACTTGGTCCAATTTATCAGAAGATTGTTCAGATGGCAGAGAGACATCATGTGACGGCAGTGGAGTTTCCTTGACTTTTGTTTTCTTCTTAATTTCTGATTCAGCATATGATATATAAGAACTGCAATGTTCTGATATCACTTTCGATATTTCGACATCCAGAGTTGACAGTGGAACATGTGAAACTAAAAAGAATTGATGATAAAGTGGCCTAGTGGTAAATCAATAGACTTAACTGTGTTGATATTGTAGGTTACACATCGCGGGTTCGAATCCCATGCCCCCACCTCACCCAGGATGTAATAAATTGGTAGACAATGCCGAACCCAAGAGTTTCGATCATTCCAAAAATGGTATCCATGTACAAATAGTTAAATATCAGTGGTTTCTTGTACGGATACTTGTTCAGAAAGACGCTAATAGGCGTCAGAAAGAAAAATATATACCACAAAATGAAACAGAAATTTATGTATATGAAACGAAAATCTATTACCATACCATATATATACTGGTAACCAGAAGAGAGGGTGATATACGCTACATGATTCAGTCGTTAATCGACACCGTTAATTTCCTGACACTTTTATTGTAAGATACCTGGTTTCGTATGATTTTCTAAATCAGGTAATCCATATAATATTGAAGAATCCCAACAAAATTTTCCGCTTGTATCCCTGATAATCAGACGAACATTAGTTGGAGCTGTCGATAAACCAGCTGTTGGTCCTCCTCCAGGTACATCCTTCTGCAAATGAATTAGAAATAAAATATATTATCAATTAGCTTTCCATGTCTAGAATCAAGTACGGGTGAACAAAAATATATTATTTCTCAATTACTTCAACGAAAATGAGGAACACTTGAACTTCTGTTTGTGCCTGATTTTATTTGTACCCTTGAGTTTCAGTAATCTATGATGCTCTGCACAAACTTACTACTCACTCTAAAATATGTTCAAAATGATCTGGGTTCTGTTTTTTAAGCTATCCTGAAAAGCTAGAAATGGCGGGATATTGCTCACTAACGCCATATTCAAACAGTACTTTCCAGTTACAAGTATTAGCTTGAAATGCTATTCAAAATAATGGGTGAACAACAAAATGAATATACCTGTGCATTTATTTCAACCATAGATAGCAGACAACTGTCATTGTAGATCAAAAACTGTAAAAATAAAGGGAGAAATTTAGAGTTTCAGTTTGTGTTCTTTCAGTCTGCTAATGGCCATCATAACGATGTTTTTTATTAGAAAATATGATACACCTTCACTTCAAACGAGGCTCTGAATGATAAGACCACTAATATGTCTTCGAGGATCTTTCTATTTTGGCTGGACAAGCTAATTTCTCATATTTACCACAGATGGTGGTCATAGTATTAGAGTTTTAAACAGAATGACAAAACTTGGAAAAACTGTTTTAAATAAATGAGGAAAAACTTTAACTTTTCATTGAAATACTTGAATATGGCTTCAAACTTTGATTAAAAATCAGCTTTTTCTTGGTAATTTGTTCAATTAAAATTATATCAAAAAGTTGAATAGAAACCCAAGGACCATAAAGTGAACTCCAACAAAAACCATATCACAGAAATCCTCTCCGACCTCTGCCAGTTATTGTATTGGTAGATTAATTTTTACTCGCTCAGACTAGAAGAAAAATCGCATTCCAGAAGAAAAATCGTGAGCACAGTAATTTCATCAATAATATTTTGAGTGCCAATTTGACAGTTATTCTATACTCATACAGATAAGACCATAAACAATAATAGAACAAATTATCTTTGAAAAGTGAAAATTTTTGAGAAAACTGCCAAATCATTACCTGTACATTTGGAGAACTAAATAAGTTATTTGACAAATCAGCTGAGAGATTTTTATTATCCATTCCATGATCTTGTTGTTCAGTAACCATACTGTTTAGTACTGCAGGACCTTTAGCGAGCGGAAAATGTCCAAGATGATTTGTTAAATGACTGAGAACTGTACTGGCAGTAAGACTCACTACATTGTCTGTACCTACAAAAAAAGAAGTAATGTACATGTCAAGTTCAGAATTTCAAAAATGTATGTTTGATGTTAGCCATGCTCTTATACAAAGACGGGCAAATTTTTTGGATCACAGACCAAATTTTTTTTAACTGACATCAGCTGGCCGTACAAGTATGAAGCTGAAACAGTTTCAGAATAGAAGTATTCTATGCCAAGATTTTTCAGCTCGACTTGGCATATTGTAGACCAGCTTTTAAATCCATAAGTGGTTAGACACAACGGCGGCCAAACTCAACATTTATAAGCTGTATGAAAGACTCAAGAATTTCAAGCGTAACAACCAATATAGCCAACTAGAGGTAGGGCTATTTTTTTTTCACTGAACCAAAATAAGCAGCAAAAAGTGTGATGCCTTTTACAGATGATATACATGAAAGCAATCCTGGATTTATAATTGCGCAAAAAAATAAATTCATCAGGCATGCCGATGCCGGATTGAAAGATTCAATGGGCAGTGTTTGTTCATATCTGCTCCGAATTGAAAATTGATGACTAAGTACCCTGTTTCATCCATGTTAGACTCACCACCATGTGTAATATATGCCAAAGAATAAGCTAACAATTTTACTAACAGTAGTTCTGATTAAATAGCTCTGCACATCACACAAAAATGAAGAAAGTGACTTACCGATAGACACATTAGGCATAGGAGGCAGTGGTAACTTATTATTTCTCATTTGTCCACTGCCATTAATAGAACTGGATGATCCTTCCGATACTTTATCCAGTTGTAGATTTGGATCGAAATCTTTCGAAGCGAGATCAGACAAACTATAACTGTGTTTTGCACTGTGACCAGGTTTTCCGAGAGCTCCAGTTTGAAGGGCCTGAAATATGGTAAATTGAAAAATGGGAGTCATGAATAAGATTGAAAGACGAGTTTACGATGATACCAATTATTTCAACTAGTCTCTTCTACACTAACAAATGAAGTAGCTACGAAAGACAATGATAACCATGGTTTCCATAGTGAGAAAAAAACGTGACCAAATTAAACCCTTCAACTGAAAATACTTTTAATATTAATGCATTTTCATAATGAGTGTATTGGAATAATTATCCAAACTTATTTATCTTGTTATCACCCAAGTATTTCATTAAATATAATACAGTTATAGTGACAACATGTGACAAAATAACCAGTAAAACTAATTAATTGTATACCAGTATATAAGAATATACAATTTATCATACTTTCATTGGTTATTATTAGTTTTGTATTTTCCTATATCATTTAATTGAATTTAGTGACGAGCAAAATCGAAAATATTCTAAATTAAATCATATTCAACAACATACCTTGAACACAGTGCGTATCAATCTTTTATCCGTACCAGGAGTTGTAATTTCAATCAACATATCAAGTGGAACCAACATACACCAATCACATATACATAGCAGCAGGGAAACCAAAAGCTGAAAAATATAAATACACAAGTTAGGTATTAATTAACCTATAATGAACACATTGTCTAAACAGAAACACGATAAGATCGTTAAATTGTTGGCACATTGTGATAAGATAAGTGCTAGAAACGCATCCATTGCTGATTATCCTTCATGTGTTCGTAGGTTCGAATTCTGCCTCCGATAAATATATATTATAAGATTGCTGGACTTTTCACCGCCATAGGGTGGTGGTTCACGTAACTGTTGGATGGCCCACATACTTGACATAGACTGGTAACTTGACGATAGGCTGTGGAATCTGATTACTGTTCATGCGTTTGCTGTTTGAATCATACATGGATAATTATGTGCGAGGAGGTTGCTGGACTCGTCGTCGCAAGAACTGCTGGACAAAATATTCATGCATATGAAACAAATACATGATCAACTATTCTCATAATCAGTAAGGACTGGTGCCCGAACAAGAGGCGGCGTTTCATCATATGATTAAGGTGTCCTGTGTTTCTTTCTTTCAATGGGATAAATATTGAAATCCTATACTATTGAGTTTTTATTTGGAAGATAGTCTTTAAATTCAGTAACAAAAATCAGAAGTTGAAAAATTGGAAGAATGTTAAATACAATGATATGCATGATACCTGTCTTCCACTATCTGATGACTTTGCTTCTGAGCTTTGAAGAAGAGATGATGCAGTGAGAGACATTACCTGAAGAAAGAATTACCGGTTGCTATAAGCTTCAAATTTTAGACATTATCCAAAGTGTCTGTAGGAACCTAGTTGGGACTATAAGTTACTGAGAAAATAGTATTCCCCATTTTTTACAGACCATAAGGCGCACTTGAAAGCCTTTTTTCTCAAAAATCAATTGTGCGCCCTATAAGACAGTGCACCTAATGTATGGAAATGAATTTATGCTTTATTGCCTACACTGAGAACCAGTACCTTATAGCCTCTTGCCTTATGTATGACTAAAAATCCAATATGAAGCATTATTAAAGTGTCTCAATATCTTTCTTTTTTTTGTAGTTTAAGATCACGAAGTGCAAGTGATAAGAATATCATACCTCTATGATTCGAGACGGCATCTCAGGCATATACTCAAGCAACTGAGGTATACAGTGAGTGAGTAGGTGGAGTTGACTACAAGCAACACCGGCCACAACACGATTATTGAACTGAAAAAAGTAAAAGAAGTTGAATGTAAAAAACATGAATGCTGAACAGCAGTAAATATAAAAGACCAATATTGGGAAATCTACAACTTAATATAACAATATTTTAATGCAAAACAAAGCATTTGCTTCACACAAAGATATCTTGGTCCTTAGGCACACTAAATTCTATTCAAGAACATTGATATAGGATGCCAGAACCATATGATATCAATAGGATAAATATATTAATGGAAATTACATTAATTTTGACACAGGAATTGACTGTATTTTATTCTGAACAATAAAGCAGGGAGGTTAATTCCTGAGCTATGAAGACTCCTCCACACTGTGCTCTTAGGAAAAAAATCAACTTCACTGTCCATCGCTACTAGTATTGCTTCAAGATAGGCAGGCGTGTGCCACGTTTTTGTCCGTGGGCCATATAACCAAATTCAGACATATAGCCGGACCACACAAAAGATTTAGTTTTTCCATACGGGTAAGGCTAGAGACGAGAATGCGGCTATTGCTTAGCCGTGCAGTTCACCGGACAAAACGGCGAAAAATTTAACGCACCGACAAAGCATAAAACATTTATTTTCCCCAGCACATGAGCAACTTTTTGAACAAACTGTCGGATTCAGATTTTATGCTTGATGGGCTGGGGTATGGCCCGCAGGCCGTCTGTTGCACCCCTCTACTTTAAGACAATGAGCAAGTAATCCAACTAAGCTCTTAAAATACTACAAATGAATAAATAGTAATAAAATACCTTGAGTGAAACCAACATGACATTTATTGCTTCTTTCACTCTGCCATGACGAGCCAGTATTCTTCCTTTCACTGGCGATAGGTTAGTGTCATAAACAATACCATCACTCTGTACAGTCGTAGGTGTTGCAGTGGCTTCTTCTACAGAAGAAGTGAGTTCTTCATACAACCACACACCTAAACTACTCAACGCAACACACCTCGCTGGAGCTGAAGGTTCCTTTTTTGCTGACGTTAACAATGCATCAGCCACATATTCCTGAAATTTTAAAGATGGGGCTATGAAAAGCGAAGGCGCAAATCGAAATCGGTAAGATCTTCCAAATGATAGTAGCTCCTTACATAGATATTCGTGGCTGCTTATGAAGGGCCTTGTTCGGAGTGATAAGTGTACATAAACATGTACATGACATTAATATGCCATTACTTTTGGAGTCACAGATTCGGATTCTTAAGACAGAGTTATGTGAGTTTATATTGCAGCTGGTCTTCCAAATATTGTAGATGCTTACATATCAAATGCTATAATACAGATTCTAGTTCGGCCCGAACGTGTGAAAATACATCCTATAAAAATTCAACTTTTCTGACTCTAATCAAGTGCCCGGAGCATTATGTTATCCGAAATAAAATTATCAGACAGTCCACTGAAAGTGAGCCTACGAATTTGTGGCGACAAAAAAACATTAAAAATGATACGATAAAGATTCTTCCATACCACGCTTTTCCACACCTTTTTCTCCGAACAGGACCTTCTTTAAACAAGAGCTAGTCTTACTTGAAAGGATCAGAATCTTTCTGGTCCAGCATTGCCTACACAATTTATCACAACCTGGGTGAGTTGGGTGCACAGGATTTAGACCCAATATATTAAATCTGCCTTCCCAAGTCCCAACACAGTTTAGTCTAACACTACACTTGATAAGGCATTGCATCATCCGAAATAATGGTCATGTAGAATAATACCTTGATATTATTGCACATTAAAGCTTGTGGCTCCTTCGAGTCAGGATTTAGTACTGGAAGATCATAATATAAATTGGGGAAACATAAAACAGATCCAAGTAAGGTTTGTGCCTCCACACGCGGACCCTGAATAAAAAAAATGTATAAGAATCAAATCTTCAACAAAAAAAAATAGATATTTTAATTTATTATGACTGAGATGTAGTCAGGTATAGTTGATTTTATTATTCTAAAACAGGGCTACTACAGCTTTCAGAACACAATTCAATATTGCAATAATACTCACCGATAAGTCCGTTGATGCAGCAACTGCGTGACATGCATAAATAAAATCAAGTAATAACAATGTAGATGCAGGAAGACCACATGAAAAAAATCTTGGACTTGAGCTTTCTACAATTTCATTCACTTTATCTTGTTCCTGAAAAAAAAAAAAAAAATGTGTCATAGAAAATTATGGTGCTAAGTCTCGATTTTGTTAACAATAAATATATTATTATGACAACTCAATTTCTCACAAATGGGATACGGTGAAAGTTTGGTGAAAAGCCTGCACATTGCTCAATCAAATATTTTGGCCAGTCCTTTATGATAGCGGACGTAAATATGTTGAAGTTCTATGGATTCCTAGATTCAAAATTTTATGTTTTAGAAAGATTTTTATGTATAATTAAAACAATCGGATTTACAATTCTTATACTTTTTCACATAAAATTCATGGTTGATCCTGATTAATCGAAATGAATAAAATTTCACATGAACAAACTGCTAAGATAACTTAAAATGTTTTTTTTTACAGTATGGCTTAGAAATAGGGTTGGATATATGACACAATCACTATTTGAATGAGCGCTATTGGGCAGCCATTATAGACAGTTAAAGATAAATTAATAGTAAGCAATGAATATATAATTATGTACAGTAATAAATTAAAAACCAACTAAATTACTACATAATATGTGTGATAAAGTGGAGTGACAAAATATAAAATGCACTTCATGTCATAATTTTAAAAGGCTTATTAATTGGTTAAATATAGAGCATATTGAATCACTGATTTATTATTCATCAGTACTTGAATCATTGAAATAGTGTTTAAATACAGTCAATTGCAGCAAATTTCTCACAATTTAACGCAAAGCTGTCACTGTGGATGGTTGATTGTCAGCCAACTTGAAGTCGATAACAAGTCACTACTGTATAGTATATATATCAAGTATAGCGAACGCTAAAACTTTTTGAAGAGTGATATGAATATACCAGAAGAGATGAATAATAACCTTGAAGAAAAGAAATTACACTTCGAAGAAAACGCAGGCGCAAATGATCATGAAATAAAAATTCACGAAGAATTGCATAAGCGAGATGAAGAATTTAAACAAAAAACAGACAATATTAAAAAACACTTTGAACAAAAATTCAAAAGATTACAGGAAGAATTTAAAGCGAGAGAAGATAGACTTCGCTCGGAAGCAAAACTTCGAGATGGTTTACGCTTTTTAGCTTCGATACATACCGCTGGGAATGGAGGTTCTGAGCTTGGAAACAACATTACGCCAAATAACAGAATGAATAATATGTGCACAAATAGAAAACGAAAGTCCGCTACCCTCCCATCAAGACCACTAGCAATGGGATGTAATTCCAGTAATCAAAACGAAGTTTTCAACAAATTTTTTCATGCTTTGAATGAACCGAATCTAGAGACACTTGGATCAGATTGGAGAAAAAGTATAAAAAATAGGAATTCATCAGAAGAAAAAAGAAGAGCATCAAATTTTTTGACTGTTTAGAAGAGTATATCTCTCCCCAATTTGCTGGATGATTAAATTTATAATGTAAATTTGTTGCATACGAAATCTTTTCAATATTATCGGAATACCAAAAATGTGCCCAATTTTTAAAATGTAAGATATCAATGGCCCTATGTATAGAGCGTTGTTCAGAGAAAAAGCCTTGATAAGTCGTACACAGAAAAAAAAATAAAATTTTTTGTACAAGCTTCAAGCCACTTTAGTACGCAAAGGTTCATCTAGAAACAGACAATATTGAAATAATCACCTGATCTGAGTGCAATCCTTCATGCAGTATCATATAAAATAAAGCGAGATGTTCTGGTTCAAGTCTTGTATCGTGAGTTTGTAACGTTGTGTTGCATAGTAGTTGATAAGCATGTAGACATCCACCTTTGTGAGAATCTGGGAGAGACATCACTGCCTGTATATACAAATGCATTGTATACATTATTAGTTTATTACAGATAATAAATAAAGTGAATCTTTCATACCAGTAAACCAAAAAACGGCTAGCTCTGTGACTGACAAGTCAAAAACATTTAAAATCCTGACCAAGATTAGTTTTCACGTATGCTAAATTTTACCTCGACTCTAAGACAGACAAAAAGGCAAAGAATGAATGTTACATTAAATTCAATATGCATTGCAATAGAACTGCAATGAACTAGCCAGGAAATGGTAACCTATTCAAAGTTGTAATAATAGTAGAGATAGTAATAAATAGTCTTACATGAACGATAATTCTATCTATATACTGGTGTTTGTTTATATTGATCCAACCATTGAATTGGGCATTGGACAGCGTGGAAAATTTCTGACTAATGATAATATCATACTACGTTCATTGAATTGGTCATATACCTATATATACCCTATCATATTCTATTTCTAAAATTATTCCTCTACCACGAGTGCTAAAGTTGTACTAGATATAATTAGAAGTACAGAATTTACGATTTTACAATCCATTTAGATTGATTAAGAATGTATGTGCATATCAGTTATATTTGGATTGATATATCATCAGGTATTTAGCTGGTTATTACTAGGTTTTATGCCTGAAGAATTTTCTAAATTCTTGTCAGATCATAACTTCAAACTAAATATTTCATGAATGTTTGCGGCTGTACTTTTCGATTTTCAAGAAAGATTATCATTAAGGATGGCCAAAACCGAGTTATTTACTAATCTTTATGAACGTGAAATCGATATATATGAAATAGGCTGTTTCACAAGGGTATGTACCAATCAAAATACAAATATTTGCCATTTTTGAACTATCTTTTGAAGTTGATTTTGATTCCAAAGAGACTAATTATATAGCAAAACCATAACATATGCAACAAAACTTGACATCAATCCTCATTTCGCTGTAACAATTAAAAATTTCACTCATTCGAATTCTATAAAAACGATTATGCACAAAAAAAAGTAGATTTAATTTCAAATTTAAATCAAATGTATTCTTCAAACAAACTTAGCTATATTTTCCTTTCACCAAAGAAGCATCTTCATGTTATATACTTGCAGATAGCATAGACTAGGCTAAATAATATCCCATGTATGTGACATCTTTTTATTCCATAGCATTACCTATCCTGATGCTACTATACTCACATAATAAAATCCACCCACCCACACAGAAAAATAAACTAAATTCTAAAACAAACTAATTAAATATGGCTATATTTAGCGAGAAAAATATTTGTGATATGTCATAACCCATATCCAATAATATCATACTGTAAATATAATGTGTATGGTAAATAATAACATACTCCTTTTTCATCACTAATTATTGTCTGTTGAAGAATTGTATACCATGTAAGGCACTGTCACATCACAGTTTATGATAAAACTACACCAGACTAAAGAAGGTTTTTAGAAGAATACAGATGCTGGAATATGGATTTATTGTTTAATTATTGACAAGAAAAGAAAATTAAATTTTAATCCGAATAAATAATTATATGTCAAAGAATGAAACTCAAAAGTTTTTTGAAACATGGTACATTGTTGACTGGGATTCGGTTGCAACTTTGCAAGCAAGAATATTAATTTATCATAGTGATGTCAAATATATATTGGACATTCAAGTTGTATTACAATTCAGGTCCTATAAAAATATTGCCAAGAATTGAAAAAAAAAACAGCAGAATGTTTGGTGAAATATCTCAGCTGCTCACTGATTTTTTATACAACTCCGAACTGAACTAATATTGCTTTCTAGACAGGTTATCTGAACACAGACTATATAACTGTAACAATAAAATCAATGTGAGCTGCCTTTAACTATACAAAACTCTTAACTAGAACTAAGCAAATTGAATTAAATTGTCAAGAGCCAATTATCAACAATAGAACACCATGGTAACGACAAAGAGAGTTTGACAAAATCTATCCAATTCAACCACATCACCATTAGAGAGAAATAACTTGAGCAATTATAATCAAATATTAAACATAGCATAATTGTGACATATCACAAAAGTGAAAATACAACAATTCTAATAAATGCAAATTCTGATAAAATGGATATACAGGATGATGCGTAAATGCTACGTTAACGCATAAGATTCTTAATTCTGCAAAAGTGAAGAAAATGTATTTAACACTTGAACTTCTGCTTGTGTACGATTGTACCCAAAAGTTTCGTTAATCTAAGAAGCTCAGCACAAAATTGATGTTCTCCCTAGGATATGTTCAATAACCTGGATTCTGTTCTTTTTGAAACACCCTGTACCTTGGAAGATATGAGGCAAAGCTATCAAATTTTAATAGAGCTTAAATCAGAATGCTAGAGAACCAACCCTAACTGAAATATTGTCCCCTTATTTGTATTCAGGTTCAATGTCAGTTTTTATATATTGATTTATGCAAATTTTTTTTTCGAAAAATAACTTAATTGAAAATGCATCGATATCCTAGCCTAGATTATTCAGCAATTATTATAATGAGCGCTCTCAAGAATTTTGAAGATCAACCCATTTAAGTAATTTATTTTTAATGCATTGATGCTGAATATATTTTAAATAAAATAGGAAACATTACCTTGAATGCCCAAGGTGCCATGATCCGAAGTGGAGGAACAAGTTGAGGTGGTTCTGGTGTGGACATATTGTCGGTTGTTATTCCAAGATTGTCTCTCATCTGAAAAATGAAGAAAGCATTACAAAGTATAAAAACCGGGATACAGAAAAAATAATTGATTAATTATGTGGAGGTGACTTTGTAAAATAGGTTTTTGCTACAGGGTGAGGCAATGGCCTAGCAGATTACACATATCAGGTTGACTCAATGACGCCATTTTACCCAGGACGAAATAAATTGGGAAGGCAATGCCTGGACGGTGAACCTCCGCTCATTTCAAATAATAATAGCCCCTCACATATTGTTAGTAGCAGTGACTGCTTGTTTATTGTCTTGTTCTGAGAAGAAGACGTGAATAAGCATGTTATAAAAGAATTAAAAAAAAGTTAGGCAGATTATGACTGTTTCGAAAGTGCATAATCATCATCTTATAGGCATGGCCAAGTACTATGTGCGATGTTGGTTTTTGGATATGAAACTCGCAACTTCAAAATCATAATTTTACTATTGTAGAAGTTTGGACAATATTTTGAAGGTAGAAAATATAATTATTTTGAGGATAACTTTTATTTCAAAGTCAACTCAATCTCAAAAACTCCATCTAGTAGTAGAAACATAAATAATAGGACCTGATGTCCTACTACAAAACCTAACCACGCATTGATTTGTGCAGTCATGACTGAGCTTTGCACCAATAACCACATAAATTTTCTATTATTAAACAAGCCCACATAGGCATAATCGATACTTCTATTCTAGAAAACAACTTTTGGTATCACACTAAAACACTTCTAATAGTAACATACACTCAACAGATTTACTTTTACAATCAATACTTTCTAAATTCAACTAAGAACTATATTTTCAAACCTACAAAAGTAGCACGAAGACAAAATCATTTGAAGTATTCCGCTAAAAGATAAGCAAAATCTGATGCAATAAAGGAAGTAATTCGAGCAATAACTTCAAAAACTTCATTACTTTGTATAAGATGAAATAGGATGACACAAATGAAAACAGACCACGTATGCAGCATTTCGAATTGTATGAAATTCTGTTTTGACCATTGTAATATATGCAAAGATAAATATCACTGGAATAAAAAATAGGAAAATCTTCACTATCCATAATCACTAAGACAAAATTTATTTTTTCTAAGACTTATAGTGACAAGTCAATGAAAGCACTGGATATAGTAAGAATAGTCAAAATCTTAATCCCTGAATGCGCAAAAAAAATCATTTATATCAAAGACTATGGAGCAATACATAGAACATACACTAGGTTTTTCCTCTTGTTTTTTACTAGTAATTCTATCTTCATTGAGGTCTTCGAGTAGCAAATTAGCATCCCTTCTGTATATGGAAATCCTTTCTGCTCTGTTTTTTCTTGGAAACGGAAAACTTGGCATAGACGGCATGGAGAATGACATCGACATTCCAGAAGAAGAGGAAGAAGTCGGAGATGGAGGAACATCCTCAACAACATGAGATTCCTCAAATGAAATAGAGGGGGAGGGGAAGACTTGAGGTGCTGACGTCCCAAATACATTCAAATAATCTGACGCTTCAATCGAAACAGGGTCTGCTTTTGAAGGTTCATCGAAGTCCATTAGGTTTGGTAAAGCAATGGCTGATTTAGCTCTCGTCACAGGACTATATCCAAAGACTGGATCTGGGTTTTCTGTTACAATTTCCAAAGGCAAAGTTGGGGTTCTAGAATGAATTGTAGTATCCGAATCAGATTCAGACACATTTCTGCGTCTTTGGCGTCTTAATCGATTGTTGTTACTGTTTGAATTCTTCCCAGATTTTGCATTGTTGCTTGCTTCACCATCATCTTTATTAGAAAAAAGGTTGCTGATACGTTTTTTCATGATGTTTTTGTCCAACGATAATGACACAATGAATTTTACATTACAAATATCTGTAAATCATGACACAGAACTTGATCAAACAATTGTTCTGCTCTGACTTTATCCTCAAAAATTAGGAAAATTCTCTTCTCGTCTCATAAAGCAAATTAATTCGAATTGCAAAAAAGTAACCACGGTACTCATTAAAAAGGATTTATCCTGGATGATAATTGATAGGTAGAACACAAATAATGAATGATTTTATCACAGGATCCAGAAAGATTTCGAACTATATATCAACAAGCCATCCAGCAAATCCTATTTTCTATATTAGCCTGACATGGTTGGAGTCTGTATATCATTAGGATTGAAGTCCATGACGCCTGCACTTTCTGATTCCAGTTACATTCTTCTGACTGAGCTACATCCTAATAGACTTTTCACAGAATTACCAGAAACCAATCACTATAAACACATATCGTCAAAAGCTATTTTACTCATTTTCGAAGATAGCGAAATACTATTTAATATGTTACCACAAATGTTTAAAAATACATAGCAGATAACATATCACATGACATAACAATAAGTGTGATAAGCTCAAAGCACCCAAACAAGTCAATGATTTACTTTTTTACATTTGCAACACAAATGCTCACAAAATCGGAATGTTGAAACATAATTGGTAAACAGATAATGCTTGAAGCGCTGCATTCATCAGAAAATAACTTCCATGCATGTTCTAGCATAAATCCAACAAATAACAACAATTCATCATCCAACCATGTTTGGTTGTATGCAAACTATCGAACAAGCAAGGACAAGAAAATTCATTTCCAAGGTGATAAAGGTCGCAAACCATAATTAATATAAATTGATTATTAGGTATGTAGTTCCAACGCAATACCTTGATCACAACCACTGAAGTTAAATATTTGCTCCCATAAATTTAAACAGGTAACATATGGTGACTGGTAATGGCTGGAACCAACCAACACCAGATACCCAAATCGATGATATAAATGAATTTAGGCTTTTACACATTGCATTAGAATACACAAAAGTTAACAATAAAATGATATTCCTGATATTTCGTTCACATGATCAAAACATTTGACTGCATATAAAAATTTAACAATATATGGAGATTGCAGTCATACCGATTATTGGATTTATCAGATACAAAGAGAACTGATGGTTTTGCTGAACTGTTTTTTGTTTTTATGGCAGCTATTGTTCAGCTCGTAAAAAAGATCATTTTTATTGCTCAAAATAATGATACAACTAATTTCAAATTTTCAGTACTTATAAATAGAAGAAGTCGAAGAAGGCTGCTACTTTCTTTCATATTAACTTCAGGTTTATTGATTTCTATCTTCATTAGCATTAGGTATAATTGTTTTAATATCTGGCAGCAGTTTTGATGACATTGTGATGTGCATATATTCGAGCATTGTATAAGAACATGATTTAAACTGTCAGAGATGTGGCACAATATTTCATAAATTTACCCAAAGAGTCAAATAGTTTTTTTTTTGAATATTTGCAATTGACATTAAAACAATTAGTCATATAATCTACTCTTTTGTTTCTTAGTATGACTTGTTACTATTTATTGAAAGTAAAAAATATCGATTTCAACTTATTCGATTCAAATAAAACTCTATACTGGACGTTAATTAAATGTATTGAGTTGCTATGCTGGAATAGGTGTAATCCTATGATACATACATCTGCATCATTTTTTACCCAGCAGATTGAGATTAAGGTGATGGGAATAGGCAGACAAGGAGACTGATATAAGGTCTAGACCAGACATATTTAGGCCGTCTCATTCAAGATTTGCATAATATATGCTCATCCTGTGATAAACCTACTACGGACTAGCTCAGTGATTCCCAAACTTTTTAGATTCGGGACTCACTATTTATTACCACAGCTTATGGTGACCCATTTAACTTTAATAAATTAAAAAGACATTGATGGAGGAAACAAATTTATTTTCTCAAATTAAATTTTCAGTGAAGCTAGTGAGGATGCAAATTTATTTTCTCAAATTAAATTTTCAGTGAAGCTAGTGAGGATGATGAGCTTGTTTTCTCGCTACTTTCCATAATAGACTTGACATTTATTTCAATTTCATATAGTTTTAGACATAAAGAATTCCAAATTTGCAGTTTATTTTCGAAGTTTGGTTGACTTGGCTCGTCTTTCTTTTGACTAACTGGCGATTCATCGTCATTGACATCCACTGACTTAACCATTATCTATTATATTAAAGGCTAAGTAATATAAAAGTAAAGTTACAACTGTTTCTAAGTAAAGTCAAAACTATAACTGCCAGTTGCAGCGCACCTACACAACAAAATATCCTAGTTGGTTCTATTTTCTTTTGTATTTTATGACATAACACAGAACACAGCAAAATAAGACCTGGCCTGAAAATAAGACTTAATTTGAATTTTAAAAATGATTTTAATAAAACCCTACCCTTGAAATAAATTTAAAATGTGTGGGAGAGGAAAGGTTTAATGACCTGCGGTAAGGTGAAGATCACACCCTTATTCAAGATTGTGTGATGTCACAATCACAATTAGGATATTTGTCACTTGATTTTTGTATAGGAAATACAAATCAAAACAATGGATGCCGGTTTTTATATAATGTTCATTAAAAAATCTCGTGATTTTCTACAAAGTAATTTTATTTTTGATAAATGAACACAAAAGACCTCTTCCAAAAAACTAAAATAAATCTAAATCATGTCTAAATTTTGGGGAAACACGATAAGAAGTGCTGTACAGTGTACAAAACTGCTATGCGTAAAAAAGCCACATGGTCATTCTTTGTGTAGCAAATTTTTGTTCCTTTGAGAAGATCTCAAAAAGGAAACTTTCACTGATTAGAATTTAAATTCAATTTAATTTCTTTTTTTTTTTTTTGAAGATTCACTTATTCGAGTTGCCACCGATCCTAATAACCAGTATAATTAATCAAAGCTTCTACATCTTTTCACGACCCACTAAGATTCCTTTTGCGACCCACCGCTGGACTAGCCTATTTCATCAACAACTAATTATTTATTTTATTTCAACTCGGCAACAGTTAGTCATAACCTTTCACCCTTGTTAACTTCAACAACCTCTAAAATACCTAACCCAATCTTAATTGCGTTCCAACAATTGATACTTAGTTCAATATAAACCTGTAACAGTACACAGTACAACGTAATATTACAAGCCTTACAAATAAGTGTATTGCTGAAAGGACCTTTACACACAACAGCAATAAACACAAGAGTAAATCAATATTCAAATTGGCTTCATTACTTCTTAGCCTGGTAATCTTAATATTTATCAATCATTTTATGCGTAAAGCTGAGGAATTTTGTTAAAACCAAGATCTTCACGTTTCAATGAATACAGCAATAGAAATTGATAGTTTGTTATGATTAGATCAACAAGAACTATATTTGATAAGGCTCTTTATTACCTACCTGACTATGATAATAAAATTTGACTAAATACACAAATATGAATTTAAATAATATTTCATGCCCGAATACCTCCACTGCAACAAATCAAAAATACTTTTTGTGGGCACTGTGGCCTACTGGTTGAAGCGCTCGAGTTAACTATGACGGCATCGCAGGTTGAAATCATGGGTTCAATTCCCATGCCCACCACCTCACTTAAGGGGTAATAAATTGGGTAGATAATGTCGAACCAGGACGATTCTGGGCCGTCCAAACTATAATAGCTCCTTACTAGAAATGGTGGCTTGTCCAAAGCCTTGTTAAAAGCATATACGCACATTGTATAAAAAATTCATGATTTTATGAATGCACAAATATTTTTGCTATGAGAAATTCATCCCCAGTTAGCAGGTTATCTGACCACATTGACATACTGTTCCTGTAATTATCACATCAGTCAATATCTGATAGGGACCTGGACTATTTCTTTGCAAGTATTTTCGGCTCATACTACAATGGTGATTTATTCTTGAGTGGTTTCAGTTTGCGTCTGAGTAAGTTCCTTCTACACTGCTTTGAGTAATTTGTGAAGCAAATCTACAGCTTTTAGCGCAACTGGCGTGGATGACTCTTCAGCTAGTAATCTTGAAACTATCGATTGGGGACTTTTTGAGCAAATTTGTATAAAAAATGTACGAGTACTGTAGTTTCAAACACTCAAAAATCCCTTTCCTTGAAAACTCCTATCAAATGATACTAAACTGATATTAAACATTTCAACTGAAAATTTATATAGTATCTATAGCACAACACTATCTAGTCCCATAACTATCTATTGTGCTATCTGATCTCAACAACATGTTAGGAATTATAATATTTAGTATTTATTCTGCTGTTGTGCGTATTGCGAGCACGTTCCGTCAGTAGAAAATATAATGCATTATTAATATTTCAGACAGTGCATAATTGTATGCATATTAGAACAACAGGGTTATGTTTGGGTTTACATGGGCATAAAAATCTTACATTAAATCTATAGGTTTCTCACGATTGGCCAATGAAAAATATTTGAATAACAAATTAGTGTAATTTGATGCTATATTGATAATATATCAATTTAAATATTAGTAACTAATATGAAGTAATCTTGTTTAAAACTATAATACTGCATATTTACATAGGTGATATCTCGTATGCCCTGAATATTTATAAAAAAAAAAAAATTTAAACCTTCATTATTCATGAAAAAAAAAAAAATCCATGAAATCTAGCCCACTAGACTGTAAAATCCCAATTTATATACAACAGAATATAATTAGAAAATATTACGTCAATGTCGATAAACATAAATTTAAACCAGAAAATTTAGAGAGAAAAGGTTTAATACCTATGTATTTAAATACAGATGACTTTCTGATGAATGAAAACCCGAGCAAAATAGCCAAACAAGACAACGAGCTAGAATATCCCGAAAAATTCATATATATCACGGTGATATGTCTATATCTTGTTACTTATCGATCTCAATCGGTAAGTATGTTGATAGGTATTTGTCTGTTTGTCTGTTAGACACTTTCGTATGTTACGCGATATCTCACGAAAGCGAGGTTGAATCTGCTCCAAATTTTGCATGTGCAATCATCATATCTCTCAGACCAGAAGCATATTGATTTTGGATGAATTATGTCGTATAAGTAGCGAGTTATTAATTAATTAGAAATGGAACAAGCAGTGACGCTAGTGAAGGAATCGAAACCGCAGATCAACAAGTCGACGGTCTCCGATCGCTATTTAGTTTAATCCTTTGAATTCTAGATTCAAAATGTGTCTTCTTACCACCAATCAAGTAAATAAACAGTCCTCATTTTGTAACTACAAATACTTTATCACATAATTGCTATAAAAAAATTACCTTGAATAGAACCTTCCAGAATTTCAAAAGATATGTGAAAATGAGTTGATGTATGACTGGATCTTCTACTTTATTGACGTCGCCCAAAATGCCGAGCAATCTTCTCCATAATGCTACAGCAACATCAGGATACCAACCTGTTCTTCTGCCACCAGCAAGAATACTGCAATCTTCTGATGGTGCAAGTATACTGTCACCTAGAAAAAAAATCAATTGTAAATTTGAGTTTATGTTTCATGTTTTACACTTTATATTATGGCCTTGTATTGTGGAACATATAAGAGATCTTGGGAGTGACAAAGTACTTGGCATTAGATCCCCGGTGTGTCATACCAGTGAAACAATACTGTAGATACGAAGTGTCAATGATCTCGAGTTCAAGCTCGAAGGCAACTAACCCAACCAGGATTAATAAATCAAGAAGGCAAAGTTAAACTGGAATAATTTTGCTTCTCCCAACACCATTATTCAATTATATATCACCAGATACTTGTGCACAGTGCCATGTTCAGAGTGAAGGCGAAACTAAATACGATTGAGACTAAACTGTATATGAGACACCTTTATAAAATGGTGGTTTCTAATTCATAAATTACAAGATAAAAACCAATTATTAGCATTTCACCAGTAAGAAAATCTATATATCAAGGTTTAAATTGGCACTACAAGAATGAGATTTGTTGCCAATTTCAATCAAATCTTGACATACCATCCCACTCAGTAAAAATGCAACCCGTCATGATATTTTCTAAAAGTAACTCGAACAAAAAAAAATATGTATTTCATGTTAGGTACATATAAACCAACCTGTTTTATCTTGCTGAAAATTGTTCTCGTCCATACTTTCATCACCAGATAAATCTGATGTTCCTTTCGAAAGTGCTGAAAAAGGTAAAAAAATAGAGATGAAGTAGGGCAAACACCAACAAAGATTGATAAGTCATTATTGATACTAATCTTTTTGGTCACAGCTTAGGTATATATAAAAAGAACCTCATATACTGATAGATTGGCAGAGTGGGGTAAATATAAGGTACAATTATGTGAGCAAAAAAGAACATGAATGTCTCTTTGCGAAGGGACTGCCTCACCTAGCGCCTCCTTTTTTTATAAATTTCACTTAAGGCATAGTGGAAAAATATTTTATATACATAGGGCAGGGGTTCCCAAACCAGGGGTCACGACCCAAATTGGGTCGGAGTGATAAGTGGGTAGGGTCGCAAACAGGTCATGGGGTCGGTGGGGTCGCTGAGGTATGATAGAGGATGGATGTACAAAACAGCTAAGATTAGACAAACCATGTTAAATTTAGCAGTTTGTACCATGGCTTACTGTACAGGCCCACAGACATCGCTCTATGCTAATGCTATAGAAATGTAGGTGCTTATTGTGACATCACTGTTTGGTTTTAGCTTATTTTACTTACCGTAATACCACCACATGACCAAACTCAAAAAGTCCAGTGAAAGTAGCTCTAAAGTTTCATAAAAAATAAAATATTGACCTGGGTTCGCACTGGTCACTTGAAAGTTGTCTTTGGGGTCGTCCTGAAAAAAGCTTGGGAACCCCTGACATAAGGGATAAACTTACACACATTCCGAAATAAAACAGAAATATGCTTACTGATATGTGGAGTGCTTGTATGAACACCAAGTATATCATCTGATGATTTCTCAAACAATGTATCTGCATCAGGGGAATCGTTACAAGGAATTTCTTCCTCTGCAATACTTTCACGAGTCTCATTTCTTGACGTGTCACGCCTGGGATCCGGAATCAAAAGTGCAGTTGAATCATACCTGATAAAATCATGTGAAAGGAAGATTTTCTGATAGTTGTCGATGTGAAACTCCGCAACTAACAGCCAGTAGCTGCTGTAGATGGAATCAAGGCAATAATTCTATATAATATACCAAAATAAATGCTCTTTCGTATAGCTAAATTTTGTGTCCTAACTAAGGTTATTACTACTAAATTTATAAGTCAGTTTAATATTAATGATTTTCTTATTGGAGTCACATAACCCTCTGGAAGGGCAAAATAGATTTCAAAATAGCAGAATTTAAGTACTAGTAAATACCGCCAAAATATGATTGGTTCGGATAAAAATTAGTTTTATATCTGCAAATTTGAGATTTTACAACGCACAAAGCAGCACAATGACTATAATATGCAGTGTAATTTTATTAAAGCATGGTTGACCAAAAGAAATATTTGAATATGTTCAAAATTGATTATATTTGATATAGTTAATTTGAGAATAGTTTCATTCAGAAAGTTGTTATCTTAAACATTTGGTGTATGATGGTCAGAAAAGATGAAAAGAATGCGCATGTTCAATTGTAATTTCTATCAATGTGAGTTTGAACGAGTTTTCTACCTAAGGTAACATGACCCAATTTTATAATATATTCAATATATGAATAATATTATTCAGAATGTATTCAGGATAGTAAATTATACAATTTTGGCCATCCCTGAAAAACAATAAAATCAACAATAACATTGATGACAATCATAAGATGTCGGGATACGAGAATAATGAACTGATGAAGAATCATTGACATACCTGTCTCTTGCTACATGTTTATATAATTGATATGGAGGACTCGAGACACCTGGGCTTGCAGTTTCACTGGATGTGTCTAAAAATTATTTTTAATCAAACTTTAATTATTTTGAATTGTTATCAGAAGATGATTATGTGTTGTCAATGAACATAGATGATAAGAAATCAAATTGCTATTCATTCGTTGATAAACAACACAGCTTGATTCTTATTTTCCTAAATCAGAAAAAAAATGAATAGAAATCGGTTCTATGGATGAAATGAGAAATAAAAAATCATGGAAGGTATCAAACATTCATTCATTTGAAAACTTTAACCAAAAAGAAAATGATACAAACAGAATGCAAGTCTTAGAATCTAGTTTCTCAGGAGATGGGAACTTCAACATATATTGAAAGCATGAGGGTCTTACATTTTGAATATAAAGAACTTTTGTATATCGATAACATTGTGGAAAGATACCAAAAAGGGTGAGATATTTTAAAATAGGATATTTTGTAATGTTACAAAAAAGATGTGGCAAAACAAAAACGAATAAACCTACGTTTGCTTCTATTTGAAAATACTTCCAGCAATATTTAAAAAATGATGAAAAAAAATATTTTATTACTTGTTAAATGGACTTACATGTGTACAAATTACTGAGAGTAAAATTTCACCTTCATAATTAATTGCATGCCATAAAAGAAAACATGAGTGAAAAATTTCAAATTGTTAAATTCTCAAGTATGAAAGTTCTGTGCAATTTTAGTTTGAGGATGCCCAAAATGTAATGTTTATGAATGCAATAAAGAAAGGTGTTAAAATTTCAGAGAAATCCTGATTTCGCAATCCTGATATCATTTATGCATTACAGCGAATCTTTTGGACATCCTTAATAGAAGTAAAGATAATTGTTACTCTGTTAATTACTTTGTTCTTTTGAAAGCATGCTAGCAAGTTCGTTCACAATTGTATCCTTTTCCTTGTTCTGATTTACTGTCAATTCAGCAAGATGCTGCGGTACTATTCCTGTATATATCAGTCAGTAAGTTGATTGGTAAATTCACACACAACACACAGAAAAAGGCAAGCAAGTTTAAATTACTATTAAATGACAAGAAGTAGTATTGAAATCATGCAAGTTGAATGATTAGCAAGTGAGCAATTTTATCAGATACCCAAAAATGTAAATCGCACCAGAAAGACAATGGAGCTAATTTTACAGAAAGAAACTTTTTACAAGACATCTATTTGCAACTTTTGCTCCCAAATAGGCCTTGTACAAGCTTCCACTGATATCTAACGATATGTGATTAAATTTTGTGAAGACCAAAATTATTTAAGTTGGACACTTCTTAATTAATACCATTGTCATTGAGATATACTTAGTATTACCAGATATTATTTTTATACTATAGGGAAAGAGGACATTGGATAATACAATAATAATTATTCTCTCGGCTGTAATAATTGAATACACTAGGATAAGAAGAAGTAGACATAATAACCATGTAGCAAAAAATGATGTAACGAAGTCGGGGAATCATAACTTATTCAAATATTTGATTGACTAAAACTAAAGTTATATTCATTTAAACGCATAATGAAAACCAATGTCGGTGTGCCAATATGTTTCACATTTTCATTCAAATATAATGAACTTTAATAGGTGATTCCACATTTCCACTTACGCTACAATTATTTACTCCTTCATGAAATAACCACAGTGCATTGCCTGCAACATATCAAATCATGCCGAATGCATTTGTATAAAGAAACAAGCCAAAGCATAAAACAAGTATGCATGCAAAGAGGAATGATGACATTAATACAGTGCCAACTAAATTCTTCCAAATGAACATCATAAAATTTGTCATCCAATTAAATATTATCAACCAATAAAAACAACGAAAAAGGAATTCTAATTAAAATCTGTAATATTGTTTCACATAATTGCACTTTACTGAAGTAGTAAGAAGTAAGGGTACTCCCGTAGTGTGTGTACCAGGCTAGGGTTACGCCATAATTTTATTCCGATTTTTCTTAATTCATTTCTATTGGTATATTTTAGTTCCAGGACTGTCTATGTTAGCCAAGTGAATATAGGTTTCAGTCCCTTCACACAACTTGATGTAAAGTAGGCAAACAAAATTAGTTACCTCCATCTTGGTACACACACTTCTGGAGCATCAAAGTGCATATGATTGCAATTGAAAATACCAATTAGTTTAAGAAAATTATATTATCAAGATATAAAACTGTGAAACTTTGTCCTCAAATTTCAAATGAAGATTGGGTCTTAGTCGAATTTTTGGTGAAAAAACTAGAAAATAGTTTTGTGCAAGTTCTCTTACATATTCATATCACTTAAATTAACTTCATTTCAAAACAAAAATTGGGAAAAAATTGGTTTTAAATAGGTTACAGACATTGACAATCGTGAATTCATTGATATAAGGGTAGTTAGTTCATATGTAATGACTAATACAGTTTAAAATTAGATATTTCGCGTGTGTGTGTATGTGTTCGTGTGTGTAGATATTTCGTGTGTTTCGAGCGTGTGTGTGTTTTGAATACAAGGTCACAAATTGAGGGAAATTTAACTACCGTAGTTGGATTGTGATGTTTAAAATTTTTTATTTCAACATTCTGAATATTTTAATATATGGAAATGTAAATAAATTGAAATTAAATTTGTCTGTTTTGCCTGAAAATAAGCTAAAGATAATAAACTTTCGAATAAAACTTTCCACATTCTGAAAATTTTAATATATGGAAATGTAAATAAATTGAAATAAAATTTGTCTGTTTTGTCTGACAATAAGCTAAAGATGATAAACTTTCGAATGAAACTATTTTAAATGCCAGTAAAATCATGACTATATCGAATATAACCAATTTCAAATACATCCAAAAATTCATATTTGCTTTGTACATTTCAGAGTTGGGAATTGGGATCAATATCCCGAACAAGAGACAAAGTTTCACAGTTTTATGAGAAGGAAAGAAATTATTGACAGACTCACCATCTACGCTAAAGCAGGGAAAGCATTGCATGCTGTGAGTGATCTTAATTGGACAGCTGAAAGATTCATTAGAAGAACTGACGGGCTCCACCACTCTTCTACTACTCGACAATTTTGTGAGAGGAAAAGTGCGATGTGAGGGAGCGAGTGCTAAACTGGGACTGGATAGGTTCCTTGGAAGATTTTGTCGTGGCAAGGAAATGCTACGAACGGGTCGTCGTCGATTAGCTGGGTAAGAGAGGTATGATTTGGCACGTCTCAATGACGTATTTAACGGAGGTTTATTAATAATAACTATAGGTTGGGTATAAGGTGCGGGAGTGCAAGGACTAGAGTGAGATTTCTTAGGGATTAACTGAGATAAGTTTTCCCATATAATTTTGGGGGGTGTTGGTTCGGTGAGTATAATAGAGGAGGCACTCGGAGTAGATTTGTCAAATAGGAGAGTGGTAGGACGGGTAGTGGTAGGCAGTGAGGAAAACGCATTCAATTGTTCATTAGTATCACTACGAGGAATTTCAATGTTATGGGTCATCGAGCATGACCCAGAGAGAGTTAGAGTACCAGTGGTGGAGCTGAAATCATAGTCGTTGCTCGTTGATTCAGAATCAGATTCTGCAGACGAATGATCTTCATTTTCTTTATCTGAATGTAGAACCAGGTTCCACAAATCATATCACAATTGCTTGTAATCACAACTTTATATTACAATCTGCTCAAAAAATCACACCTGATTGTCTATATGGCAGCAATAAGCCCTCTATAAGGGAGGCTAAATGCCCCTACTAACTAATGGGTAGCAAAAAATCGGCCAATAAGTAATTAACCAATGATTCGCGTCTGTCATCACAGTATTATCCAAACAGACAAATTGTTGCCAATTTGGAAAACAAGAATATTTTATAATTCTGACAATCAGAATTTTAACTACTTCATGTAAAATTCGTCGTTTTTCACAACAATATCATAATTTATGTCAAACTTTAGTCTGACTTATATCATTCATGCATGTAATTCAAAATAAACCTAATCAAATTATAATTACAAATCAGAATTCAAAACTATTAGAATATGGACATCAGTACAAATACATGACATTATTTTGACATTTTCTATATTTTCAGTCTTTATTTTTTAAACCCTATGATCAAATAACCAAAATATTGCATTTATTTTTCATGTTATAAACTGACTGCTAGTGAGAGTATGAGACTGTTCTGATCAATTTAATGATAATAAAATTTATTCAGATTGCATCGAGCATCCAGATTTTTCATCGGACAGGGCCTTGAATAACATGGCTCAAATATAAAATTTACAATGACAATCAAATTATGATTTATATAACTTATAAATCAACTATTCATTGACATCAATGAATATTTTCATTGCAAAGCAAGCTCACCATAAATTAAACATACATCATCATTTTCATAATCAAGAAAATGACAGCGAATGCAAATTGCAAAGATATTATTTACCATATTATCACCATCTAATAGATATGATATCACCACATGCTGTTTATATATTTTTAAACATCATATATATATATATATATGAAGAGAGAATCTTATATTATTATTTATAACTGAATGAGGATTATATTTAGAAGCTGATTTGCTATTTAACAGTGAATAACAACGACAATCGTTATCATTGAAGTTGAACAACATTTTAAACAGCATTATATGAATAATTATGTTACCATTATCTTTTATAAAATCAAAAAAAGTTCAAAAACTCTATAATCATCATTTATTTTGATACTGCGAAGATCAGGAGATTTTTGAATAACGAAAAAAATAAGATAAAAATACGCATGAAAGTGTTTCCCTGCAATCTTTAAACGAATATTCATGAAAATAAAATGAATTCAACAACCAAATAACACACACGCATTTCCCTTGTAAATAGCTAACACACAGGTTGAATATATAAGTATATATTCAAATACTTGGGAGCATGAACATATTCATAACTTACCATAATTTGAGTCTTCTAAACAATTTCCCCATTCTGAAGTATAATCCTCTTCTCTAGCATCAGCATATTCATCACTTCTTTTAGCTTCTGTTTCGTGATACAATTGATCTTGTCCTTCTGCAGAATCATCATGTGCGGTGGTTTGAGCATCCGATTCTGCCCATGGATTCCAATTTGGATCGATAGATCCTGAATCTTGACTTTTAATGCTTATCACGTCAGTCGGTGCATTCCAGACCTAGATAAATTACATTTATTGTCCACTCTTGGATTTTGCATTGGAGGCCTGGACTTGGAATATGGGTTCGAATTGATTCATGCAACCAAAGAAAATACTCCTTGATTTCCAATAGTCGACGGCAAAAATCAATTTAAATATAGCAAACGGTCTAAATATCTTGGTTACATTTTCGTCGTTCGAAAATATAAGGTACTTAACCAGAGAATTAGGTAGGTGGTTGAAGTCAAATAATTTTACATGATAGCTACCCTCAATGCCCAACATTATTAAAATTTATTCATTAGAATTCAAAAAAAAAATATTCCCAGACAAGACATAAACTTTGAGTTAAACTTCAAATAAAAAAATATGATACAAAAATTTTCATCTATTTACAATTAGACAAATACCTCTGCAACTACTGGTTTGGGGTTCACAGTACTAAGTCTCTGTTGTGCTAGTTCATCGAACATATCATTAAATGCATCTTCAACACTGCATAAACTCGTCACTCCATCGTTATCACTTGATTGTGTTCGAAGGCCATGTACTATGATGAAATGAAAAATAAATTAAATTTTACAGTAGATATTCATCATGAATTTATAAAAGTAAAATTTATTTATAAATGAGAAGATTTTGACAATCGAAATTTTATTCATGAATCTTGCAATTTTTTGACTTCTCATCATCCGTCAACATGCTTACATTTTATACATAACCAGTGTTTCTCGAACTAGGCCCGAGAGCCCCCTAGGGGTCCATTTTCTGGGGACCATGAGCAAAGGCCTTCACCTATTTATTACACCCAAGGTGGGAGCATAGGATTTGAGATGTGCAATATGCATTGCCAACACAGTTAAGTCTAACGACTTAGCCGATAAGAGCCCGCGTTGCTCTGCTATTGGTTGAAATTCATAATCACCTCTCATGTCTTCTCTGTATCCAGGTCCAGAATTACATCTCTGTCTACCAGGTTGATTGTATTCAATGTGAATATGTTCTGGAAGAAGAGAAATGATTGTGTGCTCAAATTGAAAACTAATGAACAAAGAGAAATCATAGAAAATATAAATAAATTCAACCTCTGTAATTATCTTCAATCTTATCTCTTGATATATCAGAAGTACTGCTGCTTCGTTGTAGATTACTATCAAGTTTGCCTGATAAGAATAAATAGTAAGTAGTGTAATAATCCAGCCAGACAATCAAATATTGAAAAAATTTTCACTGAGAATAAAAAACTGCAATGTTCAGAATCACAGCCGAATTATATAATTTACAAATTTGAATAGGCTACATTCTGGAATAGGAATTTCAATTTTTAAATATTATATATATCCCAGATTGGGGTATGCATATCAGTGAACAAGTAGATGCATATTTCATTGGTCCTTGTGTTATATATCAAAAGTTGTCGTTACATTGGTAATTAAACTTCATAATTAATAGAAAAGCACTCCCCAATTACCAATAAGCAGTAAAACACATATAGCATAAACACTTTAATGGCTTTGAAACTTCCAATGTTGAACATGCCATGAAAATTGGTCAACAGTTGAGAACCTCAAAAATGCCAATTACTAGGGATGCGACAAGATTCGGACTCGTGCTCGGATTCGTGGCCGAATCTCTGTTAATTTGATACTCGGATTCGGCCCGAGTCTTTGATAATTTTACCCGAGTCCGGGATATCATACGTCACGCGATAGTCAAGCGCAGACTGGTGGCGGATTAGACGAGAAATTCAACTTTTTCGTTCTGTTTTGCCACGAGACAAGTCCAGCCTATTTTCTCTACGGTGAAATTAAAACTAGGCGCCAAAACTACAAATTCACGACGCCGTAAGAACAAAAAAATGTCAGCGAGAGTCAGCTGAATAAATTCCAGTGTTGCGTGTAGCTTGCCTTCCATTGCCAGACGCGTTTAGTAAATGCTTACCACGTCCTATTTCAAGCATATACTTGATAATCTCAAACAGTGATTAATCAGCGGTAACCATGTCGCACTGTTCGCCTTTTATCGTTCCACAAATGATCTTGCCATTTCCGGAGAGGAACAAATGTGAGAAATGTTAGAAATAAAACGATAAAATAGTGAAAATTACGGAACTTTTGAGAGAAAAGTACAACTCGCAGATGTCAGTGGCGTTACAATCGTATATATGTACAAAAACAATCTCGCAAGTCGCATCGATTAAATGTGCATAAATTTGGAAACTATTACTCGTGGTAATTGAATGTTAATCGGGACTTTTTATTTTTGTTCAATAAGTATTTAAATACACCGCGATTAGTGACGGGCAAAATCGAATTTTTTCTGATCGAATAATTCGACTATTTCTTTTTATTTACCGATAGTAGAAAATTACTAGAAGACTGGAGACTCGATAAAAAAGCGGCGCCTTTACTTCTTATCCGTAATTTTATCACAATCGCGAATTGTTTTTTTTGTCACCGCGATTGTTTCGGCGACGGACATCCTGATTATTGTTAGTAAACTATATTTTTAAAGCACCTTTTTTCACTATCAGCTCTCACGCAACGCCGGACATCGAAGTTTCGTTTTTATATTTCAGGCAGAAGTGTGAGTACAAATCGGCAAAGATATTAAAGACAGCTATTAATTAGTGAATTCATAAACATATTAATTTTATTCTTGTCTCATGTTCTGGATTTGATCTTCCATATCACAGTTTGTAAATTACGGTCCCTATTTTAAGCGAACAATACCTAAGGTGGCTTAAATCTTAGTCGTAACTCTCACTTCTGAATTAATGTCAATAAATTCGGTTTTGCTTTTCAAAGCGCCGTTATTTGTATTAATGAAAATGATTGCGTCATGACCATGAGTTTGAACAGACAGCCGTAACTTAGCATATAACACATTTCGCCTTTTGCGTCTCTCTTATTGAATTATAATCAACAATTACACATTCCTATATTCCGCGGATTCGACAATCGCTATTGATGGTTTTCAAACGAAGAATAGCTAGCTATTTTGTTACGATATATTTATAAGATACATTTATTCGATGCTTCCGCAGTTGGCAATTCTTTATTATTATCTCAATTGTCACGGAGATGGGCGTCTGTATCAGCGCCGACTGAAAATGATAACATATAAGTAAAAATTTCCCATAAAAAATTTGTTCCAAACGTGTGGGTTATGGTCCATATTTATCGTGACAGGACACGAGCGCGGCGTCGTCAGCAGTCGACGCGGCGGTAGATCAGAGTAACGTAACAAAGTATTTATTCCTTCAACGGGGAATATGACCTATTTATACTAATTTAAACTAGCCGCTCAGCGAATGATTTTCTCGAAAGCAATAGTGTTAATGTGCAACGTTTTTAATTACATAGTCTTATCATACAGAATGAATATACGCGAACAACAGCATCACTTTATGTATTTATTTCGGAGCTATGTAAAAGTGTTGGACTCGGGACTCGGACGCGAGTCCAGCGCAAATACTCGGGATTCGGCCGAGCCGAACCTTTTTGGATTCGTCGCATCCCTACCAATTACCAATTAAAAAAGGGGTGTATGAAGATGTAGTGGTACCTTGCAACCATGATTTCATGTACATAATGAGTTACAGTGTAAATTTTGAAGCACAAAGTCACAATAGATAGATTACTATGTCAGATTTCAATTTTTATCCATCCAACATTTTCTAACTTTTTACAAAAGCTCTTTCTGTGAAATCCTAGAATTCAGAAGCTCTAACTTAAAAAAAGCTGAATGCTTGACTACATGAACAATGAAGCCTCAGAATCCAAGTCTTTTTGTGGGACATTGGGAACACAATAACCATTTTCTGAAGCTGTGACTTCTGAGCAAAAAACAAGCTAAATATTCACCTCCAATTGTGAGAGTTCCAGGCGGTGATGAAGATAAATTACTACTATCAGACATTCCTCTTTTCAATGGTAGATGACCACCGGTATGTTCTGGAGCTCCACCCAATCCAGGTACATTTTGAAGAGTACGGTCTGTTTCAGGTGCTGCTTCCAAACCCAGGACTGTTATGATGTTATGATGAGAATTATCAATTGTTAATTTAAAGAAATCAGAAACTACTAAGTAAGAGGTACATGTTCAAAATCTAAAAGCCTTTTTTAGATTAGAAATCAAAATTGCTGTAAATTGAAGATTGGTGTAAAAAGCATGATCCTGTTAGTAAGTAAAGGTATATTCATATATATAAAGATATATGAATATATAATAATTGTCAAAAATATGTCATTTTTATGTCGCTATAACTAGAACTTTGAGTTAAAAAGATATAACTTTTACTACAGAACGTTAAAAAATAACGCAAAATCAAATCTTCAAAATGTTGAAAAAATTTAATCTTTTAGGGTTCTATTTATTTTATAAATCAATTGAACAAAATCATGAGGACAATGAAGACTAAAGAGATGTTTGAAGTGTTCTTATTCATTTTGAAAGCTCTTTTAAAGATTAAATTTTGCGTTACTTTTTTAACACACTGTATCAATTTTTTAAATTGTATCTAAAAAATTTTCTCTTTATATCCAACTTTTAAGTTTTAAAACACAAAATGACAAATTTTGATTACCTGTCACAGATCTTCCCCTTCTGTCTACAGAAAAATTATTTTCAATTTCATCTGATTTAGTTCCATTCACCATTAGAGCAGGTGTTGTCCGACTGTCTGTTACATGACTTTCTGTAATATCTCCTATTGCTGTTTGACTTCTCATTCTTGCAGATCTCCCAGAATTAGGAGGAACGGATTCGCGACTCCAACCTTTACTGAATGATTTCTCCGCAGGTTTAGCAAGTCTTTCTCGCCTGAATGCAAATTTTCTACCAATAAGGCTAGATTCAAATTTATTAACAGAACAGGCAAAGTTGTTTAAAACAAATTCACAGTCTTGGTTTGACATAGGATTTTAATATTTTTCCTGGGGAAGAGAAAGGCCGATAAAAAGGCCTAATCATTAGCGAACCACGGCCTTTGACCCGGTTACCAGTCCATGGGTATGGGAGTATGGGATTAGTTAGCCAGTTATTTGTTTTTGTATGCATATATTTATAAAAATCCGAAATCATTGAAATTAACTCCACAGTCATATCTACGAGCCTAAAATTTTTGACAAAAACTAAATAAGAATCAAGTGGACTAAGCATCGTTTGTATATCCCAAAGTAGTTAGTGGTCAAAATTTGGTTGTCTCTGAGTTGAGAGCGGGAATGAAAATGTTGAGTTGGCGTAATTTTTCAGAAATGCTCTGGTTGCGTGTAAAATTCCCCGGTCTTAAAATTATAATTCCTTACAAAGCAGCTTTCCTGTTTCTCATTTGCTTCTGTTCAGTCAATCTATCCAAAGGTAAATCACTTAATTCTAATCCATACACATGTCTTGCCAATACTCTGGTCATTGTGTCCATATTTTTCTGAAGAAAAATGTTGACATAAGTCCAAAAAATTTAGAAACACAACATTAAAGCTGATTGTCAGTGGGAGCATACATGTATAAAGACAGAACAACAAACTCAACAAAGATTTGAATATTTTGAGCAGACATCACTGTAGTTTTAGAAAAACTGGTGAATCGCTCTGTATTTGTTCCAAGAGAAAAGAAGTAATATTTTTAAATTTAGACAGTATATTAATGTTCAGAATGGTTTCAACAATTTCAAAGGTCTTCAGCATAAGTCCCAAAGCATGTGGCATAACCTTTTTATCGTATTTATCTTAGAGGAGAGGTAAATCGATATGATAAATTATTTGAAAGGCATCCAACAGACTTTAATTGAGTAGTCAATCCATGTAGGATGTGGGTATGTCCCAGATGTACGTACCTGTCAGTCACAGTCACATATGGTGAACCATAAGTGAAAGCGAAAAATAAAAGGTTTATGTAAAATATTAAGCACTTACGGCCCATTCCACAATAAGATCTTTCCAATGCATAAGACTTGATAAAACATCAACCAATTCATCCCATAATTCACGAGATACATGGACAAATAAGTTTGCTTTGATCCATGATACAATTAGTGTCTGTGAAAAATAGACTTTAGGTAACCAAAACAATAGTTTTATTTAAATTAAACTTCGTGATGTTGAGCTGCAAACCAGGATAATCGCCAAAGGGAATTATATTACTTTATCCTGTGTAAAAACTTAATAAACGTTATATAAAAAGTTTGAAGCCCGGGGATCACCTTGGTTCAAATACATTCAAATATATGGAACATTGAAAGATAAATTCTGATTATGTACATAATTAATCACGCATAGTTTCCAATGACATCCAAACACGATGCATACACAGTTCAAGAGGTAAAGTCACATATAAAAAAATGAACATATTTAGCAATTTTAAGAAAGAGGCTTTTTCATAAATATCAATGTTGAATATTGCTGTCTCTTTTCTGTAAAATTTGCTATTTTTACATGGAAATCATCTTTTGTTTGGCATACCCTACATTTTTCCATAAAATTAATCAATTTAGAATCTATATATCATATGCAAATAACAATTCGAATATGAGCAATGTTAAACTCAAATTTGGTTTTGGCCACACCACATAAGAACCAACCTGAAAAACAGGACCAGCCAATCTCCCAGCTACTGTAGTTACTCTGATAGATTTCGGAGTTTCTGCATCTTGAAGCATAATACGAGTAATATGAAGCAAAACTTGAAGCAATTGTGTCCATGTTGTGCTGTTCATATTGACATGCATTACCATGTGACGATATAAATTGAGAACTCGTTTGCATACATCAACCTTAATAAAATACAAAGTAGTTTCGTAAATAAATGAATGTCGATCTGTATGAAATGGAAAAGAATAATTTGGAGATTTTTGAAAGAATTTAGAATAGGTTTACTTAAAAAATCACCATAACCCAATATGAAATTTATTAGATATTCTACATTCTGAAGTAATATTTTAGAGCAGTTGTTTTCAAACTTTTTAAGCCGTGCCCCCCCTTTTTAGAATTTGTCAAGTCTTGTGCCTCACCTCAAAAATAACTAGCTGACAATACGTTACAAATAACAGATAGTGAGGCAAAATTATGTTTTGTTCAAAAAACATGTTGAAAATACGTGGATGGAAAGTAAATGAAGAAATAAAAAGTTTTGAAACGTAAATATAAGGGCTAGCAAGATCAAATCGTAAACAAATATTTTTATTTTCGATTAGCTTCACGCCCCCTAAAAAAACGTCTATGGCCCCCTTATGGGACGCACCCCACCGTTTGAAAACCACTGTTTTAGAGAGTATTCAGAATAGTAAATTATTCTGTTTTTGGAAATCCCTGCTTTGGAAGTGATAAGTAACATTGTTAAAATTCAATCGACATCAATTTTTTTCATACTGGCCTTCACATGAAAGCCCTGCCCACCCATTCACATCCATATGAATTTGTTTTGGTCAAATGCCAACAAATGAATTTATCATTATGCTTGAGTTGTGGCATGAGCTTAACTGTAACTCTATGGATGTTTCACCTAATCTAATGACAAGGAAAAAGTTTTCCATTTGAAATAGTAGTTTCTACATATCGAATGCTTGACTAAAACTTTGTTCAGAGTAGATGTGTAGAACACCTAACAACAAATCAAGTACACATACTACTCATTGTGTCAAAATATCATGAGTGAGTATATGTGAACTTGATTTGAGCAAACATAATATAAAGTATATCATATACACCTCAAAAAATCAACTACATTTACTGTGTCAGCTTATGAAGAAGCGCTTATTTGTAATTTGCTTCTAAGCAAATATAATATAAAATTACTGATATTGCCATAATAAAAGTAGGTAGTGAGTAGGTACCTGAGCTTGAATGAGTTTATGAGCATCATCAGGTGGTTCAACAAGAAAAACATGAGCTGAATTAGTAACAAACAGTTGATATGTCGTTTGACATCCAGCTTGTACCTGGAAGGGAACAATTTTTGTATAAAGAAATTTGCTCAATGTAATGTCACGCGCACTCATTAAGAAATATGGGAGATTGATCTCTTAATGAAGTTACAGACGACCACCAAAGTGCCATGAGCTAAATGAGACTATAAATCATTATAATATAGAATTGTGTGTCAGTGTCAGTAAATACCAATAGACGAAAGTAAATTTAAAAAGTAAATGAAATAGCTATAGTGATACAATGCAATGAAAATACATGAAACTGCATTGCTTATTTCCATTCATTATCCATGTTTCTTTAGGTCTTTAGAAAAAACAAACAGGAGCAAAACTGATTCAAGCTTACTGGTTTTTGTAATCCACATTTTCAATATTGGATAGTATTATTACCATCAATCTTTCCATTTTATGAATTAATTGAAATAACAGCTATGCACTATAACAGGGCGGTCCAAGGTTGCCGGCTTCGCGGGCCACAAAATTATTATTGCATCGTTCGCGGGCCACAATAGTGCCAAGAATAGGTAAACAGTGCAATACAAAACAAACACTTTTATTGTGCAAACACATAGTTATCAGACATAGCCATCCCAGGCTAATAGAATCCGCATTCGATTTTTAGTTTTCTATGATGCCTACCTATATTGTTAGCATATATTCCCGACCAAAAAGATAGAAAGCCAGATAATAATCTAGACTGCCAAGCACATCATTCAACTTCCCTAGTTGCCTCAGCTAGCCATAACACTAGTCAATTCGGTGACATTACTGATGTAACAATATGTCAAAAGATTGTTCTGATTAATTTTATTACGAAACAATAAGAAATGCGATTTTTTGATTACTCTCCGAATGTGACGCAGGCCACAGATAATGAAGCGACGGGCCACATGTGGCCCGCGGGCCTGGGTTTGGACCACCCTGCACTATACAGTATATATATCCGATAGCATCTGATATGGAACAGTTAATGAAGAGTGAATGTCATCTTATGGTGTACTAAGTCTAGTGCCTTACACAATGGCCCTGGAAATGTTATTATATTGCAAATGCTAACTTACATATGTTGACAATGCTTGATCCAACAATGGATTTAGTTGTCCTCTCATGTATGAAACATTTCTCAAACTACTTGTCGAAGTTGATGACGTTTTCCGTTGTGGATTTGAAAATTCTTCTTCATCATCTGATTCATTCTTAAGAATATGAGTGACCGTTTGATAGATATAATATATTAAAAATAATTGTAACTGTACAAATAAATACAATCCCATCAATTGGTAGAATGGGTACAAATCGTGGAAAGGCCGAAGTTTTTAAAATAAAACACTGAAATATTTCTCATGATCACAACATTGGAATAAATTTCAAGAGCTAAGCCTAATGTACTAATATATTGCATCACAAATGAAAACAAAAATTAAGGACGAATAATAGCATCATAAAGCCTGATATATGTCAATCAAATTCAATTACTGGTACCTAATTTCTGGAAAAATTCTTTAGATACACAAAATGAACTGCTTTTGCCATGGGGCCATATGAGCTTTACAATGCCATGTAGAATATTCATGTTTGGCAGAGCACTGGGCATACTATAAAACAGATCTGCTTACAGACAACCAACTATCAAATGTATCAAAAAAATGTAGCATGCTTTCAATATTATGAATAACAATTTACCACCACTGTATTATCTACTGGTGTTGGGTCATTCATGGCACTTAGATCTGGCTCTTCCATGAAAATTGGAGTTATACCATCCTATGGAAAGAAATAGAATTATTACTGTTGTAAGATGAACAAAAAATCATATAGAATAGATAGGAGACTGAAATAAAGATTGCATGATAGATATAAAAGCAGTTGTGTCTCACAAGATACGTACCAGGACATTAATCGCCTCAAAAAAAATATGTTCAGTAGTTACATATACGAGCTGATGCAAATTTGCAAAAAAAATTATTTTTGTAAATTCTGTATTTCTGGGAATTATTTCAAACAAAAAGGGCCAGCAAGCAAGGGTCATGATTTTCCATCAATAGCATTGACTTATTTACTTGTTTTCATTTTTTTTTCAAATTCTAACCACACATTTGCCAGTTAATAGAGATGTTAAAAGTTTTCAAGACTTCATGGAAAAATGAACTAAAGTAGAATTTCAGGGATGTCTGAAAAATGTCATGAACATCTGTATCCCTTGTTTAACGTGTCCCATACTTGAACTACTTGTCCCACTCTTGTCCTACTTGTCACATTTTTGTATTACTTGTTCAGCACCAATCCCAATCTTGTATTACTTATCCCATGTGTCTCACACTCATCCACCTTGTCCCACTTGAATTGTTTGTACCACATCGCACAATGTGGCACAATTGTTAGACAAATGTGGGAAACCAGAATTTCAGTATGGTGAACTATATGAATATAAGTAGCGGGTTTCAGACCTGTATCCATTCCTGATAAACTTTAACAACTCTTCTCATTGTTGGAGCTTCAGTCAAAGGTAGCATCAGAGCCTGAGTTTTGAAATAATGGGGTAAAACAAAACTGACCAAAAAAAAGAGAACCAATAAATATCTCAATTACTGCTACGAAAATGAAGAACATATATTTAACACTTGAACTTCTGTGTGTGTATGATTGTACCCAAAAGTTTCAGTAATCTGGGATGCCTTGCATAAAAGATATGCTCTGTCTGGAATGGATTTTGTATTTTTTGGACTACAAAACAATAAAATACCTGTCGAAAAACTTCATGAACAATGTTGACATTTTCTCTTGTTGAATATAAAATATTTCTGACGAGTTCTTCTTCATCTGTTGCTGAACCAGTTGATTTTAATTTGTCATCAAGACTGGAAAGACTTGATAAACTGGGTGCCTGAAGAAATATTCCAATAATGAAAAAATCCGATAACTTTGGATCGGGACATTCCTGATAGTTCCTGTTAAAGCGACTCCAAAGTATATTTAATAAATGTCTTAATTATACAGCGAATAAATGTCCAAAGCAATAACCAAAGTAACACATACAGACATAAACACCCCCCAACTGAGCTGTGCTCCAGACTACTCTGTGCACATGGCCAAATCCCCTTCACAGGTGGTTGGTCATGATCAGTCACCTGAAACTGATGACATCAAAGGTCATGCTCAACCACCTGGGAAAATGCTAGTTGCCAGAAATACAGCTAACAATCTCCCCAATTTCCAATTTCAAATAAAAGTTTAACATAATGCATTTAACAGTTCGTGTGAAGATGCTCCTTTCTTAGTCAAACAGTCTGCTAATTGTTGATCACTCGGAAGTTTCTTTATGCAGGAGATTTGATGGGATGAAACCATTTCTTTTAAACCATAAATGTCAATCCTGAGACGTTTCTCTGATACAGCTTTTGTCGACTTGATTGCATCACAAAGGCTTTGACTATCAGTACAACATTCAATGCCAAATTTTTCTGGTTGAACTCTTCCAGTCGTTAGTTCAGAGTACAACGCTGCTAATAACACCGCCATATCAACACCATCTGACATAGAGAGAGTTTCAGCAGAAAGTGTGCTTCTCACGACTCTTTTGATTCGCTTGGATTGCCAACATAAAGGTATTTTCCTGTTTCCACCACTCATGAATACAATATGGCCACCTTGCGTGCCCCCATCACACAAATTACCAAATGATGCATCGCTATAAACAAGAAACTTAACTTCATTGTCATGGAAAGCAGGAAATTTCAAAGTGACCTTTTGTGCTTTCAGTTGCTTGACAATTTTGTTAACTTCTATCACAGTTTTAACAGTGCAATTCTTTAAAGCAGATGTGAGTGTAGATGATGCAAATGATACATCTGGCCGAGTTTGATTTGAGACCCACAGTATCTGGCCAAGTAAAGATCGAACTTTCAAGACATCAGCTTCGATTAAAAGCTCACTTCCACTCTTAGTTTTCAATGAACGGATATCAATCGGAAGCAGTGACTCAATGTATTTGTGCTGGCTAAGTGTGATATCTTCCTTATCAGTCTTTAATTCAAGTCCTAAATATTTGAAACTTTCAGTATATTCCACTCCAACTTTGAACTGCTCTCTCAAACTCTTGATGAATTTGCCTTCAAATTCTTCCGAACCGCCCCACAGAAAGTCGTCCACATGCAAAGCGATCACCCCTTTTAAAACCATGATCGAAATAATAGAATAAAGCAGGATCCACTACAGAGATACGAGCACCTAATTTTAGAAGCGTTTCCTTCACACTTTCGTACCAATACATTGAAGCATCAGTAAGACCATATACGCATTTCTTCAATCGCCACACAACATTTCGCTTCTGTATTTTCTGATTAGGTGGTTTGATAAAAATATCACGCTCAAGAGATTTTCCCTGCAAGAAGGCAGTTTTAATATCCATAGTTTTTGGCGACCATTTCTTTTGTGCAAGCAGTGCTAAAACAAGTCTGAGACTTTCTTTAGAACATGTTGGGGAATCTGTCTTCAATTCACTGAGACAATCTTCTTCAAAACCTCTAACTACTAGTCTAGCTTTTGGTTTTGGTCCATTGTCAGTCTTTTTTATTGAACACACCCATCTTGTACTTAACAATTTTTGGCCTTTACTTTCTTCCTCTGTGTAGACATCATTTTGCTTCCAGCTGTGCAGTTCCTTCATCTTTGCTTCAAGAAAGAGGTCTTCGTTAATCAACATCACTTGATCAACAATTGGTATTTCTTCAGCTGGTAAATCATCCATAATAGATAGATTCTCAACAGTGTCAAGATCAATGGATGTCTTTGTGCCTTTTTCAGATGAAGGTTGCAATATTCAATATTATACCAGCTACTGTACTTTCCTGTTGCTTTACCAGCCCGCCCAAGTACTTTTGCAACTTTTTTATTGCCAGTTACATCCTCTTTGAATTCTACTATTTGACCACGTTTAGGATCTCTCTTCACAACAGGTGAAGCCGAGAGTCCCTCGTTATATTCTGAAGATTCATTTCCTTGATCAGTCTGTTTTAAATCTTCCTCGTCATCATCATCATAAAGCATCTCTTCTACTTTTGGTTGTGCTTCATTACTTGATATCTGCTCCTCTTTCTGTTCAACTTTAACTTCTCTTTGTTTATCATGCATCAGCCTGCATTTATGTACACGTATAACCAGTCCGCCGTGCCTAAGGAATACTACACTTCCATCAGCACCAATAACTTTTGCCGGACCTCTCCATTTTTCTGAATTCTCTCGCTTGTAATAAACAGTGTCTCCAGTCTCATAAATTTCATCGCCATGAGACCTGATTTGTTTTTGCAATGCTCTTCGAATTCGTTCACTACACTCTGATTCAAGAAAGGCTTTTCTCGAAGCATGAAGGGCATTGAGATGAGAAGCAACTACATCACTCATAGAAGTGCCATCCAACGAAGGAGGTTTGTTTGTTAGCAAAGAAGGAAGATTGGGATTCCTTCCAAATACCAGCTGATAAGGGCTGTAACCATGAACATTATGCAATGAATTCTTTGCATTTAGAGACCAGGAAAATGCTGTTTTCCAATCTAATGATTCAGATTCTCTAATTTTCAGCAAAATTTCAGTTAGAACAGAATTATGCCTCTCAACTAAACCATTGCTCCATGGACTTTCTGCTGCACTCGTCTTGAGTTCTATGTTGAAATTTTCAGCCATGTCACGAAAAACTGCATTGTTGAATTCTCCTCCATTGTCTGTGAATACTTGTCTTGGAGGTCCGTATATGCTTATCCAATGTGACAAAAACTCATTTGCTATGACTAATGAAGACTTGGAACTAATAATCGAACCAGAACTAAACCTGGTGAACATGTCGATAGTATGCATGTACCATAAATTTGGGCCAAGCTGATGGAGGTCTATGGCTATAACTTCGTTGAAATCCGTTGCACGTGGCAACCCAACACCCGGTTTTGGAAAAGGTTTCTTGTAAATTTTGCAAACTTGACAATTGTCTATAACTTTCTTCAACATATTTGAAGATAACTTGTTGAGTTTTCCTGAATTATTGATCAGTTTTGATAATCGCTCATAGGAAGCGTGACCAAATTGTCGATGCAACTTCGAAAGATCTTTTTCAGAAAAAGCTTCATTGCTTTCATTTGCAGTGATAAAAATCCTAGGAGTAGGTGATTTATTGTTATCGCGAAAAAGGCTGACACAGTAATACTTCTTATTCTCTAGAGTCCTAACTGGTTTATGAAACATTTCCACTCTGTTTTCTGCAAAGTCAATCACAGTATTTGATCTTCTCATGGAATCTTTACTCAATAATAATGGTATATTTTCATCAACCACATCACAAGAAATGTTGACTTTAGTGTCCCCAATATATCCCGGGATTTCTATGGAATACAATGAACTGACTTTTCGACCATCACCAAACCTGAAAACTCCTCCACTATCTTCAGTTTGAATCTTTTCTATTTCAGATTCCTCGATTCTTTGCAAATAATCAAGAAGCCAAATTTTCCCACATACAGTGCGAGTACACCCAGAATCTAATATTGCATATCCACATAGATCTTTGGTGAACGCATCCATGTCATTAACAACTGACATCACATTGCTATCTTCTGGAAAATGATTTACTTTTCGCTCCTGATGTGGACAGGAATTTTCAGAATGCATCCTTGAATCGCAAATCTGACATCTTGCTCTGGAATATTTTGAATTTCTAGGACAATTTCTTACCCAATGATAAGTAGATCCACAAATAGCACATTGACTGATAGAACCATCTTTTCTTATTGGATTTGTACCTGCTCGCCTGCCATGATTTTGTTGGAATTTACCAATTTTTTTCGAAAAATATGCAGTCTCTTGTTTCACTTCTACAGAAGACGATGAAGCTCCTTCACCAAATATTCTTTTCAGTGCTGAACCCATGGACTTATATTCTAACTTGTCTACTGCTGCAAGAACCAATTGTCTTTCTTTTAAAGCAAGATTTGTTCCTTTGAGAAGTTTACACGCCAGTACAGTGTCCAGTAACTCCATGCCAAATTTTCTCATTTTGGTGTTCACTATGTCAAATCTTGATAAGTAATCTCTGATGTTTTCATTTTCCAGTCTCACTAAATTCTCAAATTCCGTGTATGTTTCATACGTTCTATCAGAAGTCTCTCTCTCAAAAACACCATCTAATTTTACAAGTAATGTTTGCATTCCATCATCTCTGTTCAATTCCTCAGAGCTTATTTCTAGAGCAACTTCTCTAGCTTTTCCACATAAGCTCAATGTCACTGCTAAAGCTTGCTTTTTCTTGTCAAGGTCTGTAATTAATCTCCACATAGAGATCTCATTCTTCCATTGATCGTATGGCTTCTCTCCCGTCAGCAAAGGAGGATTCTTGTATCCTTGAGAAGTCATTGCACATCCTCTGCTACCATTTGTTAAAGCGACTCCAAAGTATATTTAATAAATGTCTTAATTATACAGCGAATAAATGTCCAAAGCAATAACCAAAGTAACACATACAGACATAAACACCCCCCAACTGAGCTGTGCTCCAGACTACTCTGTGCACATGGCCAAATCCCCTTCACAGGTGGTTGGTCATGATCAGTCACCTGAAACTGATGACATCAAAGGTCATGCTCAACCACCTGGGAAAATGCTAGTTGCCAGAAATACAGCTAACAGTTCCTTGGTGAATTTTACTATTGTGAAAAGTATTTTGATATGACAATCAATCCTATTGTTGGCCAGTTGTTCCAGATGCATGGATTCAGTGGTGAAGAAAGCTGTAACTGACCAGTGGCTATGCAAGTCCAGCAATCCATTTGCACATAATCATCCCCTAAATAATTCTAACTTGCTGACCCTGGCAGGGTAACCAGAGGTGCAATGGAAATGTATTCCTAACACTTGAGCGTGATTCTAGCTTGATACATCAATCGCCTAACCGACATCCCTAGCTATATATTGCTCAAATTGAACCAATATTTATTCACATAGAAGTATATATATATATATATAACAAGCCGGTAGGCGCCCATCAGGATCTCCGCTGATAGTTGAGGCCTTCACTCAGGCGACCGGTTACCATCTATAGAAACTTGCGCAGTTAACGAAATTGCCTGTTCATTTTGAACGCTGTGCGTCTGCTTTTCATTGTTGCGTGAGGAATAAAATGTGGCTAATTATTGAAACATGTTCACTAAAATTCTTAAGGCTTCGCCAGTTTATAGTGTATCGAGATGAATGGCGGGCTTGTATGAGAAAGCCTTTTTTTCCGCGAAGGATAGCAATCTCAGAATTTTAATTTTCGACTTAATTTACGAGGAAATTGCGACAGAATGTCAAAATATTAGAAATTTCTCCACGATTGGATGTTTTTTGGTTGGTGCCATGGAAACGAAACATCAATCCAGTCTTTCGAGAAAACGCATAATACTAGCAAACGCAAATGCAAATTTCATCCAAATTGATCCAGCCGTTTAGAGGCTACATTAAACAGACAGACAGTTAGACAGACAGAACGACTGAGAATAAGGGTCTCCTATAGAGCGGAGATCCAATATACAATGACATAGTTCAGTTACAATGAGGAAGGTAACAAATCTTATCCAGAAATCACATAAAAAAAACTAGTTAAATAGTTGCTAATTTGTTAGCCAGTACATGTCACCTACAATAAATTCTGATGGTAAAATAATTACTAAATCAGGCATAAGTGTATTTTAGATTTGAATAAATTTTGATCAATAACTAATAGTGTCCTTCCTACCTTTTCAGTCAAAGTACTTGTGTTAGAATGAGATGCTTCTTGCTCATGGCTACCACCAGATGAATTCCCTCCTGCCATTTTTGAATCTGCTTCACCAATGGCTTGTCTGTCTGGAAGTCTGTGTTTTAGGTTAAACAGTAAGTGAAATTGAATTGATAAAAAGTGGCCTAATAAATTTTTAATACAAGATATACATTGAAACTAGAAAGTGACCAGTAATAGAAGAAAAATAATGAAAATTGTGATGATTGAAGTGTTAATTATGTTTGTACAATTATGATGTTGTATGAGGTTATGTGTTATGTTTTGTTGTGACTCAATTATTATGCCCGATTTTTAAATTTCTTCTGTAATTTCATTGATTTTGTAATAAATCCAAGTATTATTTCATAAAAATTTCCACAAATAATGAAAATTGACCAAATATCACTAATTATCATTCAAATATAAATTTTAATAGGACTTTTTCCAGATAAATTATATTTCAAATTTAGTCTCGGAACAATTTTCGGACATTCACAATTATTTATGATAGTGATTTATGTAAAATGCCTCCATGATAAAGTGCCTAAATTATGACATAAGAGTAATTATTTAATCACTACTTTTTAAAGATCTACCGTAACTAATTAACACACAATCATGCATATCACAAACAAAATTCAATAAACTAATACAATAAATATCTGTCAATATTAAAACAATTCGCAAGTTCAACCATTGCACACTGAAGACGAAATTAGTTGAATAAATGAGAAAAAAAAATGTTCAAAGTTGATATTTTTGAAATTCAAATTCATCTTTGCCTGTCGTCTCAATTTTTGAGTATAAAAAGGATTATTGCAAAATTTCAAAATTTAAATTTGCATTTTAAAGCTGCAAAAAAAAATCAAAAGCAATGATAATCACCCAATTACAGAACCAACTATAAGCCGTTGTTGCATCATATGTGATTTCAGCAGTCTGGACAGGCCGTCCAATACGACATCCGACCTGCGTTTTGCAATCAAACAAGAACACAAAAGCAGAAAGCAAAAGATTAAAAACATTACATGCAATATAAAATTATCAAACAAACAATATTTACATGACAAAGTGTTTTTCGGAGCATAATGTGCACTTTTATAACCTTCAGAATGCATGCAAATATGCTACACTACAAATACTACAATTTGAAAAATGCTTTTCAAATTTGGAACTCAGCGTTCTATTACATGCTACAAAAAAATTGAATTTGGTATTGTTAAAAAAATGAGGAATCACTTTCGCAAATTTTTCAAGTCACCTGTCTGGCATTGTACTGATTATCCGAAACGAATAACAGCAACAAGCTAAGGCCAGTACACGATGTATGCTCCGAAAAACAGGAAGAAAATTGCTGAAGACAAAAATTGTACCCATTAACAATGACTGTTATTTTCCTATGATACTTTTGAATAGCAATGATTCATATTATCATTAACTGTTTACCCCATCAGCGAAAAGTAGCATATTTTTTCAACGAAGCCATTCAAAAACGTCGAATATTGAATGTTTTCGGAATTTAATCATGTTTAACATAAAAGTCGGTGTAAATTCAATGAGTTTGAATTTGGGAAATATAAGATATAAGAAAGATAAGAAGATAAACAATATTTGATTGGGGTTTGTATTTTATACAGTCTTCGGGATTCAATTGTAAGTATTTTCGATTATACTGCTGGTCCTCGAATTGTTTCGCAATATAATGCTCAATTATTGTTTTGAAGCCTTACATTTTTCTTGATTTCTATGTGATTCAGGTCACATAGAATTTATGATACAGAAACAGAATGATACACATTTCTTCAAAAAAGACAACTTTTGGTTAGTGACCAGCTTTACCACCAATGTCCAAAAGTCGTAATAATCAAAAAATGTGAAGATTCGCTGAACATATATTCCAACTTTAATGATGTTTCACATTTAATACTAGTTACGTATTCACTCAATCATGCATTGACAGAATAATTAAGAAATACTACCAAGCCATAACTGAATTTAAATAATTGGAAAACCATTTAAAATGACACCGATGTCTACCCGAAATTAATTTAAATATCATCTACGACCAGGAGCACTGAGAATGTCATTGGATTAAATTTGAAATTCTAGAATACGGTAATCTAGATAAAAAATTTATTGAGAAATTATGGACAACCATGTTTTTTAGTAAGAAATAGTGTGCTGCATAATACGGAATTCGTGATTTGAGCCAGGTTTTCCAAGATAAGATTTAAAATTACCAGTTACAATATGTTCCTAGATTAATTAGGAATACTCTTACTCGAATGAAAATTTCTGTACCATTACATGTTCCTTGGAACAACACTAACAAACTATTATAAACCAGAACTTGAAAAGCACTCAAAGCCTCAAACACATAGTATTGCCTTCTATAGTAGAACATGCATCACAGAAGACTTGCAGGCTGTCCAAAGACCAGTTAGTTTTGTTAATTAATCAATATGATCGTATGAAATATGATTCAGTATTACTATAATATGATATTATATTATTTGTAAATTTAGAAATGAATTAGGAATTACAATCAACAGAGTGCAAAAAACACAAATCATTTGAATTTGATAAATTTGGCTTGCAAACAAATTATAGTTAGTGATAAAATTATCTCCCTCTAGTAACTAAAGAATAAGTAATTCTACGGATTCCATTCCACTCAAAATTAGTCATATTCATATCGAAGATATTTGAGTTGAATTTATACCTTTGGTGTTTGTGTGTTATCGGTATCCATTTGTTCCCATAATATTTTATATTCGAAATTCAACAAATTTTTGGTTTCAACTTTTAGGTTAGTTTATAGGAAAAATCCTAGGTTATACAAGGTGAGTACTGTAAATTGTCCAAATGAGAGTAGATATTACAATTGCACCTAAGTATTACTTAACTCAATGTCCATTACATACCTTGCACCCCTGTTCTTATTTTCATTGTGCAGGGCATCACTTGTGAATGCTATCACCCATTTAATTGTGGAAACGCGAGCAGGCAGCATGGGACAACCAGGACCAACTTCAATACACGGATCAATTGAGCCAGTGTCTGTTACATTTAAAATGTAGTTCACAGGTCCTCTCGGCTCAGGCAATGCTGTAAAAAAAAACAGGTAAAATTAGTAATATGTGATAAAATGCCTTGTATAATCAGTATAATCAATATAATTGAAATTTTGTGATTGGATGACATTTAGATGCTTTATTCTGTATTCATAGTCATATTCAATTTTTTTTTTAATTGCATTTCAGGTAGAACATTTACATTTATGTAAACTGGATTAGACAATTTGACTGAGGAAAAAGTTTGAATTCATTTATCGTTTAATAACTCTGTGATAAATTCTTGAATTGTAATTGTAAGGAGACTTATGAACAGTCTGTATATCAAAACAAATAAAGTTTTTAAAATAAGAAGAACTGATACACAAGCTCATAAAACGCAGCATTTATAATATTTATACCAAAAGACAGAAAAAGTCGATAAAAGATCTAAAAAATAAAGGCAAATACAACATGTATCCCATCATCGGTTTAGGCCAGGCAGGGAAATGGCTAACTAGTAAATCAATCATTCCAGGTGCTTCGGCTTGGGCTTCAAACATACGAACCCACACAAAAGGGATCGGTTGTGCAAAGGCAGAAGAATTATTTACAATGAACAGCGCTTGTAAAATACTGTTTCCTGATAATGATCTGCAAAGAAGTATCTCAGAAATGATAAATAAGAAATCTAATGAAAAATAAATTATTATTTTTCACCACTTACAGTAGTAAGAAGAAGGCATTCTATCTAAGATTCCTTAAAACTTACATAAATTAGGCTGATAAACAGAAGTGTCGAAATGAAAATCATCAAAAATATGAGGAAGATAGTATTTCTTGAACATATTCCAGAGAAAAGAAAAACAGACTGTTTCCATTTTTGGTCGATCTTTCCATTGTAACTTACAAGCCTGAAAAAATAAAATTGTTTATACAACAGGATGAGGAAATTTAGGTATTAATCATATACCTTCACACTAACTCTCTGAGGCTTTAAACGAGAAGTATCTAATCAGAATATATGATTACTATGCAATACAAGTTGAAAACTATTAAATTCAAAAAATACAGAAATGATCATTTTACTATCAAAATTAATTTTACGTCCAATTTTTTACTTCCATATCTGGATTAGCAGACACTGATAGGCTGTAGTGACTATATCTTTTACAATACCCAGAATCTCTATGGTTCAGCCCCTATTTGATACATTCTGGGTTAGGGTGATAGACTTGGGTAAGAGGTCTCCAACCCAAGAAGCCAACATTGGCAGCATACTAATCTTCCACACAAGTAATATTGACTTTATTGTAAAATATTCATCTTACCTCTACAACCATATATTCCAACATTATATCCAAGAAGAACTTCGTCAGGTCATGAGGATTCTTTTCGCCAGCAGGAGGAGGAAGCAAGCAAGTAATTTCTGCAGGACATACGCCAGCTTGGAAAAAATGAATGTATCAAATTTTCAAGAAATAAAAAACCAAGAATTTACTATATCGAATATAACCATTTTCAAATACATTTGAATATTTGATTCATTTTTTCTCAGACATCTCAGAAGTATCCATGGATATGCGTCAATTTATGTATGTTGTTTGATGAATCCTTATTGAATGATATATTCAGTATCCCAAAATAAAAAATATTGTTTTTGGAGAAGTTATTTTTTGACCATGTTCGTCTACTGCAAATCTAAAGTAAATTAGATTCTAGTTCATTAAAAAACTTACTTTGACTGTTGTCAGGAACAGGATTTATTAGTGATTCAATGTAACATCCACTGTATAGTTCATTTTTTGCTGGTGGGGAGGGAAATCCCGGTACAATAGATGCATACAATAATATTGTTGATTCTTTAGCATTCACATTCAAAGCACGAAACCACAATAAGAAGAATTTCACTCCATCTCGTCGCATCTAAAAATATATTAAATATTAATGATGGTGTGAATTCGCTGTAGCGTGTAATCTTGCTCAGCGAAGAGTTTCCTCATACTGAGTGAGTAAACGCGACCTTGCATTGAGTTAATTCTCTTCAAAAAATAAACAAACTAATGAATAGAAATGAATAATAATAACTAAAAAAACAAGGTTAGACTCCCGGCGACGCAGCTACTTGTGTTTATAGTGTTGGCATCACAATGGGGGTTAAGCAGAAGTAAATGAGACGACACATAGCAGAAAACCGCCGGACCAGTTACCAGAATCTTGGACCAAATGATCGAACATTCCCTAACAGTTAAACATCTCCCACAAGATTTGCGGAGTCATGCAAATTGTTGGAGATTTCAATATTCAATTATCTAGTCTACGGTAATTATTTCTCAAGATGAACTCATTGTAATACGAAACTAATTGCAAATAGCCATATCAAATGTTAATAGACAAAAGAATTCTATAAAGGAATTTTAAACTATTTGTATTTGAAAAGCGTGGGAGCAACAGCATTGCTATAGCATCACGGTAGTATTGCCTGCTTTCTTAGAGCTTAGGTAAGAAAAAAATTCACATCAAACAAACCTTGAGTGAATTTCCTGGATGTAGGAGCGTCTTGATAATTCGATCTAAAAATAAAAATAATAAAAGAGGTGCTAAGTTGTGTTACAAGATAGCTGTTACTGATATGCAATGATGTCGGATTTTACAATTTGGCTTGAAATCTTGCACTATTAATATTATGAATAATAAATCATCTTACCAATACTGTTATATTGCCATCTTTCATGGAGCATCTCAGGTAAACGTACAAGAATAGTCTAAAAAATATGGTTTTTCAGCAAGATCAAAAAATATATAAACTAAAATAAGTGTAAACTTTATGAATTATGAAGCCTCAATCTCTTTTATGGACTAATTAAAATTCAGACTATTTAGATAGTTTTGTTTTAAATTAAAATGCAGCAGTTCAATCATATTTGTAGAATTGGAATATGCAGAATTCAAGCCAAGCAGAAAAAATCGTTTAATGGGTTTGAAAACAAAGGGCAAATGTTGAAATTTAAAAAAACATTTAAGGCGTATATCAAATCATAGATTGGAGCAATATTACCAAGTATTTATTAAAAAGTTATAGCAGTTCAAATATTGAAAATATACAAATTTCAGCATTTTAGCAAAGCCCTTAATATGATTTATCAAAAAATTCAATCCCCTTTGAGTCAGCGAAAAGTTAAAAGTTAAAAAGAATTGTGGTGGACAACCCAAAAAAAGATATTTGTTAATTTCAACACTAATATAAACAGAGTCACACATATCTTCATGTTCATGGGCATTACACTAAATATATCTGAACAATGTTTATTCAAAACGCATAATGTTCCCTGATGCATTTATTAATATAGCCTATAGAAAAAAAATTCCACGAATTGAAACTCATCTGTTCTATCAGCAGATGGATACGCTGTATAGTATGCAATTCAAACATGTAGCCATTAAACCAATTCAATAAACAACAGGAATACATAAAACTCGACAGGAAAAGATCTTAGTCATACATTCACATGCTTCAATCTTTGCCTATTCATTTATTAACCTGTATATTTATTAACCTACTTTGAAAAGATGTACTATGGTTGGCCATAAGCAGAAACCAAAATAGAAAAAGTCCCAAAGCATATAAAAGATATAATCACTATAATTTCCCCCAACTAAAAGTAGATCTCAATTTTAGTAAAATGTATCCTAAATATGTACTTATTGTCAAAGGGCTGCATTGATTTTTTTAACTGACTATAAGTTTGAGTAATAAAACAATTGTGGACATGCAAAAAAATAAACACAATTGGTGATTAAATATAATAAACAAAGTCACCGCATGTCATATAAAAATATTATTACAGTGATGACAATAACCGGTGGTTTTCATGTTTCAACAATGGATATAATATGAGTAAAAAAAACTCAAACCTCAAAAATTTGCAGCATGCCATCGAGCTCTTCTCTTTGTGCTCTGTGAGCTGTAGAGACAAAATTTTGAATAAAAATTTATTACTGTGATTATTATATTTATGCCGCTAAAATGTTTAGGATTAGAGATAACTGAGAAAAATTTAAGCAAAATGCTTCGAATATGAAAGTGTTTATTTTTATCTATCAACTATCCCCTACCTCCTTTCTGTCGCACATTTGCCTCAGCCAGAAGAAAGTTTTCATAGAAAACATAATAAATATGAGAATAGTATTGTTCAAAAATTGCTTGTTCTTCTGCTGGATCAGTGACATTATCTGTTAAGAATATAAAGGTACACTTAGTTGCAAGAATGATAGTTAAATATTTTCATTACAATTCAATGTTTGATACTGATTTTAAGCCTTGATGGTAGAAAGTGGACAAGATATCTATCTTTCCTTTCTAATTTTAAAGCATAAAGAAAACCAAAAGTCAGATAAAAATTATATGCTTATGTATGCATTTTATAAATGACCACATATAAAATTTTTTGTCCAAACCTTACTATCTTGGAACAGTCGAATTTTTTGAATATTTAAAAAAAAAATTATTGCAAATGATAATAGACAAGGAACGATAGTAGAACATTTTCTAAATACAGCAATATTTATTAAGTGAGAAAATATGAAGGCTATAGTAATAACCAGGACTTCCAATGAATGTTTTCCAAAGTATCATCTGTTATGTTATGTTGAAATATCAATTAAAATATACCCAGTTGCTACACTTTTTAACACACACACACATACATTTTAAGCATAGTTGCACTTGAAAACATTGACTAGTTGTCTTAGTTTTGGTCATCATTTGGTAGTTTATAAATCTATTTATGTATCTAAAATGTATGTATGAATCAGCAGTCATTTTATTTTCGAATGATCACAATTTTAGTAATTGCAAACAGCTTTAAGAAAGTTAAAGCACGAGGCTAAAATTACCGTAACTGTCAGACTTTTTAACAGCAGCAGCTTGCATGCAACAATATGGTGATTTTATAAATGTGAATCAACTCGCACAGGAAAACCCGCAAATCCACTTAAAATGAACATCAAAAATACGAAATGGTAGAGCATAGAAAGAATTTTTCTGTGGAGGGAAAACATCCATCAGGTCATAAAAATAATGAACTTAACATCCTACATCCTAAAAATCTCACAAAGATAATTATCCACTTTCCTATCTCCACGCATGAATCAAATAAATTAGGCACAATGTTTTATAACAGCAGGCATAATATCGATGTATTTATGGCATTCATTGGATAAGGGCGAGTCTTTTCAAACATAAAAGGTGGGTAAACAAACAATGTTACAAAGCAATAAATGTACGTCTAGAATTAAAAAGAATCATTCAACACTCAAATCTCCTAAATAGAAAAAAAACAATCAGACATTTCTCATTACACAAATGTACTTTCAGTTTCAGCCAATGGGTAGAAATAGTCATTTTCTATATTTCGAATATACCGGTAATATATGGAATTTGAGATTAATCCATACACGAAAAAAGGGATTAGGTAGATTATCTTTTTCAAGTACTTTATATATTCTCCAGTAATTAAGTGATTTGCCTAAAATACCCAGTGTTCAGCGTGAATTGGAAATAAATGAGAAAAGAATCATGGCAATGTTACAATTTTCTGAAAGAGTGATTTTTGAGGGAAAAACGGATTCAAATTTCAAATATTTGTTTAAAGTTTCAGTATACAATAACTATGCAATGTTCGTGAAGTAGTGTTTTCTAACTTGGTTCTTCGAAATTACTGTCAAATTTGACATTATTGCCTCAAAACTATCATTTTTTTCAAATTTATAAGCGTATCACATGAAAACATATGGAAAATGAAAATAATTTAGCTTTCCATGTTGAAATTTCATATTTTTATCAGCACTTTGGAAAAAAATATATAATAAGCAGATATTTTACCTAGAACAAGCCTCAAATGCTTCAATCTCGTGACAATATCTTTTTTCGGATCCAATATTTTTTGAACAGATTTCTTTACTGCTGCATCACCCTGAGGTTTCTTATGAATCTGAAACATCTTGTGTTTTAACCGAGCAGCCTGCTCGGCCTTTGACGGTGGCTTATCCAGTTTGCAGGCTGTCTAAATTTATGTATTGCATATAATACAAAAAAGCTGAACCATGACAACAGTATCAGAATAAGGAAAGATAAAATGACTCATAACAGGATGAAACCGGCTGCTCTGAGGCATTTTGGATTTACCCTCATCTTTCGATATTATTATTTTATTGCATCAAAACTGGCTTTTTTGTCTAAATTATGAGCGTATCACATTATTACATATAAAAAGAATTTAGGGTAATTTTGTGACTTCTCTATAAAAAAACACAGATTCAATAAAAACTTTGTGTAATAAAATTGAGTGTATATATTGATTTCATACTAAATTAGGTTTGCTAATCCAAAAATTAATCTTCAATTACTTTGCAATCCTAAAAAAAAAGATTATCTGGCACCAAAATAATAGATTTTACTACGTAATAATATTTAATTTCACAATAAAAAAGAAAAAATTAAAAAAAAAAAATTGAATTATATAAAGAGAAACTGTTTGGCATTCCTAAAGGTAATGTGGCATACTTTGAATTCATGAACACTTGCAAGAAAGAAAATTGATACATAAAATATCATAAAAATATAATAAAATCAAGGTGAAAAAACACATGTAAATTTGCCTACTATAAATAACAAGAAAAGTATTTTGAATTTACTTCACCTTTGGATGCAGATGTAGAAGTTCAGTTGAGTAAAATCTCTTTACATTTTGCACAAACCATGCACATACATTAGTTGTGTTCTACATTAAAATCATTCTGTAAATATGACCAATAAAATGTAACCAACAACAAATTCCTTGAAAAAGCAGTTCGAAAAGTTGAAAATGAAAACAAAACTGGTTGTACCAAGTTTCTGAATATTAAAATTCAGCATCTAATCCTAATATTGTCATTCGAATATGCAACAACAATGGTGAGATTTTTTCATTATTCTCTATAATTTTAATATCACATCTTCAAAATTGATAATTGTTGAATTGTTCTACCAAATTCGTCTAGCTAATGAAATTTTCCCATCATAACTTATGCATCACAATGCATAGCAAATATTTCAGTTATAGAAAATCTTTCAATTTAAAATCAAATCAATATTTTTCTGAAATAATATTGTTATTAGTTCGTAAACTTCAAATTTTCAATTCCCAAATGAACAGGTACTTCTGTAATTTATGAAAAAAACTATAAACCAATAATCATGTTCCTTATGATACGAACAAGGACTTGGAAACCATGAAACTGGAGTCAAGCATTCCATAATACTGTAACAGATACAGCGGGAGCAAACAGTAATATTAGTGGCCCCACTGCCCCAGCTCTTAACCATTTATGCCTACGCGACGCGGCCTACGGTGACGGTGCTTCGAGTTTTTTATATTTGTAGTCTATGTATTCAGTTTTTTTTTGTTCTGCTGTAAACTTTTTTTCATGATATAATGTTTAACCCTTTTCTTTTTTTTATATTAATTACTGTTAGACTGTATCATGGGTGTCGCTGCTCATTAACCAGTTTTGATTTCTCGCGCCACCTTTCAACCCGAAATGCCATATTCAAATCTCTTCTTTCTACAGTTCTCTTGTTCACATAATGTGTATTTTCTTTATGGTGATAAAATAAGTACGGATTACTGGATTACCGTAATTATTTTTCACATCTATCATTTTTTAATATTCCATACAAATACTAAAATCTATTCCTATTCATCTTTTACAGTTTCAATTTTTTTCAATACTGCAATACCATATTTCTAATAACAGAATAATAATTAAATTCTAATTCAGTAATTCGAATTCGTAAAATTAAAAGCCTTAGCCATTCTGACTTAAAACCATCTCCCTATTTATTTACTGATCTAGGGAACACGCAACTGTGAGTCGATTTTGATTGCATAGCATAGAAATTCTATGACATTCTATTAGAATGTCATAAAAATAAGTTACCCGGGCAGTGCAGGAATGGTGATGGCGGTGCAAGGGAAAATACAATTATATGAATAACTGCAATATTGCATTTTTAGATTTTCTGTGTAACGACAGAACAATGAAATTGATTCACAAAGAACTCACTTTTGTCCGAGGCGTTGCAGGCGAATTTTTATTATATGCTAGACTGCGGTTCCCGAATCCCGACTGCCCGCGAGGGCCGCGATGTCTTGATTGAGAATTGGCCAAAACAATGGAAAATGATAGTAATGCACGGCGTCAAAAGTAGCTTATAAGGGGATAATCCGGTACGAAAATATCGGCTCATTGCAGTAAACGTGGTCACGAAATGAATATATCGCTAAATAAACATATTCTGCTAATAGCAACTATATTTCATTCATATATATTTGGGACGCGATGGACTATGGTGCTTATTTTGCCCATCTCCCAACTGACACTATTTTCATGGGTTTGTGCACCGACTTCTGACTTTATATCCATAGCACGTATTTCAATCGACAGTCGACACAGTAACTAATTTTAAGTTAAACTTGCAACTTGCGCCTTTCAACCTAAAATGTTTCAAAACGTTTTTAAGTATCAATTCAATCTGATGCGTTGGGTAACGCTAAACACTAGACTAGGCTCTCATTCTTATTGCTGCATGAAATGCTCTACGCGAACATTAAAGATTCTTTACGTATTTTAAAATAACTTGGGATATTTTGATTTAACGTGTTTTATAAATTTTGTGGTTAACCGACTTGAGTCATTGTTCCCACATCAACAACTGCTAAGTCACTTTGTTTATCAGCTCGCTTCGGGGAGCAAACAGGTTTATAAGTTAATATATCGCCTTACATAGCGAAATAGATAGAAGTTCATAGTTTTAGCAGGAGGAAATGGGCGACAAGAGTATAAGACAACGCAATGAGAATATATACGTAGTCATACAGCAAACCATTGCCTCTTGCGTCCTGCCCGTTACCCCTCAATGTCCATATAGGAATAGTCAGAGAATTATTCCACAAAACAACAATTAAAACACAATATTAAATACAAAAATAAATTAAGTTCGGGTGATACTTTTGGGTGGGTGAGTCTCCGATGAGGGTCATCTGGGCTCACGACCGGTTGAGCCTCATTGTTGTTGTTTTTTTCACTGTTTTAATAACGACACTAAACCAAGAGCAGCAGAAAATTTGCTCAACTAACAACAGGGTCCAACGTAGACGTAGTCATGGGTCTTGCGGGGACAAACTCTTACGCTTTTTTCTACAGTATTTTGCTCTATTCTGTTTATTCCTGAGCGATTCGCCGATAACCCGACGTTTTTTGGCATGCTATCAATCCTCTTTCCAAACGAATCAATCGAGAATGTGAAATTGTGCGCTTGTAGAGCTTGGATAACTTCGGCAGTGAAGTAAATCTGTGGAGAGCTTTCTTAGCCTCAAAAAATGACTACGAATGTTTGCAGGATTAGCCGAGTGTGCGAGACGTTGCCGGGAAACAACCGTGTTAGCTGAGCCATCTTCTTCATACCGTGTTGAGATATAGTTGAACTCGGCGATGACATCGTATCGCTTTTCAGATTTGTGCGTTGTTCATCTTGAAAGGAAGGATCAAGGACAATCGTACAGTTAATATTTATTAGCTCAGATGGCCAAAAGCGACGAGTGAAATTCTATGGGTAGATTGATGTTATAAATCGTCACGCTAATAACCGAATTGCGTAAGTCATTTTTGAGTTTTTCATAAAATAGGTATTTATGTAATGCTGCGCACCTGTCTGTTAACTCAGATTTTATTTTAGGAATTCCGAAACCCATAAAAATAGAGATTTTGTATGATATGCAAATTTGTTCAATTGTTTCGTCATAATGAATTATCATTGTTAGCGCCGGACTATTGTGACGTCACAAAGGCAATATAACCTCGCCGAAGGATTTTCGAGTTTTTGCATCTCAGACTCTAGTTTAGCGCTTATAAATTTCAATTTATACTACAGTATAGGAAGGCGTGCACTTGTGATATTCACTGTCCGAGTCCAATTCACCTTGGTTGGCTTTCATATAAGGGTACATTGCTGTTTTATTGTTTATATTTAACTTTAGTCTTATTTCGGTGGATGTGCAGAGCATGTTGTATTGATGAAATATATATTTTTAAACATAAAAAATAATTTAATTGAAACAGATTAACTATTTTGGGAATTAGACTTCGTATATACTAAGAAATACATTCGTTTTTGGATTGTTTGGTTTTCAGGACTGGTACATATAGTCAAGTTGCAAAATTGCGGATGTCCCCTAGTCATAGACACATTTCTGCCACAGTGCCATTATGACGTCACATGATTGCGTCATACAAATTAACTCCGGCTACGATCAAAAAATTGAACCATGGCAAATTATTGACTCTCAATGGCATAGCAATATCATTAGGAAGTTTTTTACGTTTTTCTCAAAACTGCTAAAAATGACTTACGTCTTACGCAATTCGGTTATTAGCGTGACGAAATTTTCCTTTGAATGTTTTGAATAAAATTTTCAAGCGGTTTTAAATTAATGATCAGTGAAGGTTTAAAGTTGTTGAATTAGCTTAACTACTAAACTATTTGTCGGAAAGTAATGTTGCAGACCATATATATATATATCTGCTAGTTTCAATTCGAGATTTAGCGGTATCACTTTTGTCGCCGATACTGACGAAAAAACGCCGATACCCATATGCATAATATGTAATTATCATCTTGAGTGTGAGGGACGAACGGGATAAAATAGTTGTCTGCGAATTATATTTGCATTAGCTCGAAGAACAGATACTCCAGAACATAGAAATTGATATCTGTGATTCAGATGCAAAAATTGCGTATCAATTGACTCAATCATTACTAACGGTTTATTTAAATACTTGAATTATTTGCATCATAAATTGCTTTAAAACTTTGTCGTGAATTATGGTAGTGTCTGCCGACGTTTCGTTGTGCATAGGCGTTTTCGAATCGCGATGTTCGATAAGATAAGCGTGTTGTTTACCTGGCGAAATACGAAAATGGTTACTTATCCTATTACCAATACATAGAGTTACGTGCAAAGGATTATGTGACACCATGATCTCATATTTCGGATTTCGCAAATCAGGGAAATTCACCGTGATATTTTTCTTCGTAACTACCATGTATTGTTCAAAATAAATGTAGTTGCAATAAACAATCAGGATAAATTTTGCGTAAACTATAAAATTGTAGTGACAAATAATTACGGTATATTCGAAAATGACTTGAATTTAAAAACATTAGGAAGTTCAAAACCGTTAAAAACGTGACGTTACCTTAAAACGTGACTTTATAATTTACCTTCCCACTTGCAAGGGTGAGCATGGCTCAGAGTTAACGAAGCAGTAGATGTCGCAAACATGATATCTTCATGCAAAAATAATTGAACATTACTAACTTACTTATGAAATTATTAACTTACATTTTAAAACGTGCTAAGGCAGATCAAAGCGCTGAATAAAATGCCGATAAAAATCCCGAGATCGGAAAAATTGCCGATACCGATCGCTGGTACAAACCTTAACTGTGTTGGCATCGCAGATTAGACATCTTGGATTAAAATTTCATGCCCCCACCAACCCAGTGTAATAAATTGGGGCAGCAATGCCGGAGTGGAAAGTCCGGTCCTTCAAAATAATATAATAAAAGATCTTTACATATCATTAGATGTCAATGGCTGCTTGTACAGACCTTGTTCGGAGCGAAAGGCGCGAGCAAGCATCGCGTTATAAAAAAAATTTGGCCTTGCTTACAATAGTATTTTTCGCGCGTTTCTTGATACAAATTCGTCAATGATTTCATTTTCCTTTTTCGTCCCTTTTTATACTTAATGATGTTACATCGTTTCCTGATTCAATAAGTATCGAAGATACGAAGGAATAAGTTTACTGTACAATCGCTATGGATACTGCCACTGTCGACAAAATCTGTAAAACCATCCAGAGAAATTTTCAGGCTGCGAAAACTGTTCATCGTACGGTCATTTTTTGAATAAAAAAGGCACATGGCTGTTATGGTATTATTTTAAAACAAGCTTGGTATATTCCGCCTTCATCCTATTCGATAAAATAAGTTGCTTTCTAGCATTTTTAGTCCAACATCGCGCTTTGAAATAAAGTCCGTTACATCAGATTCAGGTCATCGTTCACTTTCAAAACGTTTTTCAGATTGGCCAATTTCCTTACTTTCTCGCTTGGCCAACATCTTCAGGTCGTTGGCAGACAATTTTTAACGACTGTTGTTGAAATGAGATACTAATATATACGTTATCAATAATTTTCAGTTGAAATTGTATTATTGAAACATTCTACGGTTAAAACTTTTCGCCCTTTTCCCTCCCTATTCCAATGGCGCCCATGACACGAGCCTTGTCTGTCATTCCCCAAATACGTCACTGTTTATGGAGGTCTTTTAAACGCGCGAATTAATTTTTAAGTGGTGGAACAAGGTTATTTTGATGCATGAACTCACCAATTTATCCAGATCTGAAAACTGTATAATTACTTGCCGATGTAAGTTCCATCATGGAACAAACAATTGAAAGTTTTTCACATAACTTGAAATGCACCTTACAACTTTGCTTCGTAAAACCTGTATGTACGATAAGAAAGACTCGGAACCCCAACTAAAAATGTAATCTTGCGAACAAGGACTGTAACTTGAGCGTTTTGTGTCTATAAAACTCATCGACATTTTGAGACAACATTGTAGACGATGGATCAATAGGAAATTCCCAACTAAAATATCAATGGTAACACTAATTATTCAATGCTTTTCGTTCCTTCAATTGTTGGAAGATGCCGCAACTAACTAGCTGTTATACGAACCACCCCACGACCGCGAGGAGTCCAGTGATCCTTTTGCATACAGTCATCCAACACAGGATTCGAATCTGCGTCATTCAGTGGCGATAATCATCCCCGAAATGACCATCAAACCTGGCCTCATAATTCATCCAATGCCACTTTTGTTACACATTAAATTTAATGTGGTTAGCACCATATGTGGTATAATTATAAAATGAGCAATGTCTACGTGGAACACCGCAATATGCATTTAATATGGAATAAATAACTTGCACTGTTGTTATATTAGTTCTTCAAAAGAACGGATGTATAATGACATAATTGAAGTTTTAAAGATTTTAAGTTGCCAGATGAGATTGAACGCGAGCATAGGTCGTCAGCCATATGAAGTTGACTAACCAAGGATTGATGAACTCTGTGGATAAGTCTAAATTCAATATGTCAAGTTCCAGCTCTAAATAACAATTTCAAAATATAAAACCAACAATAAAATGTTCAATTATCTTTAATCCCCATATTTCCTGTTATTGAAATAGGCACAATTGAAACATATGAAAGAGCATATTACTTGTTTACAAATGTTGAAACAGGGTAGAAAGAAGAAGAATTCTTCAATCTTTCAATATTTGTTATTTGGATGAAATCAGGTATATCGTTTTTTTCTTCGAAGGATGAAGACAAAAATTGAAGCTGAAGAGAAGGCGGTGAAGATGAATCATCAGATTCCAATTCCTTTCTCTGCTTAGGATCAGTAGAATTGTTTTCACCATCTTCAACGATTTTAGATGGACTATTTCCCTGCACTTGAACATGTAATATTTTATCATTCTTTAGACAAAGGCCAATGAAAAATTCCTGCAAATCCGAATGACTACACTTGTTTAAAAACTTGATCTCTGTATGAACTCTGTCGAAAAGATAATAGTGCGATAAAATTTCTCGCCAATTTCTGTCCACTTCTTCACCAAGATGTGTGTCATCATTTTTTAGTATTGCAACCAAAGATTCCACTTGAGCGACAAAATCTTCTGACTTCATATTCTCTATTATATCTAACATTTCTTTGGTCGCAAATTTCAATACACTATGAGAAGTGTGCTCAACAGAAAATTTACTGTTTTGTGTGCCAACATTCACAGTCAAACCTAACACACCAGAAGTATCATGTTGCTGAACATATACAGAGTAACCAAGTTGTTGTTTTGTTCTCAAAATATCAAAACATGGCTCATCCATAATAGCCTCCAGAAGACGAAGAATTGCACCCTTTTCAACAGTACCATGACCCTCCTGGAAATACACAGTAATAACAGAATTATCATCACTGGGGTTTAATGCTTTAACTTTACAAACTTTTGGCTTTTCACCCAGTCTCAACGTCCGTTGAAAAATAATCTGATTCTCGCATAGCTTTGTATGTTTTGTTTTGCTCATAAACTTATCCATAATTGCCAGAGCTTCTTCTTTCGAGTAATTTCCTTGAATCAGTGATTCAATATATAAAGTGGATAGAAACTTTTGGACAAAGTCAGTAAACCTATGGAATGTAAGATCCCTGCAAGCTTGGTATCTATCAATATTAGAATATCCAAATTTGTTAAGTATGGATAACCTTATGCTCTTGGCTAGCTTGCTGGGCTTGATCAATGTATTATAGTACGTTCTGGTATGGTGGAGAAGCCTTTGGGCGAAGGCAGATTCATCAGTTTTGAAGCCAATCAGATAATCAGTAACGGTATCAATAAGAAGAGGGAGTTTGTCATTATAGCCAGAGAATTTGAGAATCAAGCCACCGTCTTCTCCAACTTCCGCGCCATAAGTTAAAGATGCAGCATCTGCATCATAAGCAACTTCAGCAAGATTGTAAATAAGCAAGTGAACGAGAAGTTCCAAACAAACGGTGTCCTGTGGAGTTTGATTTGACAAAGGATTGATCAAATGGATACGAACATAAGCTTTTGGCAACTTAAAAAATCTATCCTGTCTGAACCAAAGCTTATACCCCGCTTCAGGTTCAGATATTAACTCTGGATATTTTGGATGGTCAACATCAGCATTAGAATCATTAAACTTGAGGTCAAATTCTCCAGCAATAAACTTGTTTGGATATGGAAGATGTAACTCTGGAAGGTTTTTCATCTCTGAATATGTACTCCACTTTGCCTTCCATTCATTGGAAATATTTTCAATCGAATATTGTGTGCTAAACCATGGCTCCTTCTTAGCATCTGCCATATTAACAAAACTTGGACTACTCAAGAAGTATATACAATTACTTGGTTTCATGCAACGAAGTGCATTATTGATGCAGTCAGGATCATATTCAAAAATCAAATTATCTCCTGTCAGAATATCTTTCTCAGGATACAAAAGAACATTTCCAGCTTGTTTTACTGCATTTTCGGACGGCGTTTCTTCTTCTTGAAACATAAAATCAATGTCTTCAATTTTCTGAATCTCACGGAATATCGTTTCATTGGCACCCCCATTTGTGAGCATAGCTAAATATTGGAAAACTATATGAATTACTTTGAAGTATTGTGAGAATCCAGTGTCTGTCAACGTTATAGTAATATTGAATAATGAGCAAGTGTCATTTTGCTCAAACCCTGTCTCTCCATTACCTCCACACAAATTGAGTGCCATATTTTTCTTTCTCAAATAAGAAAGAATGCTTCCCTTACCCTCGTGACCAATTAGCCATGAAATATAATGTAAAGGCTTAGTCTTGTAGAACTTCTGTTGGGGTGGTAAAATCCATGTCAGTTGCAGTTCTTGAATATTTCTTACAGGAGCTATTTTAACTAGTTGAAATGGAGTAACAGTTGGCACATTTTCTGTATAATTTTGAAGCGTCTGCCCATCATGAGGAATGCTTTCAAATATTTCTCGGGCCCATGTTTCTAAAGTGTCGAGACTTTCGGGAGACTGCAGAACTAATGTCATAAAAAGAGGTGAATAATATAGATTGTGAAACTTTTTCAATTCATCGTACACATTAATACCCATATCAGCAGGTTTGTCACTCAGAGAAAGCTTGTTCCCCCACATAAATTTTGCCATTGGATGTTCTCTTGGGAATATAGATGCAAGCAGTTGCTCTTTCCTGCAATCGTCTGCATTTAATGCCATATCAAACTCTGCATCAACTGCTTTTACTTCTCTATCAACACTGTCTTGCTTGAGAAGAGGTGATGCAAAAAACTGAGCCCAAATGTCAAGAGCATCACGAAAATGACCTGGTTGAATTTCAAAATAAAAAACAGTTCTTTGACAATCTGTACATGCATTATCATATCCTCCATGAAGTCTTATAAAAGCATCAAATTTGTTTTCATCAGGATATTTTTCACTTCCCATAAAAACCATATGCTCGAGGAAATGAGCGAGGCCGGGTATTTTTTCTGGATCTGAAAATGATCCAACATTAATGCAAAGTGCAGCAGCAGCTTGTTTTTTCTTATCATTCTCAGAACAAAGTTTTCGTCTGCCTTGTCCCTCATTGTTGCTTGAGATATCACTCGATTGATTGGATTCATAATCGCTCTCTGTTGTATCACTCTCATCTAACCCAGATGAGCCGTCATCACTACCAGTGGGAGGTAATTTTGTTGGGTTTTCGATCACTCCTGGAGTCACTTTGTCATTTTTAATATCAGATATCAATAATACCCTTAGTCCATTTTTGAGATTAATTAACCTATATTCTTTTGGGTCACTTCTAGATTTTATAATGCTTGAACTTTCAGGCATTGTACAACAATGACTGTTCAAATTGTAATATAAAAGAATTTGCATTTAGTTGGTTTGTCTTCTTAAACCCAAATAAAATTATATTACACTCATTTTTATTTCTCTGTAGCAGTAACGTAGACCATGGTTTACGCCACCCTACTGTCATATGACAAACCATATCATCTCTGCATATTTACCACATTGATGCCTAAGTCAGTAAGTTACATGTCATGCTGGCAGACAGGCTATTACAGTACTAAGAACGTAGTATATGTTATCAATATTTGTCAGATAAGTAAAATATCACATGATATCAGAACAAAGGACAGAGGATCTTGTGCATCGATCGCATACCAGCAACCAGCATACCGGTACCGGTACAGCTGTATCTGTGTATGGCAGTCTTTTCTTCCTGTTTACTAAATTATTGCAGGGTGACACGAAACAACAGACCATTGGTATTTGGAACATATTCTGAAGAGAAGCAACTGGTAGTCTACTTTCATGAAAAGGGTTTTATATTACTGGAATTTACTGCACAATCATACACAAACAGAGGATTACGCTAAGTGTTAAACTTAAACGCATTATTTTCATTTGCAGTGGTAAAATCCGACTTTGATTTAATAACAGGACTGCAGGATGAGGATTTCTGCATTTGAAAGCAATGAAAACTTCATGCTTAACAAATATTTGCTGGTTCGTGAGGGATAATTATATGCGAGAGGATTGCCAGACTCCTCGTCGTTGTAAGGCTGGTATGGCAGTATGGTACACATGGGCAACCCTAAAATGCGGGAAACGGGAACGACGGGAACTACGGGAAATGCACTAAAATGCGGGAACTGCGGGAACGACGGGAAATTGCAAAAACTAAAATGCGGGAACTACGGGAATGACGGGAACTACGGGAAATTTCACTAAAAAGCGGGAAATTTCACAAAAAGCGGGAATGACGGGAAATCGCTTTAAGGTACGGGAAATATTCATTTTGGGGTATGATTAGGGGAAATTGTTCTAGGAAACTAAAGCAATGGTTAATATACGCTTGGGGGTGTATGTACGGGAATTTATCTAAAATGCGGGAACGACGGCAAATCGCGTTAAAGTACGGGAAATACTCATTTCAGAGTATGTTTAGAAGAAATTGCACTAGAAAATGGAAGCAACGGGAAATATACGCTTGGGTTGTGTGGATACGGAAATTTCACTAAAAGATTCTAATAATATTCGGATTCGGATAATATGTATGTTAGTACAATTACCCCGTACATGCACACTCAAATATAAACGGCACTCCGGAAGTATGTGCAACAAGATGACGCACAACTTGAACTCTAACCTGGTATACATACTATGTTCAGGTTGTGCGTCATCTTGTTGCACATACTTCGGGAGCGCCGTATAAACTTGCCGTTGCTTTTGCTATTCAATGCAAAATTACCCCACACATACTCTAAAATACATATTTCCCATACCCTAAAGCAAATTCCCGTCATTCCCGTCTTTTGTGAAATTTCCCGTAGTTCCCGCAATTTCAAATTGACAAATTCCCGTCGTTCCCGCAGTTCCCGCTTTTTAGTGCATTTCCCGTCGTTCCCGCAGTTCCCGCATTTTAGGGCCCTAAAATGCGGGAAACGGGAATGACGGGAAACGTTAATAACAAGCGAAAAAATGTTACAAAAAACGGGAATGACGGAAAATCGCTCGAAGATAAAGGAAATATGTATTATAGTACGATTACTACGTACATGCACACTTAAGAATAAACGGCACTTCGGAAGTATTTGCAACAAAATGGCGCACAACCTGAGCTTTAACCTGGTACACATACTTGGTTCAGGTTGTGCGCCATCTTGATGAACATACTCGGGAGCACTGTATAAACTTGCCGTTACTTTCGCCCTTCAGTGAAAATTTACCTCACACATACTCTAAAATACATATTTCCCATACCCTAAAGCAAATTCCCGTCATTCCCGTCTTTTGTGAAATTTCCCGTAGTTCCGGGCAACCCTAAAATGCGGGAAACGGGAACGACGGGAACTACGGGAAATGCACTAAAATGCGGGAACTGCGGGAACGACGGGAAATTGCAAAAACTAAAATGCGGGAACTACGGGAATGACGGGAACTACGGGAAATTTCACTAAAATGCGGGAAATTTCACAAAAAGCGGGAATGACGGGAAATCGCTTTAAGGTACGGGAAATATTCATTTTGGAGTATGTTTAGGGAAAATTGCTCTAGAAAGCGAAAGCAATGGTGTATATACGCTTGGGGGTGTATGTACGTGAAAATTTATCTAAAATGCGGGAACGACGGCAAATCGCGTTAAAGTACGGGAAATACTCATTTCAGAGTATGTTTAGAAGAAATTGCACTAGAAAATGGAAGCAATGGGAAATATACGCTTGGGTTGTGTGGATACGGAAATTTCACTAAAAGATTCTAATAATATTCGGATTCGGATAATATGTATTTGGATAATATGTATGTTAGTACAATTACCCCGTACATGCACACTCAAGTATAAACGGCACTCCGGAAGTATGTGCAACAAGATGACGCACAACTTAAACTCTAACCTGGTATACATACTATGTTCAGGTTGTGCGTCATCTTGTTGCACATACTTTGGGAGCGCCCTATAAACTTGCCGTTGCTTTTGCTATTCAATGCATATTTACCCCACACATACTCTAAAATACACATTTCCCATACCCTAAAGCAAATTCCCGTCATTCCCGTCTTTTGTGAAATTTCCCGTAGTTCCCGCAATTTCAAATTGACAAATTCCCGTCGTTCCCGCAGTTCCCGCTTTTTAGTGCATTTCCCGTCGTTCTCGCAGTTCCCGCATTTTAGGGCCCTAAAATGCGGGAAACGGGAATGACGGGAAAAGGTAATAACAAGCGGGAAAATGTTACAAAAAGCGGGAATGACGGAAAATCGCTCGAAGATAAAGGAAATATGTATTATAGTACGATTACTACGTACATGCACACTCAAGAATAAACGGCACTTCGGAAGTATTTGCAACAAAATGGCGCACAACCTGAGCTTTAACCTGGTACACATACTTGGTTCAGGTTGTGCGCCATCTTGATGAACATACTTGGGAGCACTGTATAAACTTGCCGTTGCTTTCGTCCTTGAGTGAAAATTTAGCCCACACATACTCTAAAATACATATTAGGGCCTATACATTCAGGGCCCTAAAATGCGGGAAACGGGAAAATTTACTAATAAGCGGGAGAATGTTACGAAATGCGGGAAAGAGGGAAAATTGCTCCAAGATAGGGAAAATATGCATTTTAGAGTGTATGTAGGGGAAATTTCACCCAATAGCGGGGAATTTCATCAAAGTGGGAATGACGGGAAATTGCTCTAAGATGGGGGAAATGGGCATTTTATTGTGTATGTACGGGAAATTGTACTAGAAGGCGAGAGCAACGGGAAATATACACTTGAATGTGTAGGTACAAGAAATTGTATTAAAAAGCGGAAATTACGGAAAATATTACTCATGAGTAGGAACTATGGGATATTTTGGGAAATTTTACTGAAAATCAAGTGGGTATATGGGAAATTCTCTAAATAAGCGGCGATGACGGGAACAACGGTAATTGATGGCGATGACGGTAATGAAAAGCGAACGTATTGACAAATGACGGGGAGAGTCGGAAGAGTAAGAGCATCGCGTAAAAAATAAATAATATGTATTTAGCTGTTTTTTAGCCGGCGATCTAAACCGTCTTCCATTGTTTTACGTAATTTATTACGAGTGTTACTTGTATATTTTTGTTATTCAGTGAATTGATATTTCCTGTTAATTTAGCATCATTACAGTGCTGTTTTATTTGTGTGAAGGGTGTTGCCCAATATTGTCTTATGCAAGTATAGGTTTAATGCTCCCTATAATCTGAATCTTCCTTCTGATTCTACTTAAAGGTATTTTAGTGGAATTAACCGAATACCCTCAGAGATCAAATAGGAACGCAATGGATTGTAATGCAAAATTTTCATATAGTGTAAAGTTGTACGATCGAATTGAATTGTTCCGAACAACAGATAGTGAAATACATTTAAATCAATGATGCAACTATATGTGATGAAACGAAATTCCATGGGCCCTTCCCAAAACTTTCAACATTTTTTGAAATGCAATTTGGCGACATTTGCAGTGAGACATAAATTCTTACGACTTTGTCAACGTCAATGTGCTATATTCTTGAACGATTTACTGAAAACCGGACGTTCCCCGGCTTGCTATCAATAATCCCTTTTTCAAACGAATCAACCGATGAACCAATTTTTAACATCACACATGCATGGTCTTTGTTCATATTTGGGCGGTGTAATACCTTATGAGGGTTGTAGACGGTATAGTTTAGCTCCTGTACCTCCTATTGTAATTAGGCGACCAGTAGAGATATATTGGATTATCCCCTTGGTTTTAATTTGTTGTGGTATTCTATGATTTGTCTTGTGTGTCTACAAAATTTTATTCTAGGTTAAGGTTCTGCTGTGAAATGAACGTGAAGGCCAACAGAGAGAGAGAGATTTTATTTCGCGCACCAGAAAAAACATTCATAACAATAAATAATGGCTAAAAAAAAAATTCACTTCTTTCGGTATAGACTGGAAGGAGTGATACGATCATGCAGTCATCGGAGTCAGCTCCCTCCAAGTTTACGCTGATAAGTTCACAGTAAAATATGACTATTAGAAGTGGTTAAAGTTCACGAAACATGCAAATGGTTAGTGTGGTTTGAGAGTTTTTGCATGGTTTGCGAGAAATTTACCCTGTATCCCAACCAGAATTCAACTCATGCCTTTCAACTAGCGTTTTAAAGATGAATAACTAATGATCAATATCTACTCAAAATAATAATTTCTTCTCAACAAAAGTGTAGGTAGGGTAGTGTTGTTTCCTAATATGTAACCCTTGAATATTCTATTACTCGCAGATTTATTTTCCGTTTTTCAGGTCGTTTCGTGATGATCAATTCATTGGCTAGCTTATTGAATATAAATGGTGTCTACATCAACAAAATTCGCTGATGTCTCATCCACGATAAATTTGAATTGACAGCAATTGCGTCATAATAACTTAATGAAGAAATGATCCTGTTAAGTAACAATCCTAATTTCGTTATCCTTGCAGAAGTCAATATCTAGAAATTAAAAAAAACCTTACCTTGGTAACCAATATATTCCTTTACCCTATCG